GCGGACCTCGAAGAGAGCACCCTAGCAACAACTGTATAGGTAAAGCGTCTTATATCAACCACGGGTAAAGTTAATGAATTTCGATTCTGTTTTCAACGATAAGAAGATCAAAGGGGTAAATTCCGAGAGAAATAGGAAAATACATGACTGAAGAAATATTATAATATTCATAAACTGTAAATTCGTAACATAAGTTTACATGTAAGGTATCTAAATTTACGGGCTCTATAAACAACATCATCGTAAGAATTAATATGTGATATCCAGTTTGTAATAAGATTTATACATGTACAGCGGAACTTTCAAACCAACTATTAACCAGTTATTTAACAGTCACTACAGACATGGGAAAAGCGAACGAGTTTGGGAAATATACACACAGTAAGAAGGGGCCAAGGGAACATCGCTGTCCCCCCAAAAAAGTAGGTATCTCTAAAGGAAAACTCCATACTAAAATTTACGACAAAAGAGACGACTTTTCATTCCCTATTGTTAATTTTCCTTTTTTAGACGGCGATGTTCCTTTGGCTCCATCATACGGTGTTTATATATCCCAACTCGTTCGTTATGCCCGTGTGTGTAGTGATGTCATAGATTTTAACGAACGTAATCAAAGCATCACTGGTAAATAACTCATCGAACCTTTAAACAAACTTATTAGTAAAGGTTATCTTACTAATGTTGTAATTAGATCTTTGAATATAGTTTACATTGGCATTAATATCGATTTTGCCATCAGCAAATTAAAACAAAACTAAATTTGTATTCTTTTCAAACGGGATGTATAAAGACACACCCACGTTCATTTTGATCTATTAAGAGGTTAACTCCTAACTATCCTACTGCCTATCGATACATTTATTTTTGGCATTGCACAAGTCATGTCTTCTTTGACTGTCCATGACGTTAAAATACTAAATCCCTGGGATGTGTTTTAGTTGATTTTAGTCTCTGGTGCATGATTTTTTATTATTAATTGTTTTTGGCTTTTAACTAGCTGTCAGTAACTGCGAGTACTCTCAAATCGTACTTTCTTGTTTATTTGACCTGTTGATACTAATTGTAATGCTTTTCTGTTATTTAATGTTTACTTATTCAGGGTTATATCTGGTCTATATACCAGCTTTGATGAGTGTTTGGTATTACTATGAATTTTCACTTCTTCGTACTATGAACATCAAAATTATTTATTTTGTAAAAATATTTCCTTTCTCCATTTGAACTGTACACGTATACCTAACAACAAAATTATTTTCATTTACCTGTGTTTAAAGTTATTGCAAATGGCTGATATTTTTGTTCAAGCATATTGTTTTTCTTAATTTGTTTAACATTTCACAGCGGTATAACATGTTACTTTAGTTATTCTTCCCTTAGTTTATTTATTTTGTATTTATATTGTATCATAGATCAAATTTATTTGTTCAGTGTATGTTCACTGGTGTTAATATGTCTTTTGATTGAGTTAAGCCATTTCAGTTGATATTTTATAGTGTGTCTTTCTATGTTGTGATGTTACACTATTGTTTCAGATAAGGGTGAAGGTTTGGTACCATTAAAACGTTTAAACCCGCTGCAATTGTTTGCACCTGTCCTAAGTCAGGAATCTGATGTTCAGTAGTTGTCGTTTGTTGATGTGGTTCATAAGTGTTTCTCGTTTCTCGTTTTTATATAGATTAGACCGTTGGTTTTCCCGTTTGAATGGTTTTACACTTGTAATTTTTGGGGCCCTTTATAGCTTGCAGTTCGGTGTGAGCCAAGGCTCCGTGTTGAAGACCGTACTTTGACCTATAATGGTTTACTTTTATAAATTTTGACTTGGATGGAGAGTTATCTCATTGGCACTCATACCACATCTTCTTATATCTACATAAGTAATAGAAAACGAAAAATCGCCTTTTTTGTCGTAGATTTTAGTATAGAAATTCCAGTGTAAAACTGAAATATCCGAAGCAAGGAAAGAATAACTATTTTTGTTCATATTAGATTTATTCAGACAGTTGGGTAAAATTTCCGCAGTTAGCTCAAAATCAATAGGGTTCTCCGTCTCTCCATTGTGCCATTACCAAAGTAATAGCAATAACGGTACTAGTATCACTGCACCAGATGAGCAAGTTTGGTAAATATATTGTGTACGGTCAAAAGATTTTGCCCGGTAACCGAAACTGGACGCTCAGACGGCATTTATCATATTATAAGCCAATTCAAACTTCGATGCAACCCTATTGACCGACCTAATAATGCAGTAAAATCTAATGCAATAACTTTTCATTTTTTTTTCATTTTTTTTTGCTTGTCACTTATCATTTTTTGTTCAAAAAAAATCTTTCAAACTATTTTTTTTTGTACAACCATTCTCCAAAACTTAAGCTCCCCCAACAGCTTTGTTCTTATAAATAGTGTCTTTTGTGCGGACATACAACTTTGATCGATAAAAGGCACCACTTTTTATCTGTAAGATGAATTTCTTAAAAATATCTGTAATACAAATTATTCTGGGGTGTCTTTCATATTTAGTTACAAATGACCTGCATTTGGTGTGTGAACAAGGATATTCTTAATACCCACAATTTTTAAATTTACTGACTGCCTAAATTAGCATTCATTTACATACATAATTCCGTATTATTTTCGTGCACATGCACTTTAAAACCGGTGAACCTCATGAACTTTTTTAACTTCCCAAACAAACAATGTATCATCAATATACAAACCAAAATCGATTGTTTGAATTGCTTCAATAGGACAATTCAATAATGCTCTGTTTTAAGTTGTACTGTTTGGCTGTTGCGATGCAACAATAAGTGCGCCATTTGCAATAGAAGTCTGATTTCAAAATAAAATTACGTTATTAATCTTTAATTGCTTTTAAAAAGAAAATTTGACAGATTCAACAGTTTTGTTCTTAATCTGGATATTTGTGATAGAAATGTTTCAAACATTGATAAATTGCTTTAGTTACACCTATCGCAGTTACATGAACATTTCGTTGCAAGTTGAAAACTTCCTCGACATCGTTGGTTGCTGAAAGCTAGAAATTTTAGTCTAAAAGCGATGAAAACTAACATTTACCGGATACTCATTTAAAACCTATCAAGTAAATAAATTTCCTACAAACAACTATAACTGATATCCACCAATGACAATACTTTCAAAAATAACCAAACTGCACATTTCTTCAAAAAGAAAGAAACAAAACAAATAAATGATATTTTACATGAATCCAAATGGCAAAACAAGGTCGAGGAACTCTAATATCATAGGAGGATCCCTGTAAAACCTGAATTCCGGGTGTACAATATACACTGGGTCTTAATGTGACAATTTTATATCTTGTTATTGGCATGAACATTAAGGAAACTAAGTTCTTCTTTGTCCTTATTTGATACTCAAATTAAATTAATGGGGTTGGACAGGGTAATGGGAGACTGAGGAAAGGAGAGAAAAGGCAAAAGAAGAGAGAGAGGAAGTGAAAAAAGGGAAGACTAGCGACTCCTATGAGCTTGAATCGCTCACTTGGCCAAATAGGACATCTTAATATCTATGTTAACCTTTTTTCGAGATCTAAACATTTTTTTTTGACACAAATAATTTAAGAATACACAGCTTTTCGAGTGCGTTCGAATGGTGATATGAAGGCCAATGAATTATATTTTTTCTTTACTGCCAGATCACACTATTCATTTACGTAAAAATCGCGATAAAATCTTCTTTAGAAAATCTTGCAAGCCCCCAATTATCAAAAAAATAAAATCAAACCAAATGGCACTCCCTTAGACAGTCATCAAATATTAACGAACTATGAAATGATTTATAGATCTATATTTTCTCTTTTAATCAAGTTTGCTGTGTACCCTCTATACCAATTGTAGTCTTTCGGATATATATATAAAATAAAACGCTGAAACTAGCTATAATAATCACAACTCAACAACAATAACCTAAATAAGAAAGTTATGATTGTACTGTACCACTAGCTTGTCAACACTGAGGTTGTGAGTTCGAACCCCGCTCGACTCCAATCTTAATTGACTAGGATTTGTCAGTTTTTCTACCGAACGTCGGTGGTTCTCTTCGGTCACTCTTGGCTTCCTGGAAAGTGCTGAAAGTGGACGTATTAAAACACCTAAAATCAATTAATTGTTATGGTTATAGCTTCTGTAGATTTTGACTTTTTATTCATTTTGTCATAGTTTCACTAATTACTACAGTTTTCAAGGTATAATGTTATATATTTAGGCATTGCTGTCCTGTTGGTTGATAGACAGGAATATAATTCATACATTAAAACCTAGATAATTTATTTTTAAGTTTAGCTTAAATTGGTTCAGTTGATTCACAAGTGAGGATCGTTGGAACAAACACTCAAATAATAGGTAAAACAGTCATTTAATCAAGGGCAACAACTCTAATAAACGTCTATTCAGCAGAATGGTTATTACCTTTTCATATCAATTACATGATCTGAACCCCGATTTATGACAATTTTATCTATGATGTTTGTTTGTCTTGCTCACATTGTTGTCAATATAATGGAATTCTATGCGACTGTCATACAAGTGAGAGGTTTAGCTAGCTATAAAACTAGGTTAAATCCACCATTTTCTACATAAGTAAATGCCTGTACCAAGTCAGGAATATGACAGTTGTTTTCCATTCGTTTGATGTGTTTGAGCTTTTGATTTTGCCATTTGATAAAGGACTTTCCGTCTTGAATTTTCCTTGGAGTTCGCTATTTTTGCTATTTCACTTTTTACAGCTTTGAAACAGCAAAATGCACGGGAACTAATCATTATAACATACAGCAATAGCCAAATAAGATTATGTCATTTACTTTCTCTGGTAAAACAATATTTTGGTCATCCCTGGGAACAACAAAACTAGTAGATGTTTTCACAGTTTATCCTTATTATTTGCTCTGTAGTTGTTAAATACCCCCCTCCCCCCCCCCCCAAAAAAAAAAACAACAACAACAAAAAAACAAAAAAACAAATAACGACTGACTATAAAATGTATTTATGTTATTAATAGAAGTAAACAGTAAATATGAGGTAAGTAAACATGTTTGAATTTGAGCATATAAGTGTTCAATATCAATAATATCATCCGGTTTTTTAATATCACTGTTGGTATCTGTATAATCTAGAGCCATCATCCTGAAGGTATAAAACATGTTTTTATTTGTCTACTGTTATTTCCAAGTTGATGAAAAGATACTCATGTTTGTACGTTTTCATAAAAATAAATGTAAAACGTAATAAAATATGAAATACCAGACAGTTATACATATATACCACCGTTGATAACTACAGAAACAATCTTTATTTAATATTCAAAAGAAATGTAGCATAAAACTGTCCGGAAGCAGAAACATGAACCTGAAAAGGGGATAACAAAACTGGAGTAAGATAAAAAAAAAAATAACCTTAAAAAGTGGGAACAGGTGCGTTGATGTGGTAAGTTTCTGTTGCTGTTCTTACGTCGCCGTTGTATGTTTTCATTTCAACAAGTAATAACCAATATTTGTAGAAGACAATTTTCCACTACATACTGCTGGGGTATAGAGACTTTCAAATAGTTTATAAAATTTGGTGCGGGAGGCAAAAGTGCGGATGCAAAATTCATCTTGCTGTATGGAATTTTTGTCTAAGACATTTTTTTACCGTCAAATGCTTACTCAAAATTTGCTGTTACAAGAAATGAAACAAGAGGCTCTAAAGAGCCTGTGTCGCTCACCTGCATCTTCAACAACGGCCACTTTTTAGTAAAAATCATCATTGAAGTGGGATAACTCTATAAAGAGTTAACTGATAATTTCAGTCATGTTGACATATTTGTAGATCTTATCCTGCTGATAATTATTCCTTTTTAAAGTTTCTATCTATCTATTATAATTTTCAAGATTATAGGCAAAAAATGCTAAAACATGTTAAAAATTATCATTAAAGGGCAATAATTCCAATAACGAGTCGACTGAATATTTTGTCCATTATGGTTTATTTGTAGATCATGTCTTGCGGATCATAAGTTCTTTTTAAAGTTTCTATCCATCTATTACAGTTTTCAAGATAATAGGCAAAAATGGGAATATTATAGTCGTCATTTAAGGACAATCACTTCAATAAGGAGTCAACTTATTTGTAGATCTTGTCTTGCTGATCATTTTTGATAATTAAAGTTTCTGTCTATCTATTATAATTTTCAAGATAATAGGCAAATATTAAAAAAAATTGGTAAAATTCATCATTTAAGGGCAATAACTCCTATAAGAAGTCGTCTAACAGATTTGATGTAAATGAACAATAGGAAGAGCTCAACAATCTGAACATTTAAGCTCATGTCAGATTTTCTCTATTTATATTTTTCAAAATAAAAGGCAAAACTTGCATTTTACCCCCATCTTCTATTTTAACCATGTCGGCCATCATGGTTGGCAGACGGGGTCTTCGGACAATTTTATTAAACTAGATACCCCAATGATGATTGTTGCCAAGTTTGGTTAAATTTGGCCCAGTAATTTCAGAGGAGATGATTTTTATAAAAGTTAACAGACGACGACGGACGACGGACGCCAAGTGGTGAGAAAAGCTCACTTTCCCTTTTAGGCCACGTGAGCTAAAAAGCGTATACAAATTGTTGGAACACCATATACCAATTGATATTGTCGATAGTCTGGGTGAAAATTGAATCCTGCAAATCAACAAATACGATTAAAAACCTATTATTTCTAAAAAAATAAGTCTACAGCATGGTATGTTTCTTCTAGTCTCAACATTACCATATGTACGTACTATAACCACAACAGAAGAAACAGACATGACAATGTCACATTGTGTGATATTGCTGTATAAACTATTGAAACTTTAATGGACTATATCATCACAAGAAGTGGCATATGAACATTTAAGAAGTTCTTTAGATCTTTTGATTACACATTTAAATTACACCACTCGCTACTTGTGGTATCAAACAATTGGATAGTGATATTCTGTTGTATTATATGATAATAACGGCAGGGAAACATAACATATAAGTGATGTTTTTCATAAAGGTTAATTTATATAAAATTACTAGAGACATGAGTATTGTTACACATACAATTTAAAAAGAAACTATAAAGACAATAACAACTAACTATAATAAAAGTGTGTTTGAAGTTTCACCGGATATATCATAATCATAATTGCTTCAGTAAATAATGATATATGTAAATATGAACGATATAGTTACAAAATATTTGTTTAAATATCCTCTTTGGTATATTTATTAGTTATAGCCGTCATCCTGTAAATGTATTGCATTAGCTTACAGTAGTTTTTTTTATGTAAACCTTGTCGATGTAATTCGAATAATACAGTATTTTGTTTTCAAGGTCAGTTTATTGCAACTTTAAAAAAAAAATCTGCATCCATCGTCCTTCCTCTAAGGGTACTTCTGTAGATAATCTTTGCTGCATGACACTTACTTACGTTTATAAATGCTGTAACAACAAAAATGTAATTTTACAACAGTAGCAATTAAGTATTACCGTATAACTTTAAAATATACCTTTGGTAGTTAAAATCTACTTTGAATGAAATTCAATCTAATTAAAATTAATTCCTTTAATTACTCCTGTTCTGATATGTCGCGCATCAAGCCTTGAATCAAGTTGCTCCTGTTCTGATGTGTCGCGCATCTAACCTTGATGCGCGACGTATCAGAATGGGTGCAATTAAAGAATTTTCTTTTAATAAGATTGAATGTAATTATCACTGAATCGTTAGTCATCATAAACAACAAGTTATATTTCACTTAGTATGATATTGAAGTAATACACGTCAAAATAAACAAGATTCATTAACAAGATTCGCACAAATTTCCCAAGACATTAGCTGTAGAACTTCCTGCAACTATTGACATTAATGCGTTACAGATAATTAAAATCAACATAAGTATTTATACCTTAACCAAAATTTAAACAAGAATGATTATATACAGAGAGAAAATATATATATATATTTATAAGTTTACATAGCTTAAAATAAGTGTATAATGAAAATAAACAAAAGGTACAAAATCTAAACATAGTTTTAAAACAGGTCGATACCACTAGAATTCTGACGTCAGACTACATTTGCATAGTAATTTCCGAAACACAAAATGTAAACACGTCCCTGAGAAATTGACCAACAGACAGAATGAACCACAATGAACTGTGGGCTACTACGAGTTTACTCATGATTGCCTAACACACGTGGAATTTAGTAGAAAAATGCCTTTTTGTATTGTATCTCGGAATCTCTTGCTTAATTTTTGTTTATCTATTCGTAAAATTAGTTTTTATTGTTTGGAATATTTTAAACACATTTTACAATTATTCGTTAATCTGAGCCGGCCAGATCTGAGCATAGAACTTATACTTTTTATCATGGTTTGTAAATATAATCACATAACATGAGATCTTTTTCCGGCATTCTGTGGAAAATTTGTATGTCGGTAAAATCACGTGTTCTCTGTAAAGCGTAAACACGCATTAGTCCATTATGCATTACAACTCGTTCGCTGGATTGTTCAATTACCCTTGTAAAAAATTTGAGTATTAAAAAACAATTGTGGTTGGTGGGAACATTAGTATATATGCTAAATTATGCATATCAGTGTAAGGTAGTGTACCCGACCTGTTAAAATAGATTATGAAGAAAATTAAATGCATATGGCACATGTGAACAATATAAATGTATGTCTTGTATAAAATGTGTTAAACAATATTGAGAGACACACGTTACACACTTGGCTTATTTGTATCCGACAACATATAATAAAGATGTATATACAATTGATATAGCTAACTATATATGGCACATACAGTAGTATAAGGACATATCAAAAATACACCAGAAAGATAAGTGATCACGTGTAAGGGTATGTCAAGGACACGACAGGAAGATAGAGGATTATCATGGATAAACCAGGCAGATAAAGGATAAAGTCTTAGGGCATATCAAGGATACACCAGGGAGATAAAGGATCACGGATAAGGACAGATCAAGGACATGTCAGGGAGATCAGGGATCAAGTGTAAGGGCAGATCAGGGATCAAGTGTAAGGGCAGATCAAGGATATGCGAGGGTGATAAGGATGACGTGTAAAGACAGATCAAGGATACACCACGGAGATAAAGTATCACGTGATAGGGCAGACCAAGGACACACCGTGGAGATAAGGACCCCCTTGTGTAAAGCTGATAAAGGCCACGCAAGAGAGACGAAGGATCAAGTTGAAGGGAGATCAAGGCCACGTCAGGGAGATGAAGGAGCATGTGTGAGGGCATGTCCAGGATACACAAGGGAGATAAAGGATTATATGGAAAAGCAGATCTACAGTTTTTTAACAAAGGTATTAAAGCAACTGGATTTATAATAATTTACTTAAAAATAAATATAATTAATCGTCATTGACAATTCTCGATATTTCAACTAGAAAAGTATAATGATAAATTGTTATGGACATCTGATTAATCAATACGGTTTATAAGTGATAATGCTACATAGAACGATTTTGGTTACCTTGTATTATTAAGTATTATCAGTCTTGTGCATTTCAATAAAATTCCAAATCAAACCAGAAAGCACGCTTAAACATTCAATAATGATTGAAATACTTTACTTTTAGGGACAAAAATCAGGTCTTTATCGCAACCACTTAAAGGATGATCAGATTAAATCAGAAATCTGTGTGAGGTAGTTATAGTTGTTGACAATATATCGTCAATGTTTAAAACAATAAACTGTTATCACAGAGATATGTCTCGCCTTTTTGTAATTTTGATAATGCAAATGTTGAAATTAAAATAGCAATACTTTAACATGTACGTTATGCAAATATTCAAAGTCGATAAACCATGACTGAAGGTACATGGCTGAACAATCTCCATTGAATGAGATGTGCCAATGCTAATACAACTGCATACCAAATACCATTGACTTATTATAAGTCGTTCCCTTTAAACAAACCTAAACACAAACATTAACTTGTAAACTATGTAAAAGTTTCAAAGTCAATGAACCATGATCAGGGGTGGGGCTATATAATCTCCATGGAAACGATACTTGCAAATGACAATAAATTTGTATACCAAATATCATTGACTTGAGGTAAATAAGTTGTTGACAACATATCGTCAATTCTTAACCGTGAGAAACCGAGAGCTAACATGATTACTGATGTGTTACCCTGATAGAAATATAAGAAATCATATAAATATTACATTGGAGAAACTAGCATGCATACAAATACTAAAATGACAACAGAGGTGTACACTCAGTGACCGTGTTTATACATAGTGAACAATAAGAATACAACCAGTTCAATTTCTGTTGAAACAGGACAAATACGATGATTCACTTGCTACTGACTTCTTATACTTAAAAACAAATCTTTATAAGTGTGATCATTTGATTATCATTTCTTGTTGAGACGTTTATTACTTCAATTTGTGTCATCTCTTAAATGCCAAAATGCATCATATCTTGTCCTGTATCATTTACCCTTATACCATCTATGAACTAGCTGGGAACAAGAATCTAGCTTACAGTTGCTACATCAACAAAGTTATCAACGCCATTTACTTCTTTGTCGCTGGAATCTTTAATACTGGATGCCACGCCCTCCATACTATACTCCTGTATGTTTTTTGCCTCCTGTCGACGATAGGCGAATCGTGATAAAATGCAGAGCAGAAACATTTCTACCACCAACAAATAGTGATTCAGTCCTGAAAAAAAAGCAGAAATTGTTTAAACCCGTTACTGTCGCAGGCTTTGAACTAGCTTTCAATATCTGTGAGTACTCTCAGATCAGTACTTTGTATCTTTTGTGTTTCTATCTGATGAGTTAAAGAGCATTGTTCAACTGTTTTTTATAGTTTGTTCTTGTGTTGTGCTGTTACACGACTGTACAAGGTTAGGGTGAGAGTTGGCGCGCCCGCAAACATGTTTAACCCCGCCACATTCTGTATGTGCCTTTCCCAAGGTATTCAATGGTTGTCATTTGTTGCTGTAAATCATATTGTTTTTCGTGTATTGTTTTGTACATTAATCGTTAGTTTTCTCATTGGAATTGTTTTAAATTTGTCATTTCGGGGCCTTTAATAGCTTGCTATGCGGTTTGGGTTTTGCTCATGGTTGTAGGCCGTACGGTGACCTGTAGTTGCTAACCTTCTATGTCCTTTGGTCCCTGTTGGGGACTTGTCTCACTTGCTATCATACACCATTTTCTTATTTTTACATTAGATATGTTTTAAGCTATTAAAAAAATCAATTTCAGATGAAGACAATATTGAAAGTTGTTACTACAACGTTAAATTGATACACCTTTCGGATAAGTTAATTCAAAGTACCAATGAGTTTACATGGATCGATTCTTAATTTAAGAGCTCTATAAACAACATTGCCGTAAAATTAGTATGTTCAATTTCGTTTGTAAAAAGATATCAACAGGTACAAACGAACTTCCAGATAAAATCTTTGCATCTATGAAAGAATTTTGTAAAAGTTTTAAATACCTTGGGGTTAGTTTTTTAGTTACTAGTATTTGATGGTGGAACAGTTTTCTGAGTTCTTATAATATACCGAGATATTTTATATGAATGATTATTTCTACCATGAAATGATTGAACAATGAAAAAATCGAGTACAATTCTTTAGTTAAAAATAATATTTTGTTGAACATCGGTTGTGACGGAGACAACTGATATATTAATGCACTTACTTGAACCACGCATTAAAGGTCCTCTACTACCTTTGCAAGCCGGTATTCCGTTTCTTCCTAAAATTGCTAATATAAAGTTTTGTAGGTTGACTATCGCGAAAGTTAGCTGGAATGATGCAAATTTTAAATTAACTTTAAACATGGATAATCTGTCTCTTGTGGCCCGGTAGACTATTTGAAGTCCCCAGACTCCCAAAATCGTTGACACTCCACTAAAAACCTGGATGGGAAAGGTAATGCTCGACTGTTCTCCCTGTGAAAAGTATTTTTAAATGTTGGAGGAATAAATGTTATGCTTCAATGCTATTATCATATTGTAATATTTATCTGCTGAGTATAATTTTCATCATATTTAGACAATTGTTATAAATCAATCTTTATTTTCTTCGTTACTAGTAATACGTGTGTCATTATATGCGGGTACTATATATGATACAGTATACATGTTGCCATGTTTATATAATATCAAATATTATGGTAATACTTTATTTAATTCTCGTTTGAAAAAAAAATTATCTGTTTTTTGTTTATCAAAAACTCGTGCGATATTGACCTTAACATATTGAATAGGCCCTTGTATGTAGTTGTTTTTGTTGGTGTTTTTTTGTCGTAGGGTTACTGTCTGGTTGACGTGCACACCACATTTTCTTTTATGCATAATTCCTTGAACACTATGTATAATTTAGTAAATCTAAAATCAAAACAAGATGGAAAAAAGACAACTGTTATCTATACCAAATTTCAGTATGATTGATTGATTGATTGTTGGTTGCTTAAGTCCAGTGGCAGATTTCAGTATGAAGATAATGGTATCTTTCAGATCTTCGTTGTTGATGACTGATTCAGAAAATAATTTCAAACACAGAAAGTTCGTTATAAACACCATTTGGGTTGATGGCAATGTCAGTTGAATGTTTCAACTGCGAAGATTCACACGATGAGTAGTCCTAACTTTGACATTCGTCATGGTATTATATACTTTTTGAAAAAAATCGATTAAAAAATGTTGTTTCAACAAAAAATGAGTGAACGTGGTATATTAATTAGTTGAAATTGGGCGTTCGACTAATTTTCAGTAACTGATAGTACTCTAAAATTGGTACTATATGTCTTTTTTTTTTATTTATCTTTGTTCTTAGTATCGATTTGATGAGTTATACCCTTTCCATACGATTTTTACATTGTGTCCTTATGTTGTGATGTTACACCTCTGTTTCAGGCTAGCAGGGGGTTTCAAAAGCGCTCACAAAATTGTTTAAATGCACCGCATTTTTTATGAACCTTTCCAAAGCCAGGAGCTTGTAATCCAGTGGTTGTCGTTGGTTGCTATCGGCTATAATGGGCTTTTTTCATTTATTGTTGTAGTATAAATAAGACCGTTGGTTTTCTCCTTTGAACCATTTCACATTTTGTCATCGAGGGGCCTTTGATAGTTTACTGTACAATATGGGTTGTGCTCATTGTTGAAGGCTGGACGTTGACCTGTAATTGTTCATATAATTGTCCTTTGGTCTTTATAGATAGTTATATCATTGGCAATCAATCATACCACAAATTATAATTTTCAAAATTAAAACAACTCCTTCAGGCAAAGCTGACTACAATATGTGGTTTTCCTTTTCAGGCTTCTTTTATTATCAATGCTATCCGTTTAACTATACATCTTTTTCATTTTAAAGTCTAAGCTTTTAAATCTGAGCGTTTCTGATAAGGTTTATCTACAAAAAAGTTTCGATAGCTACAACTCCATGCTTTTCTTCCATAAAAGATTATTTCCAAAATATGTAAGAGAGTATTATGATAAATAAAAATAGTTTGATTTCTTTTGAATTTTGTTTTACCAAAAAAAATAAAACAAAGGCAAAAATATAAAGAATGTACCTCGTCTCCTGATGCGTATTTGCCATCTGTCCACAGCACTGCCGCTACAAACAATACAATAGGTCGAACTATTGCAATCTGTAGGGTAAATATTGATGCAATTCGTAAGGTCTTCCTGCAATGGTTAATATGGATACAAAATTAGACATTTCAACAATAATTATCTATATGATAAGAAGGAAATAAGAATTTCGTACTTGGATTTATGCATACTTTTACTGAAATAATGAAACTACCATCTAAAATATCCTCAGTTGAGGTAATTTTCTGATTAGGTGCGAAACATCACCGGAGAATGATCGCCAACAAAAGTTGAATAATGAATAAGAAATGAGTAACTTAAGGTGACAGTTGTATTGATTGATTGTTGGTTGCTTAACATCCAGTGGCAAATAGTTCATGCATGTTCAGTGCATGTTCAGGACGATAAACTGAAGAACCACGAAAAAAAGATCATTCGTTGCAATTTTTGATTATTTGTCCGTGTTTCTGAGAGAATTTTAGTGTTGACTTTTTATTCTAATTGAAAAGCTCGAGGTCAATCATTACTTACTTATTAAAAGGAAATCTACAGCATTTACAGCACATACAGCAACAACAACAAGGAGGAGTTCCGAATGATAACGTCTGATCAGACATGTCGGCTAACAGTTGTGTAGTCCCACCGAGATACTCCAATAACATGTTTAGAAAAACTACTATACAGACACCAACGTATCTAAAATCGAAATAAAATGAAATAAAGTACTAATGGAATTATTACAGACAAGTATTTTAACTCATAAGGAACATTTTGTGAAATGTAACTTTGAACAAAATATTTGAGGTATATAAGTCAACGTGAAAGTGGTAACTTCAAAAATCAAAATGAATTACAGTCTATAGTCTTAAACAAGTCGGTAATCACAGTCTATAGTCTTTAACAAGTCGGTAATTACAGTCTATAGTCTTAAACAAGTCGTTAATTACAGTCTATAGTCTTAAACAAGTCGGTCGGAATTACAGTCTATAGTCTTAAACAAGTCGGTAATTACAGTCTATAGTCTTAAACAAGTCGGTAATTACAGTCTATAGTCTTAAACAAGTCGGTGGCAAGTAGCACTTATAATTATGTGCTTTAGAATTTTAATGAAGAATAATTATTGTTATTAATGAACATGGATGGCCAGAAAATGGAAAAGAAGTGTAATGTCAATAATTCGATGGAACTACTGGTCCCCGAAGGCATTATCAACCCAGTAGTCCTTTGGCATTGACATGGTTCATAACATACGTTTTAAAACTTTCAGTTGATTAATTTAGAAATTATTAGAAATCAAGGTTCCAACTTCATTAGGCAAAGTTGACCTTAGATGGATTTGGTTGGTTTTTTTTAGGACACTTTAAGTTATATAGCTCGTCAAATATTCATACATCCTTGGCTTTCTAATTTTTGGATTTGAGCGTTCCGGATGGAGGTGAATCAAGAAAAGCTTTTCAAAAGCGCAAAAGTTTATTAAGTGGAATTGTCATTTTACTATCAACGAAGGTTATCTTGTGAAACACGCACATTTGTTGAATAGCATTACAGTTACATAAGAGGACTGTTGATTGTGAAGGGTTTTGGCTCAAAGTCTGATTTCGCAGTCACTCAAACATAAAATATAAGAAATAGAACGGGAAGTTTTGATGAACGATTCTGTATTTTTGTAAAAGGACTGTAAAAATTAAACAAACCACTTACATATTACCAGAGTTTAATGAAACTACCTAATCAAAACATTTACCCAATTTGGGGCGTACTCAAAGACAAATGTATGAGTGAATATTCAATGTCAAGTTTATATGCCAAACTCAATTCACTGTCTCCTCTTTTGTTTTGTGTCATTGGGTTTCTGTCTCATTGAAGTATACCCATTAATGGCATTATCTCCTTTCGTTCATAATTAAATACCATGCAAGTAGTATAAATGAACAAAGTTATTGTGTAAGATATAGTATTGTACTCTTAAAGACAGGTGGACAAAAGGAAAACGGAGTAAAAACATCAAAATGCTACAATAAAGCACAATTTCCTATGATCACATTAAAGAGTAAGACGGACTACTGTTGTCTCAAGTCAGCAAAATATTTTGTTGTTGTCTTTGTTTATATATTACTGTTTTTGTTCTTTTAAGAATGTGTTGCTGATCCAAGACCTTTGGAAGTCGCTGTTTAAAATATTATTTTCTGGACAGGACTGTTAAGAGGTATGAAGTAGACACTTATCTATTGTTAAGCCGAATATGTTGACCTCTAGAATGTGTTTAGATTTTGTGTGTTGTTGTCATAGTTACTTCAGTAACTTCGAACCCGGAAAACTTTGAAAATTTCCGAACATAAACTAACAGTAACCATGGTTACAGACAATGGAGTTTTTTTTTGGAGGTTCTGTTATATTTTATGTAACTTTTCTCACTGCATATATTCAACGTCCCACAGGTTGTTTTTTTTTTGCTTCAAGATAGCCTTATTGGTGTTATATACTAGTATGTGTATTGGACTTAGAAAAACAATACTACATACATTGAGGCAGTAAATTCGCTAAGTAATGTTGCAGTTGGTACTAGAATTGCTAACAATGAAGTCCATCCAATGATCTGAAAAAGTTGTAAATTACATAAAATAACTATTATACAGCTTTATCCGCTAAATGAATGTTAATATAAGAACAGTGTTCCAATGTCTCATCAGTTGCTTATATAATATTTGTGAAAGGGCAATAACTCAAAACAAACTTTTTTTTTAAACCTTTAAATAAATATCTTACAAGATATAAACTTTTGATATAAATTTCATGAAATCTAGCAAGAATTGTACACGCGAGAGCGCTTACAAGACCGGACGGACAGCAGAACAGTCAGGCGGAGGGACGGACGCACACAAGCACGCACGCCAATTATGTACATGTATGTGTATCACGCATCGTGTTGCGCGGGGAGACCAAAATAACGCTGTTAGTCATAACCGTCCTTAAATTCATCAGGTCATGAATCTACTCTTTTAAAAGTGTAATGAAACTGTATCTCATACCTTGTTGCTTTATTTTAGTACTAAGTATGGCCTATTTCATCAACTATCATTGTAAATAAACATAACATCATGTAAAAAAACATGCTACTTTTATAACATTATCCGAATGCTTTATACGTTGACATATATGTCAATAAATAAACTGCCTTATTGCTTTATATTGTAAAGTATGCCTTATTGCTTTATATTGTAAAGTATGCCTTATTGCTTTATATTGTAAAGTATGCCTTATTGCTTTATATTGTAAAGTATGTTTTATTGCTTTATATTGTAAAGTATGCCTTATTGCTTTATATTGTAAAGTATGTCTTATTGCTTTATATTGTAAAGTATGTCTTATTGCTTTATATTGTAAAGTATGTCTTATTGCTTTATATTGTAAAGTATGTCTTATTGCTTTATATTGTAAAGTATGCCGTACTGCTTTATATTGTAAAGTATGTTTTATTGCTTTATATTGTAAAGTATGTCTTATTGCTTTATATTGTAAAGTATGTCTTATCTAATTTACCTTAATTTACATACAAACTAACACCATGTAAAATAATATACGTTTAATTCATAAGACGGAACGCTACTTAAAATAACATTATTTTAATGATTTATAAGTTGATATATGTCCATAAATAAACCACCTTCTTGCACTACAAAGCAATTGAGAGTCCTTATTTTAGTTGCAATTAGCGTTATTTAAAAGCAATTAAGACAATGTCCATATCGCTTCCGTCTTGTTATGCCCCCGTCGATAGGCGAAGGGGTAATAAAGGTTCTCCCTTGCCCGTACGTCCCAAAATTGGTTTTATGTTCTCTAACTTTATTTTGTCTCAACAAATTATGCTATGACACTTATACACAACCCTTATTACTCCCAAACACAGATTTAAATCGAATTTGGGAGGCGTCACATTCGCCGTTCTCGAGTTATTAGATATAAAAAGATATGGTATGAGTGCCAATGAGACAACTCTCCATCCAAGTCAAAATTTATAAAAGTAAACCATTATAGGTCAAAGTACGATCTTCAACACGGAGCCTTGGCTCACACCGAACTGTAAGCTATAAAGGGCCCCAAAAAATTACTAGTGTAAAACCATTCAAACGGGAAAACCAACGGTCTAATCTATATAAAACACGGGAAACGAGAAACACTTATGAACCACATCAACAAACGACAACTACTGAACATCAGATTCCTGTTTCTTTATAAATGGAAAATTGATGAATTTGACCATTTCCGTACTCTAACTTTACTTTGCTTCAACCAAATGTTATGAAACTTTTACATTATACTTATTACCACCAAACACAGATCGAGTTCGAAATTCGGTGGCGCCAAATTCACTGTTCTCGAGTTATGTCTCTTTATAAATGGGAAAATTGCTGAATTTGCCGTTTCCGCACTTTAACTTTACTTTGCCTCACTCAACCAAATGTTCTGATACTGATACACAATGCTTATTACCACCAAACATAGAATAAAAAATAAATGTCAGCAGGGCCGTAACTACTGATGAGGCAGATGAGGCAATTCCTCGTCTGAATTTCTGGCAAAAAAAAATAAGAAGAAGAAAAAAAAAAGAAAATGGAGAAAGCTAAGCATGCATGCAGGTGTAGAACACATCCTTGCGTTTTCATATCAAGAATTAAGTAATGCATAGTACTTCGAAAAGTAATTAATGTTGACGTGCAGCTTCTGTGCTTTTATTTCAACGTTAGGTATCGAACTCTCTGCCTGATTACCACCGCCAGTAAACCGGCATTTGGTTCTGCAATTATTTATTTCCCGCGAAAATGAATTATTTATAATGGATTTTTTCCCCACATTATCAGCGCGCAAAGTAAATCAAAATTTAAATAATTCGAATTCTTCAACTTGCTAGGTCAATATTATTAAAGAAGCATTCACATCTAAAGCAGGAGTAATAAAACACCCCACAAGAAACTCAGTACTTTCAAAGAAAACAAAACGTCAATAAGTTTAAATTAGTACGTTGACCCTTGCATATTTACAAGCGGGGACATCTGTGTCTCATGGACACATTCCTCATTTTATTATAATGGGATTAAGACATTTTCATATAGCTATATCAAAACAATCTGATGAAAATCCAATGTAATGATTCGCTACGCTCCCTTAGGGTGGATAACGTATCATAACATCGGATTTAATCAGATTATTCTCAAGATACCTGTATGTCTTTAAAATAATAATTACGGTAATATAAAAATAAAACAAAAATAAAAACGGTGTCAGTGTTGTCTAAAAGACGGTGCGAATTTAAACGACTGATTCAACCAGTCTATAATACTGCTTATCAAAAAGACGTGCAACTTTTCAGTACGTTTAACGACTCCTATCGAACAAAAACATTATAAAATAATCAGGTTATCTGTTTAAAATAGCAGAAACAAATGTTTCTCTAATTTATGCATGTATTTGGGTAAATATTAAATATCTAATGTAAAGTCACACGACATAAAGCTAGTGAGAACATGATCCTTATTCATATTTAATGTAAACTTACAAGACTTAGAGCTAGTGGGAACATGATCCTTATCTATATATAATGTAAACTTACAAGACTTAGAGCTAGTGAGAACATGATCCTTATTCATATGTAATGTAAACTTACAGGACATAGAGCTAGTAAGAACATGATCTTTATTTATATCTGATGTAAACTTACAGGACTTAGAGCTAGTGAGAACATAATCCTTATTTATATGTAATGTAAACTTACAAGACTTAGAGCTAGTGAGAACATGATCCTTATTTATATGTAATGTAAACTTACAGGACATAGAGCTAGTAAGAACGTGATCCTTATGTATATCTTATGTAAACTTACAGGACATAGAGCTATTGAGAACATAATCCTTATTCATATGTAATGTAAACTTACAAGACATAGAGCTAGTGAGAACATGATCCTTATTTATATGTAATGTAAACTTACAAGACTTAGAGCTAGTGAGAACATGATCCTTATTTATATGTAATGTAAACTTACAGGACATAGAGCTAGTAAGAACATAATCCTTATTCATAATGTTAACTTACAAGACTAAGAGCTAGTGAGAACATGATCCGTATGTATATCTAATGTTAACTTACAGAAAATAGAGCTAGTAAGAATATGATCCTTATTTATATCTAATGTTAACATAGAGCTAGTTAGAACATGATCCTTATTTATATCTAATGTAAACTTACAGGACATAGCGCTAGTAAGATTATGATCCTTATTCATATCTTATTTAAACTTACAGGGCTTAGAGCTAGTAAGAATATGATCCTTATTTATATCTATTGTTAACATAGAGCTAGTTAGAAGATGATCCTTATGTATATCTTATGTAAACTTACAGGACATAGAGCTAGTAAGAACACGATCCTCATCTATATCTGATGTAAACTTACAGGACATAGAGCTAGTAAGAACATGATCCTTATTCATATCTAATGTGAACTTACAGGACATAGAGCTAGTAAGAACACGATCCTTATTTATATGTAATGTAAACTTACAGGAAATAGAGCTAGTACGAACATGATCCTTATTTATATCTTATGTAAACTTACAGGACATAGAGCTAGTGAGAACATGATCCTTATTTATACCTAATGTAAACTTACAGGACTTAGAGCAAGTAAGAACATGACATAAAGCTAGTAAGAACATGTTCCTTATTCATATGTAATGTAAATTTACAGGACATAGAGCTAGTAAGAACGTGATCCGTATGTATATCTTATGTAAACTTACAGGACATAGAGCTAGTGAGAACATAATCCTTATTCATATGTAATGTAAACTTACAGGACATAGAGCTAGAAAGAACATGATCCTTATTTATATCTAATGTTAACTTACAGGAAATAGAGCTAGAAAGAACATGATCCTTATTTATATCTAATGTAAACTTACAGGAAATAGAGCTAGTAAGAACATGATCCTTATTTATATCTAATGTAAATTTACAGGACAGTGAGCTAGTGAGAACATAATCCTTATTCATATGTAATGTAAACTTACAGGACAAAGAGCTAGTAAGAACATGATCCTTATTTATATCTGATGTAAACTTACAGGAAATAGAGCTAGTAAGAACGTGATCCTTATGTTTGTCTTATGTAAACTTAAAGGACATAGAGCTAGTAAGAACATAATCCTTTTTTATATCTTATGTAAACTTAAAGGATATAGCTAGTGAGAACATAATCCTTATTCATATGTAATGTAAACTTACAGGACAAAGAGCTAGTAAGAACATGATCCTTATTTATATCTGATGTAAACTTACAGGAAATAGAGCTAGTAAGAACGTGATCCTTATGTTTGTCTTATGTAAACTTACAGGTCATAAAGCTAGTAAGAACATAATCCTTATTTATATCTAATGTATACTTACAGGACATAGAGCTAGTAAGAACATGATCCTTATTTATATCTAATGTAAATTTACAGGACATAGAGCTAGTGAGAACATAATCCTTATTCATATGTAATGTAAACTTACAGGACATAGAGCTAGTAAGAACATGATCCTTATTTATATCTGATGTAAACTTACAGGACATAGAGCTAGTTAGAACATGATCCTTATTTATATCTAATGTAAACTTACAGGACATAGAGCTAGTAAGAACATGATCCTTATTTATATCTGATGTAAACTTACAGGACATAGAGCTAGTACGAACATGATCCTTATTTATATCTAATGTAAACTTACAGGACATTGAGCTAGTAAGAACATGATCATTATTTATATCTGATGTAAACTTACAGGACATAAAGCTAGTAAGAACATGATCCTTATTCATATGTAATGTAAACTTACAGGACATAGAGCTAGTAAGAACGTGATCCTTATGTATATCTTATGTAAACTTACAGGACATAGAGCTAGTGAGAATATAATCCTTATTCATATGCAATATAAACTTACAAGACATAGAGCTAGTAAGAACATGATCCTTATTTATATCTAATGTAAACTTACAGGACATATAGAGCTAGTAAGAACATGATCCTTATTTATATCTGATGTATACTTACAGGACATAGAGCTAGTAAGAACATGATCCTTATTTATATCTAATGTAAACTTACAGGAAATAGAGCTAGTAAGAACATGATCCTTATTTATATCTAATGTAAATTTACAGAACATAGAGCTAGTGAGAACATAATCCTTATTCATATGTAATGTAAACTTACAGGACATAGAGCTAGTAAGAACATGATCCTTATTTATATCTGATGTAAACTTACAGGACATAGAGCTAGTGAGAACATGATCCTTATTCATATGTAATGTAAACTTACAGGACATAGAGCTAGTAAGAACATGATCCTTATTGTCTGTCGTTTGTTGCTGTGAAATCTGAACACAAAGTATACTGCCTCTATGTATATTATTACCATCGCCACACATAATATACAACATATTGTCAAAGTCACGATCACGTCAGGCCACTGGTTTTCTTTCAGATCTGAAATACATATAAACTGTAACTATGCTCAACGCTCGCAAACATTATGTGTGTACAGGTCCCAAGAAGGTAACCTGTTATAGAGTCGTAGGTCGCTGTCTGTCATATTTTTGTTATTATTATTATTGTGTTGTCCATAAATAATGCCGTTTGTTTTCTCGTTTGAATTGTTTTGTACATTTTAATCATGTTGCGACCTTTTACAGTTGAGTAGACGGTATTTGTGTTGCTCATTTCTGAAGGTTGTGTGATGGCCTTAATATATAGTTGCTTACATCTACGTCATATTGTGTCTAGTGAATAGATGTCTCATTGGCAATCATATCTCATCTTCTTATCTTTATATTAACTTGTGTTTTAGGTTTGTTTCATTTGAAGTATTAGTTTTTACTGCCATCATCGATGGTAGAATGGTGTCATCCAACATTTGATATTACAGAGTGATCAGGTTCATCGATCAACACATTCTGATTTATTTGTAAGGTGAAGGTTGAATTGGTCATATTTCAGAGAAAATGTGGGTTTTTTTTTTAAGTTAAAGGATGACGACAAATGATCGATGTCATAAAATAGCAATAGTGCGTATATATAACTGTGACATTGTGAATAAAACAAATATTAGATTATTTGAAACTGAAAGTTTCGACACAAATATATTATCAATTGGTTTATTGGCATACCAAAGAATGCATAGTCGTTCACAAAATGTGGATTTCCATCTCCTGAACGAATGGGGGAAAAGACTGTCAGATATATATATATATATATATATCTATGGTGGATAAAACCAGCTACCAAATATCTGCATATCTTCCTTATTGGTCCTGTATGTAAAACTTACACAAATTGTCACACTGTAGATTAGCACTCACAATATATTTCGCTAATGTCCAGTGATTGATGATTGTTAGATGCTTTAATGTCCAGTGGCAAATATTTCATGCATGTTCAGGACGATCAATAATGTCCAGTGAAGACAGTCACATATTAAATCAAATGTGTTATTCGATAATTTAAACATTGTTAGAAAACAAATTTTAGAAACTTGGTAAATTTCTTAATTTTACTGGTAAGAAGACACATTTTTTATGAATATATTCATAATTTATCTACTTTGTATTTACAATTGTGATCGTTATTACGTGTTTATGACAGCCCCAGGCATAACAGAATATTTTATTTAGTATTCAGGATTATCATTCTCTTACATATACTAAGATCACAGTATTTGTTAATGTTTAAACACACACATATATATATATATACGAGGGCGCTGGATCGGATCGTTACGAGTAACGATTCCTGTATTCAATTAATAAATTATATAAACGTCTAAAAAGTGTACAAAACAACACCAATATAAATAGATATTATTGTGTTATTTCCCTTTTCTTATCATTTTATTCTGAAGTATAATTGTAACCAAATCAATGGAATCATTTGTACGAAATTTAACTTGATTATTCTGTCTCTTTAATTGACAATAAAAAAATTTAAAAAAAACTTGAACTTGCGTATATTGCTGCATCAAATTTTGTTGTTATTGTTGTGATAATTATAGAAAAGAGTGCATCATTTAGTACCATAGATCTGTAGACATGAGAAATATATATGAAAAAGACCGATGCAAAAGTAATGGTCTTGCAGTCTTTGTAGTATTTATGGTGTAAGCTTATGTCATTGAAACATTGGGGAAAGAGATATACTTTCAACAATACTAAATAGGACTTTATTTGATTATTTATGCCAATCTTAAAGGTAAACTTGCTTATCATGACAGATTGAAAATTACCTCTGTACAAAACTTCGGTCCGTGGATATTCATTGGAACAGTTCAGCATGATGACGGTACTGAAAGTGCAAGAGTATACTGTAGCATGCGTGAAAGCAAGTGCATAACTACTTCAAAAACACAGGCGCTTGGGTACAGGATTTGGATAATTTTTTTCATAGTTTGCAATGCATATTCAATATTCAATTTTATACCACATACTAGTACTTATCCTATAAAAATAAGGAGATTGGTATGATTGCCAATGAGACAACTATCCACCAAAGTTCAAATGAAGTGGGTGTAAGCGATTATAGGCAACGTATGGCCTTCAACAATGAGAAAAACCCATACCGTATAGTCGGTTATAAACAGAAAAGGCCCCGACATGAAAAATATGAAACGATTAAATTGAGAAAACTAATGGCCTAATTTATAACAAAGTAAAACAATTTACGAAAAACAAATATGACCGACATGAACCAACGACAACAACCGAACTACAGGCTCCTGACTTGGGACAGGCACATAAAGGGTACAGTGGTGTTACAACACAACATAAGAACAAACTATAAAAATCAGTTGAAAAGGGCTCAACTCATCAAATCGATAAAAAGCAGAAAAGCATCTAACAAAAACACAGACCGGACGTGACAGGGTATTTATACACCCCTAACAACAAAAAAGACACAAAAGTACAGATCTGCGAGTACTCGCAGTTACTGGTAGCAAGTTCAAATCCAATAACAACTAATAAAAAAATCATGTATCTAAGACTAAAATATCAATCAGTACACATCAAACGGATTTAGTGTAAAGACAGATTGTAGTACCGTGAAAGTGCATATGTGTATAACAATAATATTTAATATGGTTTTGATTTACTGATAACAAAATCAATATTTATACCAATAAAAACAATATTTAAAGATTTGATTACAGTGTTGAATTGGTAACCTTTCAGAATAAGTTTACAACTATTATTGTCTTACGTTGTTTTGGTTGAATTTATTAACTCATATACAATTGCTTTAATATTGTATACTATACAGTTGTTTTAAGTATGAATATTAAAATCAGGGATTGTATCAGAGTTGATAAATTCAACCAAATCATGGTGAGACAAGCATAGCAGGTTAAGTGTGTGGTATAAAAATAGAAATTTGAATATGCATTGCAAACAATGAAAATAAAATATCTAAATCCTGTGCCCAATTATAAGCACTTGTAAAAAACTATACAAAGTAAAATTAATGAAAGAAATAATAAAAAAACAAATAACCACACCAATAAATTATTTTTAAAATGTTAGCTTATCTCAACTGTTCTTGTTTTTGTCTGTTCAGCTGCCGCGTGCATTGTAATATATATGCATTTAAAAGTGTTGTAATAATTAAGCTTACCTTCTCATGTGTTGGTCACTGATAGGTATAACTGGTCATACGTACTAGAGTGTAAATTTCATATAGTGTATACACTATTATGTATAGGTAAAATCTTCTACTATTTAAAGATTAAATGTACACGAGTAAATATTGACAAAATAAGTTTAATCACGTGATCAAAGTCTTCACAATAGAAAAGTCATAGTCGGTCAAAATGGCGAAGAAAAAAGAAAGACTGAAACCCTCTGCCTTAAGTTTGTTTATATATGTATTCGTGCCTACAAGTGTTGTAACATTATCCATCATATCAGACCCGAGGATTGCTTCTAAAGTAGAATACACATCTGGTAAGTCAGTATAACTATTGGTTGATATAACTTTGTGGTTTGTTTCCATGGAAAATATTATGCTTTAAGGTTCATCATAACCTTTTAGCAAATATATGGTCGTATTTACAACACAAATTTCACTCCGAGTACAGACAAACCTGTGCATCTGGACAAATTTTAGAGCATGGCTGGACCTAGCCGTATAAAATTTAAATGCATTTAAAGTTTCAGAATATTAAAAACTTAACTGGATTTCGCTATTCATTTTTTTCATTCCTGCAGAAGGTGCCAAAATAAACTAAGTTGGGAAAGAGGTTTGAGAAGCTCCCCTCATATAATAAATTTGTGAGTTATATTAATTTAAATGGACAATAGATATCTGCAAACAATAGGTCATTTAAACTGTGTAGCTGAGTGGACCGTACTCGAGGACCGTATCAAATGAAACTCAAGTGTTTGTTTATTTGCTATCTTCTGCAGATTGGAAAAAAATGCACTTCAAAATCCAGGCAAGTTTTTAATTTTCTATAACTTTTATATATCTAGGTCCAGTCATGCCTTAAAACTTTCCTAGATGCATCGGTTTGTCTGTACTCAAGAGTAGATTTTGTTGTGTACATGGTGTAAAAACGGTCATATTTTTCAATTCCTTTCGGTTAAGAAATCACTTCATTCGCATGGAAAATAGTATGCTTTAAGAAATCACTTCATTCGTAAATATGAGACAGGTGCCATTCAAAGATATCAACTGCAATGAATTGTTTATTTTGCTTTTGATTTTTATTAACTAGGAGACACAAGGATTTTGAATCATTGATACACTACAGTATAGGCATATATCATGCTGTATATTCTCGTAGTTTATTTTAATATTAAGAAATGTGTGTTTATTTGCCATCAATATTTCATTTGTTTCTTGATTTCAGACTTTTTAAACTTGCTTCTGTTAAAGAAAAAAATCACGTCACTGACTTTTAATCAGGAGAACTAAGGATTTGTGTATTACCGTATAGAAATCCTTGACAAACGTGACAAATTTACAGTTTGTTTTTTATATTCCTTGCAAACGATGGATCGATTTCTATGAAAGATAATTATTGATAATGTTATGAAGATTATTAATAACACGTCTTGGTTATTAATCTAAGTCATAAAGATACATGAATGTTTTATTGTGCTGCTTGTTTTATACATGTTACTGACGTCTACCCAACATCTTTTGTTGAAAATGCCAAAAAAATATTTTAAATACACACACTGTGTTCTATAATGGGTAATTTTTCCAAAGAGAGCACAGGTTGCTGTATTTTAAATATTTATTACAAATAGCTGCATAAATTTTAGATACCCTCCCTACCTTTTGAAATTGATTACATCCCTGTTGAAATAAGATCCATGAACTCATTAATTTTGTTAAGAAAAGATACTGCATACTGTTAAATTCTTCAGTCATTCATGAAGTTAACATGATATTTCTTTTCTTTAACAGATTGTATTGATGACTTGGGTACGACCAGAGCTCATAACGATGTATGGGAGACAACTGGTGGATGTGATAGAAACAGGTGCTGGCATGGTACACTCAAGAACTATTTAATCAAACACAGGTAACAACAAAAGATTCATAGATTCAAATTTGTGAAATATTATTATATCTTTTAAAATAAATGATTTGAATTTTAACCATTTATTTAACTTAAATTGTTTTTAAATGTAAGAACAAACGTATCAGTACTCAGAGAACTCAGTTTTTTTCTGTAAATTTGTACATCTAATAAGTTAATATATCATTCACATACTAAAGTAACATGGTTTCTACAATGTAAGATGAAGACCCAATATCATAAACCAAAATGAAAAATTCACCTAGTAAGAGAAAAGAGTTTCGATAATCAAAAGTATCGAATAATTATAATTATTAAAGTTACAAAATCAACTCATATAATTGAATTAAAGAGAAAAATCAGTAAAATTAATTATATAATGGGGTAACTGTTCAACTAACTTTCTTGTTTGATTACCAGATTTATTGTAGCAACAATAGCACTAATAAAAACTTCAGTTAATCTATAGCTGTCCAAATATGGTTGATTACATTAGTTTTATCTGCTTATTTTCGCAAACAGTGGTTGCCTTTAATGACTTTCATCCTAATTCAGGTGTAAAGACACATTTTACAAAAAGCTACTAAGTCACCCATATTATTTTAACAATGAGCTCAGCAACACGGTATTGACATAAAACGCCAAAAATTCACAACATGTAAACTTAACTACATCTTTTCTTCAAAATCCACCAAACTATATGGGGAATTTCGATGAAGCTGTAAGACAGGCTGAAAAATCACTTACAAGTTGTAAAGCCTAATTATAAAGTAATTCCTTACCACCAAATCCGTAAGTGTGCTATTGCATGTGTATATGAATTTAAGTATTGAAGTGTGCAGTCACCATTATTGAATTATCATCTTCATTTTAATTCTTAATTGTGATTTAATTCCATTAATGCACTTATGTTCAATAATTTAAGTTCTGTTTCATGCAAAGTTATTCTATTACAGTTGTACAGAGATAACAGATAGTTATAATCCTGACAGCCCTAATTGCCTACCTGTAGCAAATACTACCCTGTCATTTCCTGGATGTTGTCCCGTACTGTCATGTGCTACAGCCAGTCCAGTCACAACTATCTCACCCACAGGTAAGTTTGTCCCATTATATGTTATCATGTATTACAGCCAGTCCAGTCACAACTATCTCACCCACAGGTAAGTTTGTCCCATTATATGTTATCATGTATTACAGTCAGTCCAGTCACAACTATCTCACCCACAGGTAAGTTTGTCCCATTATATGTTATCATGTATTACAGTCAGTCCAGTCACAACTATCTCACCCACAGGTAAGTTTGTCCCATTATATGTTATCATGTATTACAGCCAGTCCAGTCACAACTATCTCACCCACAGGTAAGTTTGTCCCATTATATGTTATCATGTATTACAGTCAGTCCAGTCACAACTATCTCACCCACAGGTAAGGTTGTCCCATTATATGTTATCATGTATTACAGTCAGTCCAGTCACAACTATCTCACCCACAGGTAAGTTTGTCCCATTATATGTTATCATGTATTACAGTCAGTCCAGTCACAACTATCTCACCCACATGTTAGTTTGTCCCATTATATGTTATCATGTATTACAGTCAGTCCAGTCACAACTATCTCACCCACAGGTAAGTTTGTCCCATTATATGTTATCGTGTATTACAGCCAGTCCAGTCACAACTATCTCACCCACAGGTAAGTTTGTCCCATTATATGTTATCATGTATTACAGTCAGTCCAGTCACAACTATCTCACCCACAGGTAAGGTTGTCCCATTATATGTTATCATGTATTACAGTCAGTCCAGTCACAACTATCTCACCCACAGGTAAGTTTGTCCCATTATATGTTATCATGTATTACAGTCAGTCCAGTCACAACTATCTCACCCACAGGTAAGTTTGTCCCATTATATGTTATCATGTATTACAGTCAGTCCAGTCACAACTATCTCACCCACAGGTAAGTTTGTCCCATTATATGTTATCATGTATTACAGCCAGTCCAGTCACAACTATCTCACCCACAGGTAAGTTTGTCCCATTATATGTTATCATGTATTACAGTCAGTCCAGTCACAACTATCTCACCCACAGGTAAGGTTGTCCCATTATATGTTATCATGTATTACAGTCAGTCCAGTCACAACTATCTCACCCACAGGTAAGTTTGTCCCATTATATGTTATCATGTATTACAGCCAGTCCAGTCACAACTATCTCACCCACAGGTAAGTTTGTCCCATTATATGTTATCATGTATTACAGCCAGTCCAGTCACAACTATCTCACCCACAGGTAAGGTTGTCCCATTATATGTTATCATGTATTACAGTCAGTCCAGTCACAACTATCTCACCCACAGGTAAGTTTGTCCCATTATATGTTATCATGTATTACAGCCAGTCCAGTCACAACTATCTCACCCACAGGTAAGTTTGTCCCATTATATGTTATCATGTATTACAGCCAGTCCAGTCACAACTATCTCACCCACATGTTAGTTTGTCCCATTATATGTTATCATGTATTACAGTCAGTCCAGTCACAACTATCTCACCCACAGGTAAGTTTGTCCCATTATATGTTATCATGTATTACAGCCAGTCCAGTCACAACTATCTCACCCACATGTTAGTTTGTCCCATTATATGTTATCATGTATTACAGTCAGTCCAGTCACAACTATCTCACCCACAGGTAAGGTTGTCCCAATATACGTTTTCATGTGCTAGAGTCAGTCTTCACCACTATCTCACCTACAGGTAAGTTTGTCCTTTAATATTTTATGTGCTAAACCCAGTCCAGTCACAACTACCTCACCCACAGGTAAGTTTGTCCCATTATATGCTTTCATGTGCTACAGTTAGTCCATCAACACCCACAGATAGGTTTTTCCTATGATATGTTGTGGTGAGATCTATCTAGTCCATTGACAGCAATATTATTACCAATATTGTTTGAATCATTGTTTTCTATAACTGGTCCACTGACAGAAGAATTTATATAAAAGTGTTTACTGATATACTAATTATTTGTATGTGCCTATGAAGAAGTAAATACACATGCTATGTCTGATAATGGTGGATGCTTAATGACCAGTGGCAAATATTACATGCATATTAAGTTTGAAAACTGAAGTTTGACTTAAGACCTTCTGAACTAAAGTCAAGATGGTTCAAGTTTTAGGTAGCTGTATAAGTTATAAGCTGTAAACATACATAACCTGTACCAATACATAATGCCACAGATTTTCCTGATACTGTTTACACTTGTATAGAGTGAAAATAGTTCAGCAATGTCAGTACAAAAACATTTTCATTCCCAGACATGGGAACAAAATACAGTGTATAGGAATGATTTCAAGCACACGATACTCTCCTCCAACAGAAGAAGCTTCAAGCAAATGAAGTAAATAAGTAAATCTGGACATTTTTCTTTGAGCTTCTGTAGATGTTTTAGATATTGTTTTGTAACACTTTTTGTTTGTAGCGTGTTATGACAGATCGTCAGCCTTTGCCTGCTCTTTTTGGTACAATATGACTGGTGGTTGTCAGCCTGGTGTGGATACTTACAATGATAGACTGTATAACTATACACTGATAGGATGCAGGCAACTTTGTGGGTAGGTTCATTTTAAATTGAGACAGATTTTCAAAACATTATATTGGATTTGAATTTTTAATTTGGTGTACATAAAATTCCCATTATTTGATCTCAACTTTGTATTAGTATTTTACTATTTTTTAGGGGGTTTTATGTAGGGGCCGTACAACAAAAAAGTGAAATAAACTTCTTTTTTTAGCATTCACCTTTTTTGTTCTCATTCAATGAAATAACAAAAGTAATATATCAAAAAAAAAATACAAAAATAGTACAGAAAAATGCCTTAATCTACAATATTGATCTCTCATTGATATATACTACACATCTCCTTTAATTCATGTTTTATCTTTTATACTTTCAGGCACTGTTGATCATGACAGCCAGACATAATGGCATTCCAATCATCTAGTTAATTATTTTTGTTAATCACTGTGATATCTATATTTATATACATGGGCTGGTCCCATTTTTGTTTTTAAAAATTTTAATGCATTTTGGTACATACATTTAATTTTACACATGCATATATTCCGTCCTTCAGACATTTCAATGATTGTAGCTGATCTGTCCTATATCTGCTTGATATTGGTACATTTTTCAGATAACTAACAAATATATAGACTTTATATTATTGTCAAATACAATGTGGGTGGTTTTTTTTAAAATGATGACCATATTTTTATTTGAATAAAAAAAGAAGGTACAATTTTGAGTACATGTATTTTAATAAAACACTGCTCATTTGGTTGAAAATATATCCTTCTCATGGGTTATATAGTTATATAATGTAAGCTAATTCATTAAAATGATGAGATTACACAAAATCCTGACTTTTTGACCCTTAAATGTTGTGAACTAATATAAAGCACAACCCGTGCTCCAAAGAGATATTCACACCTATGTTGTTTTTTTTTCTAAACACTGGAAAATCTCAATTATGACATCAGATTAATAACATCAGTCAAAGTGTGTCAGTATGCCTTACCTCATAATTACATTTTCTGAAATCTTTTTTTCTGAAGTTTAAAAAAGTGAGACAAATAATAGCATTGTGTTTTATTTTTGGTAAATTTTCAGAGGTAAAATCCCCAAATGTATCTTCTCCTTTTATGTTTGAAAAGTAAAATAACATTCTAGCACTTTTAATTTGATTTACAAAATTAATCATAAGAAACAACTGAAAGTAAGTAATTTCTATCAAAAATTTGGTAGATATATTGTTTTTATAATTTTAAAATAAAAGATTTTATACACCTTCATTACTGGCTTGTCGTTCCTTAGGGAAGGGTTGAGCACTTGCAAACCCATTATGTATGTGCCATGCCAAAATCAGGAGCCTGTATTGAACAAAAACCCACATCACATACATTGTTGTAGCAAGCTATACAAGACCCTGACATGATAAAATGTAAAATGTAAAATTATTCAAACAAGAAAACCAACAGCCTGATTTATTTACAAAACAATAAATGAAAGACAAATATGATAGTTACACTATATATTGTTGACAAATCAGGCATAGTTACTGAGTCAAAACCTGAAATCTTGGGACCAAGAAAACAACATCGTTGCAACAACTTAACATACTGTACATGTGTCATATATTACAGACTTGTCGCTCATTGTAAATGAGGAACAAACTTAACCATTAACAGCGTTATTGTTTTTTTTATTCTTGTCTTATCATTGAAGACCTTATGTTGACCTCTAGATGTCTTTTGGAATTGATGTGTTGTTGGACTGCTGTCTGATTGACTGGTTTGGTTATTAAGTCTTACTTCAGTCAAAACAAATGAAATATGAAAATATGCTATAATTAAACTTTTAGACTGCAACTAATAACTACTATCACAACTTCCATTACACATGTCCCAGGACCCAAGGAAGACAATAAACTGTCCAAGTTATTTTAACACCTGCCAAAACAAACAATCAAAGTGCTTGTTTTGTCAATTTTTAAATAAAACATTGAATTGTATTTTGCTAGGAAAAAAAAAAATTTGAGTTGGAGTTATCTTCTTTTGTTCATGATTGTACATTTGTAGTTGAACCTATTTTTATAACAGATTGATAGACCATGCATTACTTATGTAATTTTTAATAAAAAAAAGTATGGTACCGGTACTTGAAATACACATCATATTGTAACTTAAATATCAAAGTATAACATATCATCAATAAATTGCATGACATTGATTGGCTAAGAACAAAATAATGATCACTTCACTGCACTATTTTGTTTGAACTATCAAAGGTAGTTATCAACCTTGGAAGATATAGATATCAAGTCAGTACCATAGGGTTTTGATTGCATTTCATGCAATCTTTACCCAAAAATGTAAATGCTGCAGCTGTTGATTAGAGTGAATAATGAATCTATTACTCATCTGGCTGGAAAAATGTTTTCCGAAATACAAGGACAGTGTCAGTCAAACAGTAGCTTTTGCTGCCATCATCAATGACTCATTGGGTTGCTGGATAAAAATTTGAAAGGGTCACAACAGAATGATTTTCAACAGTTGTAGACTATATTTGGAAAAGTGCCAAATGCTCTGAAGTTTGTAGTAAAGTAAAGATGATGTTTACAGAGGCATAAGACATGTGATACCTAATGATGACAATAGCTCACTTTAAGTCTTCTTCCAGTTAATGTACCAGCTCCACTAAATTGTGTTGCTATGGACCATTAAAATTCTTAAATGACTAATAAAATATACACATGAAAACAAATGAATATGATAAAACTTTATGATACAATTTTACTCTTTGGCCTTAACCTTCTGTTTGAAATTGTCAGTCTTCATATATCTCAGTTTCTTGGGATTAATTCCATATGCTTTAAGTCTCTCATCAGATAATATAGGAAGTTTCTTCTTCTTCTTCTTTTTCTTTTTCTTCTTTTTTGTTTTAGTTTCACTATTCTTTACATCCTGACTGATTTCCAATGATTTACTGGTCCCTTCTTGAGGTGTATTACTGCTCTCACCTGCATCTGTGTGGTCTGTTGAACCAGTCAACAATTGTTTCTTTTTAATTTTCTTTTCCTTTACTGTGACTTTTTCGTCTGATAAATTAATATCTTCCGCTATGACAGACTGTCCTTCCTTTAAATGTAGTTTCTTTTTCTTCTTCTTAGCATTATTCTGTTGGTCCATTAACTTTCTCTTATTCCCACCTGACAGGTTCTCAGTTGCATTCAAGTTCAATATTTCATTTTTGTCACTCTTAATTACATCACTGACATTTACTGTAGAATCTGACCGCACCTCAGCAACATTGCTATCCCCTTTTTCTTCATTACTTCCCTTGTTCTTTTTCTTTCTTTTATTCTTCTGACTTCCTGCAATCTTTTCTCTTAAATAAAAATAGCAGATATAAGTACTTGACTCCTCCAAGAAAGTAAAACTTGTTTTTTTGCTTGAATTGACGAAGTGTTTACCAGCATGTTTTTTTTTGTTATTTGTATTGTTCAGTTGCTATCTCATTGACATATATTCCACATCTCCATATATGCATAATAGAATATAGCAATGCAATGGACTATATTGAAAATAGATAGGATTTGGGTGGAAATCTCAGGAGAAACTTTGCACAAGGAACATTGATTTTATTGTTCTTATTAAATAAATAGGATTGACAGCTTTCCTCCAGAAGGTCATGGTTTTCTCTAGGCACCTCAGCTTCCCCCAGAATGTCATGGTTTTCTCTAGGCACCTCAGCTTCCGCCAACAATAAAAACTGGCCACCATGATATAGTCATGAAAGTGGTATTAAACACCAAATATCAATCAATCATTGAGCTTTGCCATGATTGTGCTGGAAGGTCTTCAGTGATGGGTTGCAGTGCTCACATATCCTGAGCAAGATCAAGACAGCTTCTTGCAGTGACTTTAGCCATATTCATATTAAAATGCTATATTTGTAATAGAACATATATATGCCACAGTAATCAATAAATTGTATATAACAACTGGCAGTCTTTCTGTATAACTATGGATGTGATTCTATAATTTCTAGAATCAAGATGATATTTCAAAATTCACTATTTAACAGGATGCTATATGTAATTTGTGGGGAGAATACTACTGCCATAAGCTGTTAGAAAAAGGACACTGCTAATCTTGCTTTCCATTCACTTATTAAAGAGATGCTTCAGACAGAAAATAAATGTACCCTCAGATAAAATATATTGCATATAATAAATTTGCTAAGTCAATTTTTTTGTTAAAGCTAATTAAAGAAATCTACCCAGTAATTGAAAAATAGAACAGAAGACCACATCATTTATTGAATGAAAACTGGAGGCAACCCACTCATGCAGATGTAGAAAGACCGATGAGTAGATATCTGTTTTATCGTTTAACTTTTCTCCTTGCATTGAAAGAACTTTCTGCTTTCCATTGAAAAGGGACTATAAGATAATGAGTTTTAACATTGCAAATAGAAATATTAGTTCTGACCTTTTACCTATCTTGTCTTCACATTTCAATTCAAAACACTTCAAATGTTGGTTAGATGTAGTAACATAAAGTCTATAAATATCTCACAAAATATACAAACTTAGTAGGTTGCCTTAGTAACTTCATTTGAACTTTGGGTCCCTCTCCTTATTTTTATATTAGTAACTTACTTGTCACTTTTTTCATGAAGACTTGGTAACATTTTTGCCTTTTTTTCAGTATTCTTTGACTTATGAGAATATATCTTTAAATCATCCATTTCTTCTTCCTCTGTCCTGAAATAAAAGTATTTTTAAGAATGAACTTTATCGTGGATAGTTGTCTCATTGGCAATCACAAGCCAACTATACGGTATGGGTTTTTTTTCAAAGATGAAGGCCTTACGGTTGCCTACAATTATATCCACTTCATTTGATTTCAAGCATTTGTCTCTTTGGCATTCATACCACATCTCCTTATTTTCATGTTTATGTTTTTTTTTCTGAATTTATGACACTGACATGATACACATAAGTCATTTCAACTTTTCTATATCAATTGAAATTAACCAAGACGATGTAAATCTAATACCAAACATAAATTTTGCAGATGGTGAACATTTTCACAATGAACACTGTAAAGTTAGTAAACTTTTGACTTCCGGACCCTAATGATTCAGTAACAAAGACAGCAAAAACAAATGCAATGACTTTTAGAACAATTAGTCTATATATAATGGACAGTATTCATACTCCTTAGAAGAAAAGGTTAAAAGAGTCTTATATAATTCCTCTTGATTGATAACAATAATTCTTTTCTTTGGAAAACTAAACAAATTAAACAATTTGTATGTTAAACGAGTATAGAGTAATGGTATACTGACATAAGAGGTCTCTAAACACAGTAGCTCCAAATGGAACTTTTGTTAGTGGAAGCCATAATAATTATGTGTATCAGCGGGAAAAAATTCTGACAAATAAAAAATATATGGTATATGCCGTATACCGCATCTATATAAATCGGGTGCAACTATTAACCCACCATTCTGCCTTTGAGGAAGGTCTGTAAAGGACCGAAACTGGTCAGGCTATGGATCACCACCAGGCACTGTTAATTATACTTAACCGCCGGATACCGGATCTATATAAATAGGGTGCAACTATTAATCTACCATTCTGACTCTGAGGAAGGTCTGTAAAGGACCGAAACTGGTCAGGCTATGAATCACCACCAGGCACTGTTAATTATACTTATCCGCCGGAAACCAGATCTATATAAATAGGGTGCAACTATTAATCTACCATTCTGCCTCTGAGGAAGGTCTGTAAAGGACCGAAACTGGTCAGGCTATGGATCACCACCAGGCACTGTTAATTATACTTATCCGCCAATACCGGATCTATATAAATAGGGTGCAACTATTAATCTACCATTCTGCCTCTGAGGAAGGTCTGTAAAGGACCGAAACTGGTCAGGCTATGGATCGCCACTAGGCACTGTTAATTATACTTATCTGCTGGATACCGGATCTATATAAATAGGGTGCAACTATTAATCCACCATTCTGCCTCTCGGAAGGTCCCTGAAGGACCGAAACCTGTCAGGCTATGGATCATCACAAGGTGCTGTTAATTATGTGTTTTGGCATATACTATATTTTTTAATATGTATGTTAAAATCTAATTAAGATAACCTTGTTTTTACCTATATTGGCTCATTTTCTTTAGTGAGGCCCATGCATTTAATTCTTTGTCTCTTGCTGTCAAAACCTGCAGAAAAGTTAACAAATGTTTATAACTTGACATAACCAAAATCATTGATAGCAACAAATATCACATCAATGACGATATAAAAAATTGGAATACATCAAACATAAGAGTGGACACACTTAAAAGTCTCACCTGATTTACTGATTATGATTGAATTTTATCAATGATCCTTGAAAATAAGGTCAAGGTCTATTAGATGTACATTTACAACAATTCAATAACTCTAATATAGAGACCTATCACTTGTAGTATCTGTGAAACTGACCTATTCACGAAAACTTAAAGTTTACCAATAAACCATGCAAACAAGATCAAGGTTATTCACCTGAGAAGCAGAACTAAGACCTGTGACATAAAATTTTTTTTGTCATAATGTCAAAATTTCCATAAAAAAATAGATTTACCAAATTATCATCGGAAAATATAGTTATGCATTTCTTCAATTTAAATCAAAACCTTTTTCCGTTTTGTAAATTTTCAGTAAAATCTATTGCAGTAAGAAATGAATACACTTGTCCCCATTGCTTAACTTTATTGAATATATATTTTCTAGATTCCTGTACCTCATCTACTGACAGTCCATAATCATTGGAAAGAACTGTTCTGTATTTAAATCTACATGGTTTGTCATCTATGATGTCTTCATAGTCCAAACTGTAGTAATCATTATAGTACTCCTCAAACGTCTTCTTATCTACAAGTTATAATTTATTGTATTATTGACAAATTTTAAATTGAAGAATTTTCATAATGGGTTTCCCTTTAAAAAAAAATTAACAAAGTTTAGTACATACTGGCAAGGTTATTTTAAATAAGAAGACAAACATGTGATTTCATATAGATTTCATCAAAATATAAAAGAAGGTGGCTTTTGTACTTGCTTCTTTCTAGAAGCGCTTGAAATATAGCTAATTACTGACCAAATTATGAAGAAGACATAGTGTTTTGCCTATTTTGAAAGTTATATTACGATAGTTATTTAAACAATCTTAGATGTAATGTATTCAAACTGTCAAATATGGTAACCTCCCTCTGCACAATATTTTTTGACAAGAGATTAAAAAGCTTTAAGAAAATATCAAATTACTTGGGCATACCGATACTTGGTTTCAATTTTTCATAAACCCCAAATGTTAATTTTTTATTTAAAAAAAAAGTACATTTTAGTTTTATAAATTAAATTGTAAAGATTAGTTTTTTTATAGTATTTGCTGTAACATTTAACTTTTCATTAATCTTTGTAAGTCATACTTGGATCAAACACTGGTTTCTTTTTAGCAAGTGCTTGCTTGAACTTTGACTTTTTCTTCTTTTTACCAGTTTTCTCAACAACTTTTGTTGGGTCATAATCAGCATCCATCTATATCAAAAATAAAATATATCTACTAAGCTCTAAGAAATCATTTTCAAAAATAGATTAATTTTACATAAAAAAGTCAATTACTGTATGTTGAAATAAAAGAATTGTAAACTTTACCTCCACCCCAAAATATAACCCCAAATCAATCAGTGAAATACAAAGATATATCTGTAGCTATTTGTTTCTTAACACTGGTCGCTGATCCATGAAAAAAGGTCAAGGTCAAGTGAGCCCTTATGCTCATCATTTTCATCCAAATTCATACCCATGCTTCCCTATTTATTTATATATGGCAACAATAGTAAACCCAATTAAAAATTATATGGATAAAATAATGAACAAAAAGCACAACACCATTTTATAATTGAAATTTTCCATGACTTTAAAGCAACTAAAATGACATGGTGGAATGATAAAGCTATAACTAGTGTTGATAACTTTCATTTATATATAGAGATGTTGATGTTATGTATGCCTTACAATAAAGTTTGGATCATCCATGTGGGGTTCTGTTTCATCTATGTCTTCTGGCTCTGGTCCAGTCCAGTTGTCCCAGTTCTCTGTCAATCAAAACAGATACACTTTTATATACTATTAGAAAAAAACATGTAAAGACAATTCTAATCAAATAAAATTTTATTTTTTTCTTTGATCATACATGTCTATTCTCCAAATATCAGTGAGAGCTTTTCAATATATTTTCATTAATCTCCCTCTGAAAACTAGCCTCTTGAAAAATCTCCCCTCTTTTACCATAATTTCATTAAAAGATTTTTTTTCTTTCTTTTAAAAATGATCAAATTACAGTCGACTCTACTGAATCCCATAAGGCTTAAGAAATACCACTTCTTCCATAGCTTATTTATCATTGCTAAATCTTCTCCCCAAGGATTAAATCCTTGTTAGTAAAATATTATTACCAGGAATTAAATCTTCATTGTCTTCATCAGCAAACACTGGTTTTATATCCTCTTCTTCTCCTCCATAAAAATCATCATTAAAACAACTCTGCAATTATATGAGACATTTCATTAATTTAAAAATAAACACAAGTTTATCTGCAACTACCATTTTACCTCTAGAATTCAAAAGAGAAAGTTAATTCCTTAATTCTTTCAAAGTTATTTTCCATTGTTGAAAAATGATTACTACAAATCTAAAGTAGGTAAAGCCAAAATACATAATTAACAGTGCCTGGTGATGATTCATAGACTGAGTGGTCATTCTAGTGTGAAAAACAATGTACAATTAACATTGCCTGGTGATGATTCAGAGACTGAGTGGTCATTCTAGTGTGAAAAACAATGTACAATTAACATTGCCTGGTGATGATTCAGAGCCTGAGTGGTCATTCTAGTATGAAAAACAATGTACAATTAACAGTGCCTGGTGATGATTCAGAGCCTGAGTGGTCATTCTAGTATGAAAAACAATGTACAATTAACAGTGCCTGGTGATGATTCAGAGCCTGAGTGGTCATTCTAGTATGAAAAACAATGTACAATTAACAGTGCCTGGTGATGATTCAGAGCCTGAGTGGTCATTCTAGTATGAAAAACAATGAACAATAAAATATGTTGAGGGTTAAGTCCCCACTAAACATAATGTTGATGACACAATTCCTATTAAACATATTTAAATTGAATTATTTCTGCCTGACATTTTCTTGAAGATACTGTTCCTAATAAACAATAGTGAACTATAGTGGCTTAAATCCACATCATTTGGTCTCTGATGAATAGTTGTCTCATTGGCAATCCTACAATATCTCCTTATTTTATATAGTTGCTTAAATCCACAGCATTTGGTCTCTGGTAGATAGTTGTCTCATTAACAATCTTACCATATCTCCTTATTTCATAAAAGTAGGATAGATCTGTTCCCCTAATACAATAATTAATTACTTTCATCATTTGATCGTGTTTGTCAGGATCAAAATCACCCTCTAGATCCTCTGTATTCAAACCAAGTGACTGGTTCCCTGCTATTTCCTTTAGCTTATCAATCTTATCCATTATCTCCTGTTTCTTCATATTCTTAAGCTGTTTTATTTCTTCTTTCCTTCTATCTTTTTCCTTTAATAAAAATAAAGAAAACAACAAAACTCATAAAATGTTTTTTTTGTCTGAAAAAAAATATACAATAAGCTTTGCCATTATCTTAAATAAATGGATTCAATAAATAATTAACTATCATTTCTAACATTAATAACAATTTTGACAAATACAATTATCATAAAACTATGGACAACTTTCATCCTTTGAAAAATAATTATCAATATAATTATGAAAAGTATTTTGAAAAAGTTCATGCTAAATACTAAACAAGGCGGCATATTTTGAGGGGTCAAAATTCTATTTCAGTTGAATTATCACGGTGCATTTTCTGGAAAGCTGATGTAAACATTTAATGGTGATGTCATAGTAAAATATAAACATTTAATGGTGATGTCATAGTAAAATATAAACATTTAATGGTGATGTCATAGTAAAATGTAAACATTTAATGGTGATGTCATAGTAAAATATAAACATTTAATAGTGATGTCATAGTAAAATGTAAACATTTAATGGTGATGTCACAGTAAAATGTAAACATTTAATGGTGATGTCACAGTAAAATGTAAACATCAAATGGTGATGTCATAGTAAAATGTAAACATTTAATGGTGATGTCACAGTAAAATGTAAACATTTAATGGTGATGTCATAGAAAAAGGTAAACATTTAATGGTGATGTCACAGTAAAATGTAAACATTTAATGGTGATGTCATAGTAAAATGTAAACATTTAATGGTGATGTCATAGTAAAATGAAAACAATCTGCAAAAGACATTTTCATTATATTAAATGTAAGACTTTGAAACTAATGATACAGAAAGTAACATTGATCTTTAAAATTTGGAGATGCCCTTTTCAGTGCAACTAATATGAAAATGCATAAATTAGTAGCTTTTTAAGATTTTTACCAACTTGTAAATTATAATGACATCATGTGCTGCCATCAAACCATTTTAATTTATTTTATTAAAATAGATATTTACTGTATTGGTAAAAATAAACTAAAAACTTTCAAATTTTGAAACCTTCATCTTAGTTCTGTTTTGTAAATATTCAGTCATTAAAATTCTAATTTAAACATAGTTACATAAACTATTTAGAAATGAGGTACACATAAACATTTTCACATGTATTCATTAGCATATAACTTTTTCAAAAAACACATTTAGTTCTTGTACCATTTTCTTTCTGTCTCTCAGTTGTTTTCTTCTTTCTGCTCTTTTACTTTCTTTCCTCCTGACAGAATCATCTATTGTTCGTGGGAAGGATTTGATCTGTAAACAATAACAAATTACTATAAGATCTAAGTGGAGTGTTTGAATAGTGGCATACCCTTTGCATATTAGGTGGCTTGTTGTAATAGTTTATTTTCTCTCAGCTTTTAGAACCTATAAATTTCCCAATTCAAAATGTGAAGCATTCTGGGAAGTATTTTCAAACAGGCACATGCAAACTTGTGATTAGTTAAAAATCAAAATAATGTAAATTTAACCTATAAAACAGAACTTTCTTTTCACTAATTTATGAACAATTTATGAACATTTTTATTCCTCAAAGTCCTTAAGATTCTGTAACAGTGTTGAAACTTATTCTTGTCTTAAAAATCCATGCATATTTGTAACTGAATTTAAGCAACCAATCAAAATTCAATTACAGTCGACTCTCGTTAGGAATATTTTGAGTAACCCGTAGTTTGACTCAAACAAATACAGGAAGTTTGACAGACCAAGGGACACAACTATTGCTTAGCTTGGTAAGGTTAAAATAAATCAGGAAATATGGATAAGGGATCTATATTCTGGTCTGAGATCGATGTATCTGTATGCAATGATCTTTTCTTATTATAATAAAATTATATATTTTTTTTGTCTCTTAGTTATATCTTGGTACAGTAACATTTTGTTCATGTGGATTTAAGCCTAGAGAATATTTTCTAATTGATCCTAGCGTGATTTCAAGTTGACAAAGCTGTTCATTCTGGTATACAAGAGAATTGAGAAAATTAAGATTTCTTTTCATTTTCTTTAATTTCTATCTTTTTCAGCAAGCGACAATACAAGAGATTACAGACACTGATTGAGTAATTTAGGTAAACACTCATGGGAAAAGAATGTCATAAATCAATACAGTGGTTAGTGACTGGAATTTAAATTACATGTGCAATGTCAGATTAACTCTTCAATCCATTTAAATCCCCAAGGTCATGTTTTGACATATATGTATTGGTTTGAGATAATTGACATAATTTGAATGCTTTTAGTAACCTTGGAAGTGTAATTTTGGTTCAACTCATTAGGAGTGGAAATACATATATTTATATGGAACAAAGTTCGAGACCACAGGAAAATTTTGACTCATCCGAAATTTCGAGTCAGGCGAGTTTGAGACGAGAGTTAACTGTATTCTTCATTAATTCTAATTCCACCATTACATTTGGATTAAAATTGACCAGGTGATAATTATCACCTCAGTATAGGAGATCATTGATTCGTTCACCACTGTTTACAATAATTCAATCTTAATAAAAACCTCTGAAATACAACATACAAAATCTTGGTCAGGCTCCTCATATCTGAAGTTGTATTTCCTTTCAAATTCCTCCTGCTTTTCTACATTTTCTTCATCATCTGTCAGTCCATCGCCATCATTTATAATCTCATCATATGATGGTATTCTGAAATAAATCAGGACATATTGACTACTACATGGGAAACTTGTAAAACTAGAAGCTGAGTCTTTCACATATGTATGCCTTAAATATACGTGGGTGAAAGACACACCTTCTACAGTTACAGATATGCATTATTTACCAAGATTTGGTCAAGCATAAAATGTAGGTCATGATGACTGCACATACAAGCACACACTGCATCATAGTGGAGTGTAGGAGTACATATTGTTGATACACTACAATAAACTTGAAATAGAAGTCAAAATGGGTCTAACTTGCTAAAATATGAAATGAAGGACTTGGTGATGTAAATACGTGTACTGCAAAAGAAGATTCAAGCATTGAAATCTTATCTACCCAAAGGATTTTACATTAAGATAGTATATGGTAGATCTGAGCAATTTGTGACAAACTTATTATACAGAAACACCTCACCTGTCTGCATCTTTTTCAAGGTACTGTTGCTTTACTATAAAATCTCTCAAAAATTTCTCTCCTTCCTCCAGATTTGGGTCATTCCAATATTGTTTTAATGAACCCTGCAATAACATAATAAAGTATATTCATTTATTGATACAATAGAGAATGGAAACGGGGAATGTGTCAAAGAAACAACAACCAAAAGGGAGAAACAGCCCAAGGCCACCAATGGGTCTTCAATGTAGCGAGAAAATCCTGCACCCGGAGGCAGGCTTCAGCTGGCCCTAAACATTGATTAAGCATTGATAAAGGAAATTTAGTTAAAATCAACAATACTGAAATTGACAAGAATCTTTCATTGTTTCATGGCATTAAAAAATCTAAAAATCAAACTTAAAGAAGAAAATATATTAAACCCAACAAGAAAACATTCTTTTTCTTCATACATTTCTAAATTAACGAAATTCATGTTATATTATCTAAACCAATGAAATCATTTAAATAAATAATAATATATTTTGTGCATTTAACTTAATTTACCATTTCAAAAAAATTACCGTAAAAAGATTTATTTTAACTTCATATTACAGTATTAAACAAGTTTTTTAAAACACCAGTACAAATTAGTAACCTTTTATAGCTTGCTATGCAGTACAGGTTTTGCTCATTGTTGAACACCGAATGTGACCTATCGTTGCTTACCTCCTACGTCATTTGGTCACTGGTGGAGTGTTGTCTCATTGGCAATCATACTACATCTTCTTATTTTTATATTTACCTTCAAAATATATATATTGGTGATTGGCCAGCATTACAGAATGACTTGTGTTGAAGCTAGTAGTACAAAATATGCTTCAGACAAGTCAATTCAAGGCATATATCAGCTGTGACCTTCAACTTATAAAGATATGATCTTACATCAAGGTTTTAACCTACTCTAAGGTTAAGGGTAATGAAATATGAACTATGACTAGAATCCAAGCAGTCATTTTTTTACGACCGCAAAAATTTTGCGTTCGTATATTGCTATCATGTCATCGTCATTTGGTTTCTGGACAATAACTTTAGTATAAGTGAATGGATCTTGCCATCGTATCCAGCTACTCAAGGCGGAGCGCATTTTTTAAAGTTATAATCCAGACACAAAATAAGGAAAGGACATTAAAGATTTTCAAATATCCCTAACTTAACTTATTTTAACCTGATAAAAAGAGGATTTACAATAAATATACACAAGACTTTTCCCCCAAGCAAAACCATTCAACAGATAAACCATGGTAATATTTAATTTACCAATTCTATTCCAAACTTTTTGTCTTCCTTTTTTCCCTTCTTTTCCTCTTTCACCCATGACATGAAATCTGTGTCTTCCTCATCCTAAAACAAGAACAGTAGTTATAACAAATCCAATGTTTTATAACATATTAGTGTACAATGGCTAAGGTACACTACAAATCCAATGTGTTATAACATATTAGTGTACAATGGCTAAGGTACACTACAAATCCAATGTGTTATACCATATTAGTGTACAATGGCTAAGGTACACTACAAATCCAATGTGTTATACCATATTAGTGTACAATGGCTAAGGTACACTACAAATCCAATTTGTTATACCATATTAGTGTACAATGGCTAAGGTACACTACAAATCCAATGTGTTATACCATATTAGTGTACAATGGCTAAGGTACACTACATATTCAATGTTTTATAACATAGTAGTGTACAATGGCTAAGGTACACTACAAATCCAATGTGTTATAACATATTAGTGTACAATGGCTAAGGTACACTACATATCCAATGTGTTATAACATATTAGTGTACAATGGCTAAGGTACACTACATATCCAATGTGTTATAACATAGTAGTGTACAATGGCTAAGGTACACTACATATCCAATGTGTTATAACATAGTAGTGTACAATGGCTAAGGTACACTACAAATCCAATGTTTTATAACATATTAGTGTACAATGGCTAAGGTACACTACAAATCCAATGTGTTATACCATATTAGTGTACAATGGCTAAGGTACACTACAAATCCAATGTGTTATACCATATTAGTGTACAACGGCTAAGGTACACTACATATCCAATGTGTTATACCATATTAGTGTACAATGGCTAAGGTACACTACAAATCCAATGTGTTATAACATATTAGTGTACAATGGCTTAGGTACACTACAAATCCAATGTGTTATACCATATTAGTGTACAATGGCTAAGGTACACTACATATCAAACTTTCAAACCTTCTGAACATTGTGTTATAATGTGCTAAATCAAGAGTAGATCTTGTAGACATATTCTAATATTTTCATCTTTTGTTTTTAACTTTCCTGCTATTTGACTGTCCTTCATACACCTTTAAATCAGCCTCTAACAATGGAGTTTATAATCTAAAGTAAAAGCTAAACAGTATACATACACTGTTCTTCAAACTGACATTAATGTTTTAATAAATGTATGCATTATCACAAATGAAGAACTTCCCTTTTCTATTTCAGTTTTCAGTTTATGATCAATTCCCCTTTTCTCTTTCAGTTTTCACCTTACGATGAATTCCCCTTTTCCTATTAGTTTTAACCTTATGATGAATTCTCCTTTTCTCTTTTCGTTTTCACCTTTTTTTTCCAGTTTTCTCCTTATGATGATAAATGCCTAAACCTTGAGTATTTTCTTAATTATTCAAAAGATTCTGCATGTCTGGTTTAGGTGTTATTATATCTAGACATTTATAGAAAGACACAGCTTTGTCTGGCAAATAATGACTGTTTTGAAAGCCCTGTGATGAACCCACCTTTTCTTTTTCAGTTTTCACTTTTTTGGTAAGAAATTCTGGATCACTTGATTCACTGCCTGAATCCTCAAAAGCTGACTTGAAACTAAAATATTCAAGAATGTAAAATAATAACTAAACTAGTACATACATGTGATGGTATCTGCAGTTTAGTTTACAAAACATATCATTAACTGTGTCATCTTTTCCCTTTTGGTGTATGCTGATAAATTTTCTTCTTAATTTGACTATTTTAAAGATTGATTGATTGTTGGTGTTTAGTGCCCCTTTCAGCACACATGGCTATGTCAGCCATTCTTTATTAATGGAGTACCTGGAAGGAACCACCGACCTTCTGCAGGAAAACTTGCAATGCATGACCTTCTGCAGGAAAACTTGCAATGCAATGAAGTTGAAAATGTAAAGTTAGTATAAAGGATGGTATTAAGTGTTATTTTTATTAGATAAATAGTTTTCATAGATTTTGTGAGACTAATACTTCTAGGAGCAAGATCATCACATTTACAATATTTGTAAATGTCGAAGTTCCACCAATATTTTCAGTACTTTTTATTCCTTATTTTCAGACTTATTATCCTATAATTGAAAATAAATAGTTCATGGCTCCTCTAATTCAGCAATAATTCAAATAATATTTGGATACTATAAAATTCAGAAAAATATTTCAGATGATTTAAATCTTCTTTAAGCTATACTGCTGTCTGTTGCCATTTATTCTTTGTCTTTTTTCATTTATATGATATTGAAAAGTACTACAATAGTAATAAATAATTTCATTAAATATATGATGATTTCATAAATAGATGTGATATGATCATTTATTAAATTTATTGCATTTTTATAATTGGTCTTATTGTTTTTGTGCTTTATTAAAGCAGTAGTAAGAACATGTCACCTTTGTTTAATTTCATCCTGTTCTTCATAATAACTTGGTTTCTGTGGAAAGTCTTCTTCTTCACCACTGTCACTTTCATCAATCAGTTTACTACAAAGGTGGTAATAAAATGTTGCATACATTGTAGAATAACATGAAAAAAAGATATTTTAACAAGATTGTGTCCATAGTACAGGGATGCCCCACTCGCACTATCATTTTCTATGTTCAGTGGACCATGAAATTGGGATCAAAACTCTAATTTGGCATTAAAATTAGAAAGATCATATTATAGGGAACATGTGTACTAAGTTTCAAGTTGATTGGACTTCAACTTCATCAAAAACTACCTTGACCAAAAACTTTAACCTGAAGCAGGACAGACGGACGGACAGACAGACAGACGGACGGACGGACGGACGGACGGACGGACGGACGAACGAACGGACGCACAGACCGAAAAACATAATGCCCCTCTACTATTGTAGGTGGGGCATAAAAATGTTAACAAGACAGAAATTCAAGAAGAAATAAATGGAGAATGTGTCCATGGGTCACAGATGATGCCCCTGCTTGCATATAACATTATAAAGGGGCATAACTCGAGAACGATAAAAGTGACGCCACCCAAATTCGAAATGATCTGTGTTTTGTGGTAATAGGCATTGTGTATAAGTTTCATAACATTTGGTTGAGGCAAACTAAAGTAAGAGAATGGAAACCAATTTTAGGACGTACGTACGGACAGACGGACGGCCAAGGTTAACACTTAATGCCCCGTCAAGTGACAGCGGGGGCATAAAAATGAACATCAACGTCACAATATGGCACCAACAAGGAGCTCTGAATGTACTTAAGAAATGAACATTGTCTTTACATTTCAAGCATAAAAGATTAAAATATCAGATACATGTTATCATAATAATAATAATAAATTCTTTATTCAAAGAGGGTAATTCAATTAGAACTTGTCTTATTTTCATTGAGGCCCACATGTTAAAGGTAAACAAGACAGAAATTCAATAAGAATCAAAGCATCATCTATGCTGTAATCCAGCCAATTATTTAGCTAGTCAGACATTTTTTCTGATCTCATTTTCAATATTTTTTTCTTTAATACATCAACTCCTGCGAAACATTTCAAGACAGCCATCAAAACTAGGTAAAAGTGAATTTGGCTCAAAATGTAAATTTATGTTTGGACATAATTTCTATTGAAAACCAGAGAGAGAGAGAAGATACAGACGGACGATCTAAATTCATACGTCTAATAATAAAATCTGACAACAAAAGTATTGAAACCTAGATGTTGTTTTAATATTTTTTTTTACTTAAAAAAAAATGTCAGAATTTTTTTCCTTTTTTAATCACCACTTTCAGGTCACTAAACTTTGAGAAGAAAGAATATTTCTCCTTACAATCAAAGAATACTTCTCCTTACAATCAAAGAATACTTCTCCTTACAATCGAAGAATACTTCTCCTTACAATCAAAGAATACTTCTCCTTACAATCAAAGAATACTTCTCCTTACAATCAAAGTGATCAAAATCATTGATGCAAAGATTAGAAGAGTTGTGTGCATAACTTCAAATCATATTCTCAAGTATGGTGGTGGTGAAAAAAAAACTTTACTACTGCATAAAGTTTAGAAAGATAATTATTTTTTGTCAAATAATAAAACAAGCTTGGTTTTTTTCAGGAGTATTTCAATGTTCAAACATAGGTATAGTCTTTTTTTCTGACTCATTTTAGGATCCTTTATTGATTTTTGGATATAAATTATATCTCACTTTTTTTAAACTTTTTTTTATTTAAACAATTTTCAATTTATTATGGATGGAAAGAAGTATCTTCAAAGAAAGGTGAAATGTATTTTTAATTGAAGTTTGACTTAATAAATTCCTGAACGAGGCATTGCAAAATGCACTTTTCAACAATAACAAAATGTGAAAGTGAAGTAACTAATTTTTATTTAAATTGATGTTCATAACCATTCTTCATTGGGAAAAATATGTTTCCTGTTTACAAATATACATGTACAAATACCTTACACTTTTAAATAGCAATATAATGGGGAATATAAACAATTAATTTATTACAGAAAATGCTCAGGTTAGAGTTATGCAATTTTGTTTATTGTTTCAATCAAATTACTGTACCTTACATTTACATAAATTATAGGCTCATATATGATGATAATACATTGATTTAACTAGTAAAATAGACCATGCTTGCATTTTCTTATTCATATTTTATTTGTTGTCTTTTCTTTGAAAAAAAAAATCCATCTGATAAATCCTCAATCATTCATCTTTGACACATAATTTACAGGATCATTTTAAGTAGTGTAGATCAAAAGTATTTATAGGTACAGAATTGAGGTCAAGAAAAGTTAATATTGATAAAGTATCTATTCAATTATGTAATACAAGAAATATAATCTGTGGTCACTTAAGATTGGCATAAAAGTGGAAGTGATTCCAATTAATCCACAAACCTTTGATTGGCATTATTTGTAAATCAATCAACCAATCAATCAAGGTCCCACAGGAAGTATTTACAAGCAACAATGATAAAATAGATACATACACAATATAAACACAAATATAGTACAGTATACAGTTTAAAATGACGTGAGAGATATTGTAATAGATATAAATAAAATGCAAAACAAGTAATATTGGATTGTTATGTACAGCAATGCACCTTTTTTTTTAACTTTTTATATATATATTGTTCTTCCCTCGCCGGGATTCGAACTCATGCTACTGAGATATCATGACACCAAATCACCTGCACTGTATCCGACGCGCTAGACCACTCGACCACCTAGGCTTCACTAGGTGATCATGACACCAAATCGGTGTCATGATAGTGAAGCCTAGGTGGTTGATTGGTCTAGTGGTCAGATATCGAATCCCGGCGAGGGAAGAACAAAAAATTTGCGAAAGCAAATTTACAGATCTAACATTGTTGGGCTGATGTTTAGACGAGTTGTATATACAGAATGTACACAGCCATGTATCACCATCACTGCTGGTGATCCGATGGATAAATCTGTTGTAGAGTTGTCACTGGTTCAGACGTATTTATATATATACAGCATTTATGCCACATCTTCTTATTTTTATATTTACTGCAAGGTTTGTTGATCGTGCTGTGTGGATGCAGTAGAATGTGTCCCTGTGCCTGTAGTGTATGCCCTTATATTTTACACTTATGGTTTTTTGCTTGTGAGAAGGCTGTCTACATATTCCATTATATTAATGTTCTATTTCTTTGGTCTCTGGGTGGAGAGTTGTCTCATTGGCAATTATACCACATCTTCTCATATATATATATATATATATATATACATTTATACTTTATTCTGATAAACCACTGACGATACAAAGGTACACAGAAGAACATAGACAGTATACAATAAAACAAAGGTCCATTTGTTGAGGAAATAAACAATCAATACAATAGAGATATATAAATATGTTTGCATGTTAAAAATGTGCAGTGTAACCTTAAAATATGGGGGAGGAGGGAGGAGGTTAATTGAGAGAATCCACTTCATCGTTTATAAACTTACACAAATTTCTAAGCTTAAATTGTTTTGATCATGTATTCATAAGTTCCCTGAACTTAAGAATATTACAATTTTTTGTGATTCTTTCTGTTGTAAAAAATTGCATTTGAGGAGATAATGGTTCTGGGTTCATATCAACTATACTATGATTGAAGTTTTTAATCTCCTTATTATATTGAGGTCAAAAATTATGTCAGTAGGTTTAACTAAAAAAAACCTTGATACTACAAAATAGGAAAACCAATTTAATATCAATTAGATCTAAAATAAAACTTGAATTTTATTAGCAAAAACATGTTTCAACATATATCTAAAATAGTATTATTAAAAATGTTCATCAAAATGTAGAATTAACCACATTTTAGCCCAAATTGAATCAATTTAAATTAATCCTAAAAATAAACAAACACATGACTTTAAGTATTCCTTTTATTGCTTTGGATAGATACTGGCATATTCTTGAATTAGCATTTTATTTTATATAATATATCATAATATTATTGATATGACTTTTAAACAGCTGAAATTCTTTCATTTTCAATTTTTATTAAATGTATGTTGACCAAAAGGACATATCATAAACAGGAAATAAAACCAAATCAAATAATTGGATCAACATAGAAACTGATTTGATAATGACCATATGACAATCTAGGTGGACATAAACAAAAACTAGATTTACTCAAAAAGACGTGAAGGAAGAAATTAGTAAATGCACACAAAGTTCATTGGAAAAAAGTATGAAGTTTGTACAGAGAGTATCATCTCTGGCAGTTTTTTGGGTATTCATACTCTTCTTTCTTAATATTAAGACAATGATAATTTCTTTTTCAACATATCATCAAACAATGTACAACAGCTTTGGCAAAAAGTTACAATACACTACGAAGAATTTACAAGACGTTACGAAGAATTTACAATGCGTTACTGAGAATTTACAATACGTTACAGAGAATTTTCAAAATGTTACGCAGGAATTTCAATATACTACAAAGAAAACACAATCAGATGATACGCAGAAACTACAAATATTTCATGGAAGAAACATATCGACACAGTTTGAGAGCTATTACATCAATGCTTCTGATAATGAACTTATGGACCCATTTATCCATCAACATCGCTACAAATTAATACTTAATCAAAATGTGAAATGCAAAGGGAAAAATGTTTTTCTTTTAGTTTTTATACATATGGCACTGGGCAATTTTGCTGGACGAAGCTTGATTAGATCCACGTTTGGAACCACTTTTAGTTTTCACAATAAACGCATTGAACATGTATTTGTGCTTGGCAAAACAGAAAATGCAACACTTCAACAAGATATCGAACACGAAAGTAAAAGATACATGGACATTATTCAAGGTAATTTCATAGATTCATACAGGAATTTAACATACAAACTTGTATTTAGTTTGTTTTGGGTGAATAATTTCTGCAACAATGCTAAATTCGTTATCAAGATGGACGATGACATTATAGTCAATATCCCACTAGTAGTACCTTACTTGGCAAAGAAGTTAAAGGCTGGACAAACAGTTAATGTTCTAGAATGCAGAACCATAACAGAAAATATTCCGGTTCGTGAAAGGAACAATAAATGGTTTATAACACCGGAAGAATATCCATTCACAAAGTTTCTTCCGTATTGTGCTGGACATAGTTCAATAATGTCAATTGACGTTGTAAGAAAAATGTACAGAGCATCAAAAAAAGTACCATATTTATGGTTAGAGGATGTTTATGGAAGTGGATTTTTATCTTTGTTCTTAAAGATAAATATGTTTATGCCAAAATTCTACTTTGAACCTGTGATAAGTAGTTTATATGATAAGCCATGCAGTTTATTTTATTTGAATATTTTAAAAAATTACACCAATTCATTAGAAATGTGGAAAACTATAACACAATATGAAAACAGACTTGACTGTTCATTTTGAATTTAAATATGAATGTATGTAATTATATATAATATCTATTGGACTTAAAGCAAACAATCTGAACCAGAATTTTAACTTGTTTTTCCATGTTTAGTGAACCACGAAACCTGGATAAAATCCTGATTTGACATATATTTTAAAAAGGTCTTATCAATATGAACAAATGAACTTAGTTTCAAGTTTGTACGACCACAATTTAATGGTAAGCCATCTTAAACTAAAATTTTAACCTAATACGGATCATACTTGTCCTATATATAGCATATGACTTTCAATTTTTAACGTTTTCATACTGCTTTTTTCATTATTCATTTTTTTGAAATGTTCGGGCAGAATTTGATAGTAAAACAGCAAATACAAAATAAAATGTAACAAATAGCAAAATAATTCAATGGAAAAATCTCAGAAAACAAAAAAGAAACAGTAAATATTGCCCCAAGTCCATATGCTATATGACTAAAGTTGACCCAAAAACAGATTGAAGAACTTATGATATCAAATTTATACAGCTTTTTATACTCTGGTGGTGGGAGATTTAAGAGATAGCATGTGTGTAATTGTTTGTTAATGATGACATTTGTCAATCATACTAGTATTGTATCAGTACTCTTACTTGGAAGGAAATGGAACTAGAGGCTCTAAAGAGCCTGTGTCACTCACCTTGGTCTATGTGCATATTAAACAAAGGACACAGATGGATTCATGACAAAATTGTGTTTTGGTGATGGTGATGTGTTTGTAGATCTTACTTTACTGAACATTCTTGCTCCTTACTATTATCTCTATCTATAATGAACTTGGCCCAGTAGTTACAGTGGAAAATATTTTGAATTTATGAAAATTGTAAAAAATTGACTATAAAGGGCAATAACTCCTTAAAGGGGTCAATTGACAATTTTGGTCATGTTGACTTATTTGTAGATCCTACTTTGCTGTACATTATTGCTGTTTACAGTTTATCTCTATCTATAATAATATTCAAGATAACCAAAAGCTGCAAAATTTTCTTAAAATTACCATTCAGGGGCAGCAACCCAACAATGTGTTGCCTGATTGGTCTGAAAATTTCAGGGCAGATAGATCTTGACCTAATGAACAATTTTTTCTCGTCAGATTTGCTCTAAATGCTTTGGTTTCAGAGATATGAGCCAAAAACTGCATTTTACCCTATGCTATTTTTTAGCCATGTCGGCCATCTTGGTTCGCGGGCAGGGTCATCGGACACATTTTTTAAACTAGATACCCTAATGATGATTGTGGACAAGTTTGGTTAAATTTGTCTTAGTAGTTTCAGAGGAGAAGATTTTTGTAAAAGATTACAAAAATTTACGAAAAATGGTTAAAAATTGACTATAAAGGGCAATAACTCCTTAAGGGGTCAACTGACCATTTTGGTCAAGTTGACTTATTTGTAGATCTTACTTTGCTGAACATTATTGCTGTTTACAGTTTATCTCTATCTATAATAATGTTCAAGATAATAACCAAAAACTGCAAAATTTCCTTAAAATTACCAATTCAGGGGCAGCAAACCAACAACGGGTTGTACGATTCATCTGAAAATTTCAGGGCATATAGATCTTGACCTGATAAACAATTTTACCCTATGTCAGATTTGCTCTAATTGCTTTGGTTTCAGAGATATAAGCCAAAATCTACATTTTACCCCTATGTTCTATTTTTAGCCTTGGTGGCCATCTTGGTTGGTTGGCCGGGTCACCGGACACATTTTTTAAACTAGATACCCCAATAATGATTGTGGCTAAGTTTGGTTTAATTTGGACAAGTAGTTTCAGAGGAGAAGATTTTTGTAAAAGTTAACGACGACAACGGACGACGACGACGGACGACAAGTGATGAGAAAAGCTCACTTGGCCCTTTGGGCCAGGTGAGCTAAAAATAGTATTTGAAAAAAGTGTGGGAATGCTATTTGGTATCAATACACAGCTTGTGCCAAAATTTTATTCAATTACTTAACCAAGCAAAAGATAATGATAAAATACAATCATAATGTTTATATACTGCTTAAATATGATATCTTAACTTTCACATAAATTTATAAATAGAAGTATTTTATAAATTTTGATTTACCAAGGAACTTTATGCAAGTGCATATTCAAAACATTTAGTAGCTGTCCCACCTCTCTTTTCTTTTTCAAGGGCAAACTACATGTCAAAAGTTGGTGGTGAATGATTAAAAATGTTGTATTAACTTTCTGCAAGTCATAAAAACACATCATCAGATCATGATATGTTCATGATATGTCTTCAATTTAGAGATATATCTTAAAATCAGTAGTGGTCACATAGATCCACAATGCCTGGATAAAACATGAACATCAACATCACAATATGGCACCAACAACAAGCTCTAAATGTACTTGAAGACAAACTATCGTCTTTACATCCTTAATTCCATTAATATATAAATTACACACAGGAAAAAGTTATTCCTTGTTTCACTTAACAACAAACACTATCAAATCTAATACAAACCCTCCTTTCTCTAAAATAACTTTTCTTTCATAATCTTTTAAGTATACTGGTTTTTTTCCTTTCACCTTGGAGGAGGAGGGCCCTTCATTGGAATCAGTATCATCTACAATAAAATTATATATTACAGTATAAACAATTAAAAGAAGAAAATTGGTAGGACTCCTTTGTTCACAAAAATTATGAAATCATAAAATTTACCAGGATGCTTTCTACAAAGCTTCCAAACATATAAATGTGATTTAAATATCTTTTTTACTCAGATGTGCCATTATAACAGGTTTATGACCATACTCAGATATCAGAATAAAATAAAAGAAGAATGTGTCTGAGGATACAAATACCCCTGCTCAAGCTTAGCAATTTTCCAAGTTAAAAAGGGGCATAACTCTAGAATGGTTAATGGCTCACTGCCCAAATTTAAACTCTGTCTGCAAGGTTTGGTTCTTAGCAATATGTATGAGTTTTATAAAATTTGGACGAGTAAAACTTAAGTTAGAGTGCGGAAACTAAAATGGGACGGACAGAAAGACAGACGGTCAAGGGTAACACTTAATGCCCCAGTTGCCTAAGGCGGGGGCATAAAAATTGTCATAATGTGGACAGCTAATATTTCTGGGTTCAAATAAAACAAAATGAAAATAGTTTGTTAAGGATTTGGAAATTATATAATGACCTTGGTGACCTTGGATATGTTTTAAATTTTCTAGTTCTTTCCTTGTTCATGACTTCTTAACGAATAAGACTAATTAGAGGATTTTCATTGGTTACGCAGCATGACAAATCTAACTAGTGATTCATGAACCGCCTACCACTCCAGTACTAACAAGTTCACCATCTGCTCTAAGTGGGGTTAGTATTACTCAATCACTAGTCTTCAGGCAACGTTTTGTCTTTTCATAAACTTTCTTATAGGCTATGGTGTTGTGTGTGTTCTTTGATGCCTTCAAGGTATCTTCATACTCTTTATATTAGAGGGATATCTCCCTGAACACTTTCAAGGTATTATCAGTATGGCTTTAAAACATAGACCATACCATAAAGGATACTAAATTCTTTATACAACAAAGCGTTTTTGCAAGGCATATTATGAAAACCTGAAAATTAACATTCAAGACATGACCACATTTAATTAGAATTTTAAAAATATTCACAAGTGTCTTGCCAATGGTAAATAAAAGTAAATAAAATATTACTCTTACCATCACTGTGATAAAATTTGACATCTTTCTGATAAATTTTTGGATCTCTCTTTTTCAAAGCAGCATAAGTTCTCAGCCAATCTCTTTCTACTAAAGCTGTAAGACCCTGTAAAATTCACATACTTAAATTACAGAATAATCTTAAGTGAGGAAAATTGGTACTACATAAAAAGGCAGGATGTATAAAAGGATTAAACATGGGTGGACAGCATAACTGAATATGTTGATAGTCTTTGAGATTAAGGTCTCACTACAAGTTTTACAAACATTAATATCAACTTAAATCCCTAAAATTGAGGTCAATGTTGGATCTACCTTGTCAGACAGACTTTCAATTACACCTTACCACAATTCAATAGACACAGTTTACATACATGTATTACTTACAGTAACTGAGAAACCAACCTAATCAGAAAAATAAACCATGAAAATGAAGTCAAAGTAAAATGAACCCTATCAGATGGACATGAACACATTCCAATTATTATATACACCAAGTCTAGTTGACCTATTAGTCTATAACTTACAATAACTGAGAAGCCAACCTAATCAGGAAACTGAGAAACTTAATCATGAAAACTTAGATAACCATAAACCATGAAAAAGAGGTCAAGGAGATTTAACAATGATATATTGACAATGAAATAAGGTCAATATGTCAAGTGAACCCCATCTTACAGACATGTATACCCTTGTTTGATTATATACCAAATATAGTTGACCTTGTGACACATATACTGCCATTCATGTTAAGTAGTGATGAAATAAAGCTGCCGTGCGAGACCCTCATGGGTTGTCAAGGTCGTTAAACACCTAGTATAAGGCTGGGAATACACCATGACTAAGCAGTTTATTTGACAGTTATTGTGCTCCTCATTGTGGACACAAGCTCCTAAGAAACAAACTAAAACAAAAGTATAAACTAGAAAAACAGAAATATTGCAATTCAGAAAAAGGAAGTTCATTGGCTATCATGATTTACCAGTGGAAGTTCATTGGCTATCATGGTTAACCAGTGGAAGTTCATTGGCTATGGTGGATAACCAGTGGAATCATTGGACACAATTGTAAAAACAAATACTCTATGAAAGGATGATCGTGGCCAACTTTGGATGCAATTGGCTAAGCAGTTTAAGAGGAAAACATTTTTGTAAAAAGTTCAAATTCACTATATAATTCACAACTAGTTATAAACAAATTTATAAGCAGGAAAGATCAGTGTGTTATTTCTAGATGCCGTATTTCTCATGCTAGAATAACACACGAGTATCTTTTAAAAAATGAAATTCAACCAGTTAGTATACCTTACGATTGCAAGTATACTGATAAACATATTTTAGTTGAATGTATTGACTTTTCCGATATCTGTAAAAACATTTTAATGTAAATAATATGTATGATTTATTCAATAATATTTCTGTTGAAATAATTGTTTCTTTTTAAAAAGAAATTGGAATATATTCAAAAATATGAATTTGTTGTATTAGTTTAAAAGGATTTTAAGTTTTTTATCATGTTATCTTATTGATGAATTTTTATTTGTAAATAAGTATTTTCACTTTAAACTAAAGTTTTAGTAAATTGACCGACTTTTTGTCTGATTTAAAAAATAAACGGCTTGTTATTATATCTGAAATAGCTCTCACTGCGATATAGCCTTTTTGTGCTGATATGGCGTAAAGCAATAACAAATCAATAAATCAATCACAACTAGTTACTTCCGGCATGAGATATGGTATTGACACTTAAACACTAGTAAACCTAAAAATGTCTTTTCTGGCTTTACATTGTTAAATCCCACATCTACTTTTAGCTATATCTTTAAAATAAAACGTTCTTTCTCAGTAAAATTTTTTAAATGCCAGAAGAACGTTATGGTGTGGATCATGAAGGTTCATTTTAACCTTTCTTCAAATGTGGCCGTATTTTCACCACAGATTTGTACTGAGAACAGAAAAACCTGTGCATCTGGAAATTTTTTTAGACATGGCTGGACCTAGAAAAATAAAATTTAAATGCATTTTAAGTTTCAAAATATTAAAACTATCACTGAATTTTGCTATACGTTTTTATTGTTCCTGCAGAAGGTGCCAAAACAAACTAAGTTGTGAAAGATGTTTGAGAAGCTCCCCTCATATACCTTTACAGTTGTGGAGGCAAAAAATGTAGCAGGCAGGAAAAGAAAGCCCTTATTTTGAATATTGAGCAAATCATAGAATGTGAAAATTATTATAATATAAAAGCTTTTCTCAAGACAAGGATACACAAGTAATGAATCTGTACTTCATCATGTTCATGTGTATCAGTAACTTTCTAGATATAATACATACCTCAGCATTTTCATCCTCAGACTCTGATGTACTTGATTCTGAATCCAAATCACTTACATCTCCATATTTATCTTTCACTGCAAAAATATGTATCTTGAAAAGGTATCAACATGTCAGAAATACATGTAACATCAAATGGTATAGAAAAACTTCTAAAAAATCTAGATCCATCTAAAGCTACAGGTCCAGATGAAATACCAGCACGCATACTGACACAATTTGCACCACATCTCACTTTCATTTTTAACACTTCTTTTTTGAAAGGGGATGTACCTCAGACTGGCGACAGGCAAATGTAATTCCTATTTTCAAAAAAGACAAAAAAATACCTAGCCAATAACTACAGGCCTGTCTCCTTAACCTGTATATGCTGCAAACTCTTAGAACACATCTTAGTAAGTAACATTCTAAAACATCTGGACACACTTAACATACTAGTAGACAATCAACATGGTTTCAGAGCAAAACGCAGCTGTGAAACACAACTTCTTATTACAATTTAAATTAAGTCATGAATTACTTAGTAACCTTCATAATGGCATACAAACTGATCTTATTATTTTAGACTTCTCCAAGGCATTTGACAAGGTACCTCACAAAAAATTATTACGGAAGATGGATAATTATGGCATAAGGGGAAATACCTGGAAATGGGTATCAGCCTTCCTTAATAATAGAACACAACAGGTTGTCCTTGATGGGGAGGTATCTAGTCAAATGCCTGTGGTCAGTTTGGGTGCCTCAAGGCTCAGTCTTGGGCCCACTTCTATTCCTGATATATATAAATGACTTCCCTGCAACAGTAACATCAAAAACATGCTTGTTTGCAGATGACTGTATTTTATACAGAACAATGAAAAATCAGCAAGATTGTACCATCCTACAAAATGACCTAAACAGCCTAGCCAAATGGGAACAAACTTGGGGTATGCAATTCCATTCAGAAAAATGCAACTCCCTCACTGTAACAAAATTACAGTTACCATACCAACACGATTATGTACTAAAAGGCCACATTTTAGAATCTGTCAACACAGCAAAATATCTTGGTATCACCTTATCCAACAACATGTCATGGGATACCTATATTAACAACATCACTGCAAAAGCGAACAAGATCTTAGGCTTTTTACAAAGAAACCTAAAAATAAATCAGGAAGAAACAAAAAGTTTGGCTTACAAATCTATGGTACGATCAAACCTAGAATACTGCTCTTCAGTTTGGTCTCCTAACACCCAAAAACAAGAAAATAACATTGATAAAGTACAAAGAAGGGCAGCACGCTACAACGTCACCAACAGGTACCATAACACCAGTAGTGTCACTTCCATGATTGACCATCTAATATGGAAATCACTTGAAACTCGCAGAAACATCAATCGAGTTACAATGATGTAAAAAATCACACACAAACTTATAGCAATCGATCCAAACTTTTACCTTTCACCACAGCCAGTAAAAACACCAGATTCACCAATTAATTACAACATCAGACATTCAGCACCAGAACAGATTACTTTAAGTACAGCTTTTTCCCATTGACAGTTGTACTGTAGAATTCACTTCCACAAAACTTCATCAGCATTAACTCTGTGGATCAGTTTAAAATACTGATCCAAAGTCAGTACATTTAGACATCTACTCTGTTTGTAAATATGTAAATGTGTTTATTTTTTAAATTTTTGCACAAAATTATTTTTGATTATTGCACTCATAGAATTGTTATCTTTTAATAAGTTTCTGTTTGCGATGCGCCGACGTATAGTAACCAATGGGCTGATGGATCGCCATGTAGATGTAATACATAGGCGTATCCAGGGGGCCTGGCCCCCCCCTTTCTTTGGAAAAATTTGGTTGATTATATAGGGAATCACTGAAGCATGACTGGAGCGGGCCCCCCTTAGGTCAGTCAGCACCCCCCCTCCTTATGAAAAGTTCTGGATCCGCCACTGTAATATCATTTATATGTAGAACATCTTGACCTAGTATTATACTCATAGTATTTTCACAATTTTATACGATAGGTACATGCAAATAAATAAACCAAGTTAGAAGAGATCGAGGTCAATATGCTTACGTTTCTGAAGTTCTTCTTTCTTTCGCCATACGTTATAATTTTCTGCATATGCTTTGTTGATTTTTAACTCCTCTGACATGCTTGTGAGTTCAGGTAAAGTCTAGGGAAGAGAAACTCGTTTTAATATAGTTTATGTTAATAATTTACTTGGTATGTACCTCCTTTATTGGAGCACCATTCAGCTCCTGTTCAAATTAAATCTGATATGTTGTGTTTTGTTTACTGTTGTTTGTCTTTTGATCTTTTTTTATTTTTGCCATGATATAATCAGTTTGTTTTCGATTTATAAGTTTGAATATCCCTTTGGTATATTTCGCCTCTCTTATATATGCAAAAAAATCCATTTGCTAATACCAGAGACATATAATACAACACAGAGACATATAATACATTGTATTATATGTCTCTGCTAATACGTTTCTTGCAAGAGAATTCCCAGTTCTTTAACACGATACTTTTATATCAAACATTGTCATAATGTCAATGAAACTTGTATTGAAAATGTCCATTCTTTCAAATTACTTGGAAATGACATTGATGAAAATTTAAGCTGGGAGGATCATGTTGATCGTATATGCAAGATTATCTCATCTAAAATATCACTTTTGTTTAAAATTAAAGTATATTTGCCTATACACAAAAGACAACTATTTTATAATGCATATATTCTACCATATATAGACTATTGTAGTTCAGTTTGGGGAAATTTATTACAAAAAGATTCAGATAGAATCATAAAACTTCAAAAAAGAGTAGCAAGAATTATACTTGAATGCGATATTTCTGTTCCATCTAATTTTATGTTTTCATATTTAAAATGGCTATCTTTTACAAAAAGAATAAAATACCAACAATCAATTCTAATGTATAAAATTGTAAATGGACTAACACCTGATTACTTAACAATGCTAAATATTAATGATGTGCAACATGTACACCACAACTTACGATCTGTCTCTAATAATGATCTATTTGTTCCAAGACCAAATACAAATTTTTATAAAAAATCTTTTCATTATTCTGCAAAAAAAGGCATGGAATAATTTACCACGCAAAATAAAAAAATTGTCGAAATGTGGAATTATTTAAGAAACATTGTCATAATCATTTTCTTGAAAATTCTATGCAAGTCGAATAATTTGTTTTCTTTCTTTTATTGTAAGAATAAGAAAATTTAATCAAAACTTTACCAATTATTGCCATTTATTGCCATTTGTATGTTTGAATGATTGAATTGTGTATATACTAGTAATATATATTGTATTTTAATGTATGAATGTATGAATGTTAACTGTATACATGTATTTTGTTTGAGGGCCTCAATGAAAATTAGACTACTTCTAATTGAGTTACCCTCTTTAAATAACGAATTTATTATTATTATTACTATGTTTAAATGTTTTGTAAGAGGTGAGACTTAAATATTATATTGTCTTGTCTTGTCTTCTAATTACGTGTCGCACGTATGCCAAAAATCACTGATGAAAAGGACTATTTCAAACTGAGTAGTACAGGTTTTAAGAATTATCTCCCTTGTACCAGGGCTATACCCCATTGTGTGATCAGTAGAAATAAGATTGAATCATTCACGGCACACTGTTGAGAAATTGGAAAAAGTTAAGGTAATCATTAACGAGAATTAGAGAATTGGTGCCACAATTTCATTTTTGTCTTTAAAAGAGAGGCGCAAGATACCTGAAAGGGATATTCAAACTCCTCAATCGAAAACAAACTGGCAATGCCACATGCAAAAAAATGAAAAAGGACCAAAAAATAAACAACAGTATACAAAACACAACATAGAAAAGTAAAGACTAAAGCAACACGAGCCCCACCAAAAACGGGGTGAAATCAGGTGCCCCAGAAAGATCCTGCTCCACATGTGGCACCCGTCGTGTTTCTAATGTAAATACAAACCCGGTGATAAGTTTACTTCAGTAGGTCACATTTGAGTGAAAGAGGACGTAAAATTTTCGAAGAGATGATTTCAACTTCACCACTTGGAACTCTTGGTTTAATACCTTCCTTGTAAGCAGCAACCCTCTATTAAGGAAATCGTGATAGGAAATACAAGCTCTAGAATATCGGATCAACTGAGAGATATATACTCCATATGCAAGCGCTGCTGGAATGTGGCTACATAGAAATGGAAAGTCCACAATTGGGAAGCTGACGTCATCTCTTTTGTCGTAAAGTTTTGTTCTCAATCGACCCTCATTTTCTAGATGTAAGTTTAGGGTGGAAAGAAATGAGCTCCATTGGCATATTTTGAAAGATTTTTTTGCATTTTTTTAGAAAATTTTTAAAAGGTAGCGCGCCTGGTAGAACCATTGAATCGTACGTAGAATGACTAATAATTGCTGTCTACGAAGTTCACATGCAAACACATACAACTGGAAGTGAAGATAAACCAGATTGCAAAGTCATCCATCATAATCTCTGTATTATATATAACCCTTGTATCAGGTTACGTTTGATGTCTGTCTAATTATCTTCCTTTTATTTTGTGTTGCTGATGATAGTGTTGCGATGCAAGTCAGGTAAGATCGTTTCTATTTTCTATTCTGTGTAAATTTCAAAACAAAAGAATGTAAAATGTGAGAAAAAGTTACTTGAACTGATTTCTTTTCTCTGAATCAAATAATAACAGATTCGTTTATTTTCCAAGCTTGATCTAATTGTGTGAATGTCTCGATTTATATTACACGTCCGTGTGCATGCATGTGTACTTTTGGCAATCACACACTGCTAGGGATTTAGAAAGTAAGTCAATAAACTGTCAATAGATATGAACCACGACAAGTAACTGATGTAATGCCAAGGAAATCATAACTAATTATGCATAAATTACAAGTTGGAATCATGCCTGGAAGACGTAGAAGTAATTGGCTTCCTATCTGTTAGTGTCTCTTAGTCATCGTATGTAAACAATCATAAACCATCATTATTATATGAAACAAAGACGAAACAAGAAGGTAAGAAAGAGTTGTGAGTTGTGTGAAGTCTTGATATATGAAATGGACATTTAGACTTGATATGAGATGGACATTTAGACTTGATATATGAGATGGACCTTTAGATTTTTGTTAGGTTAATAATTAAGAACTCCTTATCTAACATTTCTTAAAATATAAATACAATTGAGGGCATACGCGCACACGGCGGCTGCACGTTGACATTATGTTAACACTGCAATTGCCTTACAATTGCACAAAGCGTAACACATAACTTTTTTTAAATTTTGGAATTTTGTTCGTGTCACAATTGCATAGGAAATCTGGTATAAACACATGGCTTGTCTCCGGCGAACACATTATTTGATGTTGAAAAGAAAAAACGGATTGTTATAACATATATGATAAGGAAGATATTTTCAATATTCAAAATATCTGAAAAAGTAGTGAAGTACCAGACATGTAAGCTGTTCACCACTACCATGACTACCACAGAAACATTGAGGATTAATAATCTTGAGGAATATTTGCCATTAAGCAAAAGAAACGTCGTGTTTACATTGATTATATGATACATCATATTTTTTTTGGACAAAAAATAGACCTACAGCTATGTTACTATTTCAAACGTTACATAACCATTCCATAATAATTATGTTTCGTGTATACACACTGTTTACATAATGTTGATTATACGCACATGTCAGAATAATCGGATTACTAGCACATTATTGCTATAGGGTCAGTAGAAAAGCATGGGAATTGTTTAGATAATTATGATATATAATCAAGCACGTTGATAACATTAACCATATACTTTTTAAAATTTCTCGCCCTTACCATGTGTAATGAAGCTTGAAATGGGGACTTATTCTGCATATGTGGCCGGATCTTCCTTATCACTCATTACATAGTATAAGTGCCCTCGGGATATTAGGGGTTGTCAGTATATATGGGAAATGAATTTAACGTTTTAACGCTCACACTGCAATATGTAGAAGTAAAATTTTCAACGTTTGATGTCGTTTTATTTTTTCATTATTTTTTTTTACTGAAGATGAATTATGTATTTTTTTTATAAAACAAATTTCTGTTCTAACGTCATGTTCTCTACCATGACTTTCTTCGTGTATATATATATACTCGACCATGGAAGTAAAATGAGATATATAATACTTCCATGACTCGACCAACACAGTTTGGAAAGTCAAACATATGAAACGTCTGAGAGCATAACATCAAAAAAGACTTGAGCAGAACTGCTAAAGAAGTAGCATTAATTTATTTAAAACGAATAAATGAAGACTTTAATTGTTATGCTTTTTTTTACAGGAGAATGACTCTGAATGGCGAAAACCAGCCTGGTTGGGAGGATTTGCCTGAGATAATTTTTGAGGAAATATACAGTTATCTAACTCCAAAACAAAGACATTTAGCATCCCAAGTATGTTCCACGTGGTATGCTGCATTTTACTCTCCGAGAGTATGGGAAACATTCATTTTAGAGAAAAAATCTTTGACAAGGAGAAGGTTTAACTTCTTTAAAGGTATCCAACGAGAATTGTGTCCTAGAAAAACTCAGATGTGCCTTTACCAAGTTGGAAGATATTTCAAGAAAATGAAAATTGTACCAACAATTGACTACTTCAACGTGTACGAATTTCTCCGAATTTTACAAGCATTTTTATCGTTTTATGAAGACTATCCGATGCCTTTGTTAAAGACATTTCATTTCACATTTGCATGTGAAAGTTTTGATATAAGTGGACGACAGATTCACGGCACAGGAGGAAAGATGCTTGAAGGTCTAAAATCTTTAATGGAAGCTCTTAAGGGTGTTAAGTATTTTACAGTTAATCAGCTCATGTTGGCAAACGACGACCTTGATGGAGTTCTTGAATCGGTCAGTAAACAATGCTCACAATCTATCACACGTCTTGAAATCTTAGATTTTAGTAGTAGTCCTTACCCTCTGACAGCAATAGTCAATTGCTTTGAGAATTTGCAGACATTAGTTCTGGGACCCCATAATGTGGATGACGAAGTTGTGCTTTTACTGGCAGGGACTGTGTTGAATGAGCTTCAACTTGTCCAAGATAGGTATACATGTGATGCTTTACCTGTTTCTGCAGATGCTTGGAGATTGGTCAGAGAAATGGCACCACATTTGAAAGTGTCGCTTGAAATAAGAGGCAGGACAAAGGATGAACTGTTGCTACAGCCTCATGCACCTGTATATAAGATCGTTCTAGCAACTCCAACTTACAGAATTACAGACCTCTTAATGACCTCTGTCATCTACAATTATCAATCAACACTTGAAATATTTGCTCAAAAGGTATTCGTTCGTGGTTCTAGGTCATTTCACGATCGATGTGATACCTCGGTGTTGTCACTTGTTAGACATTGTCCAAAACTGCACACATTAATCGTCAGTGAACGTATGTCAACAATGACTGTCATCCTTCTTGCAGAAGAAGGCAACTTAGAAAATCTTTACGTTCGACGCTATGCCCTCATTAAAAAAGCGGATTGGCCACGATGCAGCAACTGGACTATGGAGTTTTATAGAGGTGTTAAATACAGTGCATGGAGTTATGGAAGAACAAGGGAACGAATAGAAAAGATTTATGACAAAAGATGGTCTTTTCTCAGAGACAAACAATTTTCTGCATTGTAAACTTGTTACTGATTGTCGTATATTTATCCAGTATTTGATCTCTGCTTGCCCTTTTTATACAGTTGTTGTCTGTTTATTAAGAAAAAATGTTGTCGATACTATTTTGTTATCATTAGATATATAGTCTAAGTTGACACCATGCCCAGTCCTCAAACAAAATTTTCGTTGAATATGCACACTTTTAATCAGAGTTACTTCGGTTTAAAATGTAAGTAAAGATGACCAAAGTAATTGATTTTTAGCGTTATAGTAGTATACAGTAAAGCATGTATTAAAAAAACCACTCCCTGGATTTCAGAAAATTAATACGGACTTAAACCAGATTTAAAATTGCGATGTCGATCCCACCACTATCTGATTGAAATACAGAACCTGTGTCCAACCTTCGCTGACAAGGATAGCAAAGCGTGGACACAGTATCAGTAACCCGGACTTTTCTTAAATAAGATGATTTTCGTTCAATTTTTAACACCGCCGGAAGTATTTTGATTTTGCCGAATGATATTCCTTTTTATTCTCTGTCGTGGTATTTTCCAACACGTATAAATTGTTTTTTCCTACCCCTTCACGAAAACGCTTGATGATTTTTGTGCTTTATCATGTTCATTTAGTGCGGCTGTTTTTTGCTAACGTTTTGACAGTTTTGCTAGGCAAAAGAATCATGATATTTAATTTCGAATGATTTTATTGATACCTATACGGTATATACGCGTTTTGTTCATTGTTGGAGGCCTTACGGTTACCTATCGTTGCCAACATCCAATTCATTTGGACTCTGGTTGACAGATATCTCTTTACCACTCATACAACATCTCCTTACTTTTATATCTATAGTGTTAACTAAATGTATTCCAGTTACTTCATCTCCTCCGAACAGATGATCTTTTTGACGCTTTTACAAATAATGTTGTATTCCTCACTAAACTGCTTCGGAAGGCATATGGTTCTCTGGTACTAATCACAAATTAATTGATTGTATCAATATTTAAATGTTTACGCTTTCATATAGTCTGCTATTCCTTTATCGAACACATAACCTTTTCAACGGACAATCAATTTGCGCTCAAACTGGTTTGATTGGAGCACCACTTAAGAATTTTATGGAGATGAAACGCGCTTCGGGCGTACCAAATTGTAGACCTGGTATCTTACAAACACCAAGTCGTTTACACTGCTGGTGGAAATTCGTTTGATGTGTTTGAGCTTTTGATTTTGCCATTTGATAAGGGACTTTCCGTTTTGAATTTTCCTTGGAGTTCGGGATTTTTGTTATTTTATTTTTTCCTCCCCGAAGGTATCACCAGCCAAGAAGTAAGCACTTTGGACTTTTGTGCTGACATGAAATATCATACAATCATGTTTTAAAAACTCTTCAATTTCTGAAAATTTCAGTTGGCTAGCTGTTGTTGATTAAGAAATACATGCCCCCGCTCGAAAAATTTCAAACTGCATTATCTCTAAAACGACAACAGATATCTCAAATCTGCTAAATAAAAAATGATCTGCAGTTGAAGTACAACATTGTAACATGCAAATATGGGACAATTCCAAAGTTCATCAAGGTCACAATGAATAATCAAATTCATGATGCAATACCAAACTTTTGAACCGGAAGTTGTAGAGACATGGGCTACCACCATTCAACTCAGGCCCCACTTGACCTTTCAAATGTCACAAGGTCAAGGGCATAGTACACTTTGAAGGTCAAGGTAAAATTTCATCATGACCTTGACATTGACCTCAAATTGAAGGTCTTGAAATACTGACCATTTTGCAATTTATAGTAGGTTGATATCTGTTACCTTTTCAAAAATATACACAAAATACTATTTTTTATACACGGTATTTATGGAGCAATCCCTTATCGTTTTCCTAATATGTAAGCTTGAAATTTGAGCGTTAAAATTTTTTTGCACTCAGTGACCTTTGACCGTGGGTGCAAATTAATGGTCACATGAACTAAAGATTATTGGTGAAGGTCCAATGTCTCCACGACTTCCGGTTCTCGAAATAATTGTTTTTTTTAAAATTGTGTATATTAATACAAAGGAAATGACTCATATAAGGGTTGATAACAAAAATAATGTTTATGTTTATTAACATTGCCATCTGTTCCTGTACATGTTGCCATTTTCAAATCGATTCTATCTGTAATGATTTTTAAGAAAAATGCAAATAAAAGAAATTGTTTCAAGGGGATGTAACTCTCAAAGGGGATGATGAAATCCTACGCAGCCTCACCTGGTAATACTTCATGATGAGATCTATCTTTTGTCCAAATAAGGTAATGATATCTTAAAAAAAAACGAGGGGGGAGCATGTAGAAAAAAAACAATAAAAGGGAGATAACTTCTAAAGGGGATGATGAAATCCTGCACCGAGTGAAATAATCAGTAATAACAAGGATGTTTCAAGAAGTAAAATCACAAAATCAAAAGCGCAAACACATCAAACGAATGGAAAAAAAACCTGCCATATTCCTGACTCGGTACAGGCATTTCCTCATGTAGAAAACCATCTTTCGATTTTTCAAATGTTAAGAATTCCATGCATACAAGTTCCATCGATTGCTTGGTTTCGATGCTAATGAGTGGTGCACGATTGTTAAGTGGCTTGTATAAATTTTATTTTGTCGAAATTGTTGAAGATAAAGAGATGTTGAGGTGGTGATTTTACTACTTCGGCTCATCTCAGACGTGGTCTTTGTTGTATGTTGGTAAACCATGATTTCAATACTGGGTCGCTACGTATGTCAATATTACATCCTGAATTCAGTTATGCCGCTTCGGGTTATATTTCAAGTGTATCAAGCAGTTGATGTATGGTACATGTTGTATGGCGTCGCAAATGGCTTTAATAGATTCGCTTTTCATCGACAATTTTAGTAAATAAAGATTCTCACTTATCATTTAAATTAAGATGCAAACCTTTGCCATCAATAGGAAACAGCGACCATGACATTGTACTTCTAGATATGACATGTAAACCACTAAAACCACTGAAACTAGCCAGAAGGTAAAAAGCCGAAATACACAAAATAAAGAAAGATATTCAAACTTTCATAACAAAATTCAAAAACATCAGATCCAAAAAAGTTGAATCTTTGTGACAGGCATTCAAAACGGTCATGCAAACCACCACAGAGAAGAGAGTACCGTAAAAAATTACTCAAGGAAGACACACCCATCCGCCCAACTATTAGACACAAAATAATCCAGAAACAAAAAGCACACAGGAAGGCCAGGAAAACTTAAAATAAAAGAGACATAGATAGGTATAAAAGACTAAAACAAGAAGTACAATGGGAAATCAGGCAAGTTAATAAGAAGTATATGGAAGAAGTCAGCTCTGATTATAAAGACAACACAAAGAGAGTTTGATCATACATCAACAGCAAAGACCAAAAATGGCCAGGAGTAGCATTGTTAAAAAATAAAATGTGATTTCTTTAAAGTGAAAGCATGAGCAAAGCTGACATCCTTAATGATCATTTTCAGGCAGTATTTACCAAACAAAACCTTGATAACTTCCAAAACAAAGGGAATATTTTTATGAAGGATATGAACACTAGCACTAATGCATGGAGTCCACAAATTGTGAAAAAAAGTCTTAAACCACATAAAGTCACTGGTCCTGATTCAAAACCATCTTTTACACCGTAAGCAGCAGCAAACCAACTTGATCCCGTTCTTACAGACCTGTATTAAACATCACTGAACACTGGCGAATTCCCACAAGAATGGACAGATAAACACGAAGTTCCACTTAAAAAAAAAAACCAAAAAAAAACCGAAAGGCACTAGCATCTTCTTTCAAACCAGTATCTATCTCTTACATCTATCACATACAAGGTCTTAGAACATATTGTACATAGAAACATAATGAACTACTTCGACAGAATTAAAATTCTTTATAATGCATAACAAAAGACGATCTTGGGAATCCTAACTTATCGTAACCATCAACGACATTGCATCAAAATCAAAACAAAACTGTCAAGTAGTTATCATCCTTCTTGATTTTACAAAAGCATTTGACAAGGTGCCACATCATAGCCTACTACACAAGTTGGAATATTGCGGCGTCAATCCCAAAACCAACAGATGGATTCACTATTTCCTACTTAAGAGAAAGCAGAGCGTTATGCTAGATAGAGCTGTCTCAGCGCAAGTACCAGTACTCTCTGGTGTACCATAGACTGTTCTTTGCCTACATCAATGACATGATAGAAACAGCAACTACATCACAGACCACATTATTTGCCGATGACAGCTTACTCTTTCGAACCATCACCAACCAAGCAGACAGTTACTTTCTTCAGAAAGACTTATCATCATTGGAAGATTGAGAAAACAAATGGCGAATAAGTTTCAACGCCAAAAAATACCGCTTGTTACAAGAATATCACAGAAAAATCGACCAGTGATACAAACAACTTACAAACTCCACGGTCATACAACAGATAGTCGAAGCCAGCAAATACCTAGGAATAACAATCAGTAACCACCTAACCTGTGATAAACACATCGACAATACAGTTGGCAAAGGCAATAGGGCCGTAGTATTTATCCGCAGAAATCTCAAAAGTCTGCACAAAACCTTCAAAGGCAGCTGCATATGTATCCATGGTAAGACCTGCAGTGGAATTTGCATGCACAGTATGGTTTTCAACAAACAAAATAAGATCAAGGCAAAAGAGCAGGTACAGAAAAGAAGAGAAAGATTTGTGCACAACAACTACACAGACCGAACAGCTGTGTCACAAATATGGTTAAAACATAAAAATGGGAAAGCCTTGAAGAACGGAGGAAAAACAAACAGATTATGCATGCTTTGCAAGATATAGCATGATCTAATCGACATAGATCGTCAACAATATCCGACCCAGAATGAGAACCGGACCAGAGGTAAAAACCACTTCTTCAAGAAAAGAACAAGTACAGATGCCTACGGCAAAACTTTCTTTCCAAGGACCATCAGGGATTGGAATAATCTACCAACATCAGTATCGTCGGTCAACACAGTTGAGATATTCAGAGCTGCCTTGATGGCATGAATGAAGTAGGCAACACCAACATGTACATTGTTTTGATTGTAAAATATTGCGATCCTTTTTAAATGTAAGTATCCAAGAGAACTTTCTGTGTGTAAACAATGATTAAAAAATATTAAAACTTGATATCTGATAAAATTTTCAACATTGTTCCTACGGAAATTCGTTTTTGTGTGTTTGACAAATAAAACCTGGAAAATGATGATGTATAAATTAAGGCCTTCTTAAATGTATTCTATAACTAAACAAAAACAAAAAAATACAAATTTCAATAGGAACAATGCTATAATTTTGTCAGAAATCAACTTTTTATGATTTAATCAGTGTTTATACTGAACAGATTGAAAATATGTTTTTGGTATTGAATAAATACAACATTACATGCAGCTTTTTGAGTTGAAACATGTATTTTCATCTATTTAGAAGATAATTTTTTTACTCAGGTAAATTAATCAAAGAGTGATGGATTTCTCTTAGAAGAAATGTAAAGGTCCAGTGAATAAACTGCACAGAGAACAAAAGCTATTGTGTATTTATTCAATGGGACAATAGAACTGACAAAAATTTATATTGACCAATAGGAGATAACTCTGTGGAAAAGTTTCATTTGGTTTGCAATAATAAAAAATAAAATAGGAATTTTTTTTGTTCAATCATTAATTTAAGTGAAATAACAATTCGCTTTTATCAGCCAGTTTGGTTCATTTTTTTGTCAAAATAAGCTAAGAAACATAGCTGATGAATTATTCAATAATTCGACCTCATTGAATCCCTATTCATGTCACCTTCAATTTAACCTCCTTGCTGGAGATGGGTTACACATGTATTCAGCTATCAAAAGTAAACGAATGTCAAAATTGAAAGTGAAACAAGGATGAACCATTTGTTTGCTCCAAACTTGATGAAACTTCACAGAAATGTTGACTAGCATGTGTAGATATGGCATATGACTTTGGAATTTCCAAAATGGCTGCCGTTACCATGGAAACAATGCAAAAAAGGTCAAAATGCTTTAAAAACCTTTCTAAAAACCTTTCAAGTAGCATTTACACTCTTACAATGGTAGGTTAAATCCAGTAAAACTTTGATGGTGTGTTCCCTCTTATTTACAAATGTGGCATCTGTCATTAAAATTTTAGAAATGGTCACCGTTACCATGGAAATAGCAAAAATGTCAAAAATTTCAAAATTCTCCAAACTTTATGGAACTTAATATCAATGTTAACTGGCAAGTATAGATGAGACTTTTGACTTTGGAATTTCCAAAATGGCTACCGTTGCCATGGAAACAGCAAAAATGTCAAAATTTTCAAAGTGCTCCAAACTTTATGGAACTTAAGATAAATGTTTACTGGCAAGTGAAGATAAGACTTTTGCGATTTGAATTTCCAAAATGGCCACTGTTGCCATGGAAACAGCAAAAATGTGAAATATTTCAAACTGCTCCAAAAGTTCTGAAAATTTATAGAAAGATGTTTAGCCATTCATATATGTGCATTGACTGTTTAAAATTTTTGAAATGGCTGCTTCTTAGTGGCAATGGGGGAAGGGTGACATCCGCTATTGCTTGCAATAGCAATTCTAGTTATATTTATGTTTATATCGGGGTTAAATGACCGTCGGCTGTCTTCTTGATGGTTAATTACACACCAAATATTATCGATAATCAATGTTATTAATCTAATAGAATTTGACAGGTAATGCCCCTTTGAAAAGATACACAGATCGCCCTGGTGGTCTCGTGGTAGTGTGGTCGCCTCAAGTGTGGGAGTTCGTTGGTTTGATCCCTGGCTGGGTGAAACTTTAAAATTGGTATTTGCTGCTTCTCTGCTCAGCACGCGACATTAAGAACTAAGACTGGTGGGCTTGGATTCAGAATAATGTGTCCACGTAAGGCGACATGTCTTCCTGCGGACTGTTATCTTGTGAACTAGCATGTAAAACTCCGGCTCATCCTTGTCTTAGGATATAAGATATCTGCATACAAGGTATGAAGAATCCAGGTCTTCTACCTTCTGAGATATAAAGCTTTATACAAATAGTATATGCTGCCGCCGCTGGATAGTAATACCCATGTCTCGCAAGACAAAAATGTATACTGTATATCTGTAAAGATGTATATAAACAGATAATATGTATCTTTTCAAATGTAATTTATTTGGATCTTTACAGATTATATACATCTTAACATGTGCACAGTCCATTTAAATGTATCTCAACAAATGTACAGTTTATATACATCTCAACAAATGTAGTTTTTATACATCTTATCAGATGTTCATCAAGATTGCTTGTGCTAAGTAGCTGTGTAATAAATAAAAACATCAGCAATGATTATTAGCAAGACACTTTCAAAATAAGTCAACATGGTCAAAAAACATCAGTTGACACCTCTCTATAGCTTTTAAACTGTGACTACTATGTTTTGTAGTAGTCTCAGCCAAAAATGACTATTTTTGACCAATTTTAGTATTTTTGCCTAATATCTGGAAAACTTTGATAGACTGAAACTAAGAATGGCAACAAAATATAAACTAATAAAATGCTCCGCTTGGGCGCAGCTTGATACGACCGCTGAGATCGAACACTGAACAGTTGGGGCAAGTATGGACACAACATTCAAGCTTGATACAGCACTGAATTTGGATTGTGAAAAAAATCCCTCCCCCAAATTTTTTGAACCCCCTTATGATTCATCACCCCCAAACTCAATCCAAGCCTTCCCTTTGTGGTATGGTACCTTGCAGTACAATTTCAGAGAGATCCATACACTTGAACACAAGTTATTGTCTGGAAACTAGAAAAATGCTTGTTTGTAGGCCCCTTTTTGGCCCCAAATTCCTAAACGTTAGGGCAATTACCCCCAAACTCAAACCCAGCTCTCCCTTTGTGATATGGAACCTTGTAGTACAATTTCATAAAGATCCATACACTTACACACAAGTTATTGTCCTTAAACTAGAAAAATGCTTGTTTTTAGGCCCCTTTTTGGCCCCAAATTCCTAAACGTTAGGGCAATTACCCCCAAACTCAAACCCAGCTCTCCCTTTGTGATATGGAACCTTGTAGTACAATTTCATAAAGATCCATACACTTACACACAAGTTATTGTCCTAAAACTAGAAAAATGCTTGTTTTTTGCCCCTAATTCCTAAAATTTTGAGGCAATTACCCTCAAAATCAATCCCAGCCTTCCCTTTGTGGTATGGTACCTTGGAGTACAATTTCAGAGAGATACATTCACTTGAACACAAGTTATTGTCTGGAAACTAGAAAAATGCTTATTCTTGGCCCCTTATTCCTAAACGTTTTGGGCAATTACCCCCAAACTCAATTCCAGCTTTCTCTTTGTCATATGGAACCTTGTAGTACAATTTCAGAAAGATCCATACACTTACACACACGTTATTGTTCTGAAACTAGAAAAATGCTTGTTTTTTGGCCCTTTTTTGGCCCCTAATTCCTAAAATTTTGAGGCAATTTCCCCCCAAAATCAATCCCAGCATTCCCTTTGTGATATGGAACCTTGTGGTACAATGTCAGAGAGATCCATACACTAACACACAAGTTATGTCTGGAAGTTACCAAAATGCTTATTTTTGGCCCCTAATTCCTTAACTGTTGGTACCATTACCCTCAAAATCAATCCCAACCTTCCTTTTGTGATATTGAACCTTATGGTAAAATTTCATAGAGATCCATTCATTAAACTAAAGTTAGAGTGCGAAAACCAATGTGTCTTCGGACGACTACGACAACGACGTCAATGTCATACCAATATACGACCGCAAAATTTTTTTGCCGTCGTATAAAAAGTAGGCAGAAGTAGTAAGTTTATTTGACCTGGCCGATAACAGTTATTGCCTTTCAATGAAGAATTGTACCAATTTTGAAGTGTCAACAAAAAGTTAATATGATTGAAAATTGGTACCCACCAAAACAAATGAATCACAGAACTTAAGAATGAAGGCGTAAGGGTTCCCCCTAATTAAAAAAAATCTCAAAATCTGTATGTTTTCACACTGACCTAATGGAGATATATCTATTTTCTGGATTAGATCATCAGAGTAAAAGGAAACTTGCACAATCAATTTTAATAGCACTCATTCTGAAAAGTGTACAATGTGCACAATTTAATACATTTATAAATAAATTACAATTTTTCAGCAGTCACTGTTGTCAGCTACACAGAAATATAAAACAAGACATTTCTTAACAAAGCAATATAACAACAGCACTCAATGATAAAATTATGAAATACACACTGATGACAAATGAGTAAGAAATAAACACTTGGTGCAACTATTTTTCAAACATAGGCAAGTAGAGGAATATTGAGGAAATCAATATGTTGTCAGGCTCATTAAAATATGACCAAATGCATGTTTCATTAAATCAAATATTAATACTGGCAACATCATAGCACACTATTTAACATTTTGAAAAGATTTGTTTACTTCTCTTATGAATGACATGCACTAAGAAGATGTTTTTTCTTCTTTAGGTTTTGTGGAAGCTTGTCTTAATTAAGTCAAAAATGCCAACTTCAATATATTTCCATTATCACATACTTAAATATGTGTCAGTATCACAGACTTCTTTTAGGAATGAATCACATTTTTTATTAAATACTTCTTTTCTGTCACGTGTCTCGACAGTCCATCACCATTTTTCTAAATCTCTGAGCAGAACGTGGCCTCTCTAAAAGAGGAGGTGGAGAAGGTACATGTGTAATTCCCTGATCTGATGGCATACCTAAAGTCACAATCTGTGCTCCATTAATTCCCTCCTTCATTGTCATAACATTACGTCTACCTCTTACCTGGTTGCCTGACCCAGATTTGAGTCTATCACCAGGTGAAATAGAATTATCAGCTGACTGATTAACAAGTTTTATATCATGTGATGCCTTTAAAGGTCTATTTTTAGAAGTGGAAGACAATATAGTTGGAGAACCTTGTCTTGGTGAATTAGTAATGTTTAGTTCATGAGGATTTTTAGGTGATTCACAATCTCTGGTCACTATTGGAACAGGTGGGCTATCTATGTTTCTTATTCTTATTTTTGGAGATTCAATAGGTCCAAGTTTCCTAAAAAAAAATCAAGCAAATGATAAAACTTTACAATCTGACTCAAACAATAGACATAATATTACAGTGAAAATCCACGAATTCTAGAACCCATGAACATGTAACTTTTGCTCATACCATGAAAATTGATACCCACGAATTAAAGTACTTTCACAGTATATCAAAGTCAATAAACCTTTGCTATCACAATTGTTAATACTTATTAGAGAAGGAGTAAAAAATAATAAATTGACCCTGCTGTATTAGATGAGTAAGCTTCTTTTTTAACAACATACATAACAGCATAACCACAGAAAAATGGTGGGTCTTTTAATATTATCATTTAACTGCTAAAAAAACATTTTCATAAACCTTTTTCAATACTCACATAAATGCATAAACAAAAATTAAGGTATCTTAATTTTATGACACAGAATCTTTTAACTGATTATACATTATTTTCCGAACTTCTCATATAATTACTAAATTTAAGGTTATGCTGATAAAAAAATGTAAATGGTGCTGGAAATTGAAGGGTGGAGGAGTATCCCTTGTGGTGATCCCTGCCATATTTACTTACTTTATTGAAGCAATGTTTCGAGGTCCTGTACCCTTTTTAGATACTGAGACTACAGTGTTATTTAGCAGTTCTTTCTCCATCTTGGATCTTTCTTGTTGCAAATCTACAAACAAATTTAATTAGTCAAAAATATTTATTCTTGTCCAACAGTTTTGTTTTTTTTTCAAATAAAATTAAATTGTCCAATTATTTCTTGTTTATAGAACTTTTAAAATTCAAACACTGTTATGATAATATCTACAAAAATTAATGCATCAAATTGATGTTTGTGGAAAGTTTGTTAAATCAAACACTACATAATTCGTTTCTATTTTTTATATCTTATTTTACGATTACAAGCATCTAATCTTGTACTCCTTCAAAAGGTGGACACTTGCACTCATGTATATTGCATAGTAATTCCTGTTCAAATTGTTGAAATTTTTTTTATCTACCACGTTGAATAACATTTTTTAATTAATTTTGAAGTAAGAATAGCCTTTGGCATGTTTGCTGAAACATAATTAAATAATGAAGTAAATCTTCTGAACTTGATAAATTACATCATTATGTAACTCAGAATGCCCTGTAAATTATCATACAATAGTGATTGGCAGTTTTATTTGGGGGAAAGCATTGCAATCAAGATAAAGCAGCAATTTCAAATTTTTAAAATTAGGAATTTCAATTCAGTAATTTGGATTTCAAATCAGTTAAGACTAGCAAATATAAAAGTTTCCATACCCTTGGTTTTAAAGACTTCAGATTTTTACTAACCTAATATTGTAAGTTTCTTTGGATATGGTACCCTGTTTTTTATTACTAACCTAATATTGTAGGTTCCCTGGACACTGTACCCTGTTTTTCTGCCCTGAATTCTGCCTCATCATCAATACATTCATATAAGAATCTTATATCTCTTAATAATATCTCATTTTCCTCTTCTAATGTTGATCTGAAATCCACAAGATCATGCATAAACATTACAGAAATACTATTCAATGAAGATGCAGAAAATATAAAAGCAGTAAAATAATTGCAATGAATTTGAGAGATTTTAAAGAAATGACATCATACAGGTTTATACATGAAGCTTTCTATACAATATTGGTTTTACTCATTGTTAAAGGCTGTTCAGTGACATGTAGGGTTTTACATCCCCAGTTTTTTCACTGGTGGATAATCATACCATGTCTCTTTATTTTTATATTTATAGCAATACAGACTAAAAAATTCATAAGGGGTTCTGCGGAACCCTGTGTCTCGCCTACGATTGCTGCTGTCAGTGTATAAGTGTAATGTTGACTTAAAAAGTGAGTCCATTTATCAGTAAAATATAGAATGTTAAAAAAGATTCAAACTTTCTCTTTAGATGCTATTTCTTGGTCTTGAAGATTAGCTTCTGTCCAAGTTTCATAACAATCCACGTAGGTTAACAAACTTATGTCAAAAAAATTTAATCCCAGACTGTCAGTAAATGCTAACTGTAAAAAAAGTCCATCTATCAGAAAAATACTGAAAATGAAAATATATTTTCAAAAGTGTGCTTCAGACATTATCTCTTAATCATAAAAAAGTTTCATAAAATTCTATGAAGGTTTGACAAAGTATTTGAAGTGTAACAAACTTAACTCCCAGACTGTATCTATTTGTTAAATGTTAAAAAAACTAAGTCCATTTATCAGTAAAATATGGAAAAAAGAAAAAAAATCTCAAAATTTTGCTCTGGATACTGTATTTTGCTCATAAACAAGCTTCTATCCAAATTTCCTAAAATTCCATGAAGGTTTGACAAAGTTATTGATGACTGAAAAACTTTAACCTCAGACTGAATCTGAATGCTAAGTGTGAAAAAAACCAAGTCCATTTATCAGTAAAATACGGAAAAATCAAAATAAATAATTTCAAAGTTTTCTCTGGATACTGTATTTTGGTCATAAACAAGCTTTTGTCCAAATTTTATCTAATTCCATGTAGGTTTGACAAAGTTATTGATGTCCAAAAAAATTTTAACCACAGTCTGAACGTAAATGTTGACGACGGAATCTAGGATCATTATGTCTCGTTTTTGCGAAATAAATTTCGCAGGCTTGCCAAAAAGGTATCACAATACCCGTTGGATCCTTTTCAGTGATTGTCTAATGTCATATCTTAATGTTTTGATTTTTGGAGAACTTGGTGTTGATTGCAGAGTTGTTTTTTATAGTAATTATTTAACAATTAACAGACGAGACATCTAATAGAGATTGAAACATTGTATAAACCTGTGTCTATTGTTGAAGACTTAATTAATGTTGACAGGTTTTTATAATTTAAAAAAAAAGTCATGATTAATCATTAATTAGAAGCAGATCCCAGTTAAAGAAACAGAAAACTTTTATAAAAATACATACAGTATTTTAAAATTGTACTGCTTATAGAATACTTATATATAAAGACTGTTTCTCCCATACATATGTAACATACTGAAACATTAGTACCTTAAATGCTGGACACATTCATCAAACTTCAGATAATTCAATTTATCATTCATTGATTCTATTTCTTCACTTAAAGTGGATGCAAAAGAGGCTCTGAAAATAAAAAAATAAAACAGGATATATATTGATGTACTTATTTCTGAAGTACTTTTGTGCATTTATAAGTATATAAAATATGTTACCCCAAAAAATAGCAATACTGGTATTCATAAATGTGTACATTCTAACTTGTTTTATATATCTATTAGAATCTTTAAGAGCTGCAAATCATAAAAAACTGTAAGATTTAAAAATTCCAAAATAACGGTATATGTTCCACACATCATAAAAAATAATGATATATTATCTAACATACCTATCACTACCAGTAGGACTGGTTATCATAGGAGTATCTCTTCCTTCTCTAGAAAACGCTGAACATGGTCTTGCAGAGCCAGGTCTTCCTGTTCCGGGTCCTACATAATTAAAGTTTAATTATACAAAATCAACAGTGCAGAACATAACAGAAGAACAGTTGTAAAAAAAAAATCTGCAATACATTTACTTAATATTTTGTGCTTGAACTGTTATTATAACATATAGTAGAATAAATACATAACATATGAGTTGTTTGTCTGTAGTCTTCTAAGAAACACTGAAGATCATAAAAAGTAAGAAATAGTTTAAAATTTATTTCAAATATACTGATCTAAAAAGTTATCAAAATAGTGATACATTCATTTTTTATATGCATGTTACGTTCATTTTTTCACAGAACTTTTGAACATTTTCATTTAATTTTCTTTTTATTAATATTATTTCTATAATAACATGTGATATTAAATCATTCATACATTTGCTTATATACTAACTTAAGCAATTTAATGCATAATTATTTACATGAACTTACTTGAACTATTTAATGCATAATCAATTACATGAACTTACTTGAACTATCTAATGCATAATCAATTACATCCATATTATATTTTGTGTTCAATACCCTGTCAGGATTCCTAAAATAAAAATTTAAAAACAGATTTTTTTAATGATCAGTGTTTTCCTAATTGGTTTTTGTAGAATGCCATCCAAATGAAATATGAGTAAAGAGAGCATAGAAAGCAACTATTCTTATATTCCAGAAAAAATATTGAGTATTATTTTCACTCAGGTTTTCATAGTTTGAGTATTTACTGTATCCAATGTATATAATTGTTGTTTGTGTCCAGTGGCAAGTATTACATGCATATCTGAATAATAACATGTCACTTAGATATGAATATACCATGATTTGTACTTGACAGACTTGTTTTGTCAAATTTTAGATTGTTAGATTCATATCTAAGTGTTTATGTCAAAAAGGAAAAGAAAGTATAATATATCAATTAAAATTCAATTAAAAAACTATTCTGTTTATCATTTTTATGAAATTCATTGTTTCTCATTAAAAAGATATATAAATTTAACAAAGTTAAGCAACTTTCATCAATAAAATTAAACAATGCTTATAAATGGAAATATATTCATTAAGCAAGGAGAGCTAACCAAAAGTCTGTTAATGCGTGTAGAATGTGTAATTTTCCTTTTTGGGATCATTATTCTTCTGTCAGCAGATGGTGCCATTTGTGCATTTGTAGTTATTATTGTAAGAATATGGATTTCGTTTATATCTGGTCCGGTTCCGATCAATCCCGCCTCCGATCCGTAGTTTGCACATTTATTTCAATGGTTGACGAAGAAAATTTACAATGTTTGACAAGCTATTTGGAAAGGAATATGACGTTTTTAAAGCAATAAATGGATTGAACATTAACTAAAGGCAATTTTCAACACGTTCTTATGAAGTAACAAATTATTTTGCCGAAAATCAGAATGTTTTGATATACGCTCTCGAGTATCAAGTACCGGAAGTGTTAAGAAGTTGTCTGTATGAAATAACATACAATCAATCTGAAAAGTCAATACTTTCTCCTCTTTTCTAAAGAAATAAATCGTTTGTGTCTTTGAATTTCTTACTTATAAATGAAAAATTGCTGTTTCATCGACTTAGTAAATATTGAAAATTGCTTTTGGCTAAAGCGACTGAAAGCGAGCATTGTGAACACCAGGGCGACTAGATATCGTTTTTGACGGTCGGGCAAAGCGAAGTGACGGACAGGAAAGCGACTTCTTTGCCCCAGTCACCTGCTAGCGTGAGTCCTGATTTTCAAACAATATCAAAACATGTGAATGCAAGAAATGTAGCCCATTTTTTAACAAGAAGTTCTGTGTTATATGCAATATGTGCCCTATCAATTGTATTCATTTAGCTTAATCCTATAAAATTAGTAATTAAATCCTGAAATTTTTAGTTATTCCAATATTGGTACTTACATTCCCTGATTTTGTGCTTTTTCTTTCACATTATCAACAAAAAATTGTATTTCTTGTATAAGTCTACCACGAAGCCCTGGGGGTTCTGGGAGAATTTTAGCTGGCTGCATGTCATCAGTTTCATATCTGTAATCTCGCCATATTTCTAACAAGGTATCAATCTGGAAAATACATGTACAAACCTCAGTATTTACTGAAGTTAAACTTACAATTGGCTAAATTAAGATAAATAACAAGACCTGACCCTTATTTCCATAGTCAATTCTTTTGAATATCCTGGTGGTTTCCTGTGATTGTCTTATGTAATTTTGTTTTAGCACTATTGTGTTGTCTGGCAAGGAATAACAGTATTTCAAGAAAGTCTTACCAGTAATTTGTGAAATTAATGCTAATTCTAGCATTCATTACTTCCAAAAACATTGCAGTTAACAATGAACATCAAATTAAAGATAAGTAGTATATTGATTATGGGCTATCTTGATTTTTCTGAAAGGTATGATTTCTTTATCTCATATTTAACAACCCCATTCAAACAAGTATCAAGATGAATAACACCAATACAATCATTGTTTGTTTGATAAATGGTTATTTTACAGCGTATCTTAGAAATTTTGTCACATGTACATATATCCAATATCCTTTCCCCTGAAAATTGACACAAATAAACGTGCCTACTAATGTCAGTATTCAAACATCAATACAGTTATCCTCTTAAATAATACACTATGATATCCCCCACAACAGGCTTCTTCTCATGTTTATAACTAGTTGTAGTATTTATTTTGTAATTCAACACCTTTCTATTTTAGTGAATTGTTATTTTGAGGCAAAAATTCCCCTGTTGAACATTGGCCTTATATTACATTGTATTAGGCAGTTACTGCACTCTCTGGCAATTGATCTAAAGGTCAATGGAATATAAAACCGAGGTTCAAGTAAAATTGCATTTGCCAGATACACTTGTACTCTTTTACTCTAATAAAGAGTTCAAGTATCAAATATTTTGACTTGTGTCATCTATCATGTTTAGTTTTTGAGAAAGACAAAATCCATCAAATTTTAAACTAGATTGCAATATGGTATTCCAGATCAGGTGATACATATATATTGTTCGACCTGTTAGTCAAATGCATTTTGTTAAAATATACTTTTTCATTTTTTTGGTCTTTTGGAAAATGTTGTTTGTGCTGTATTTAGACCCCTCCAACAAGAAATTTGTTTTGCATGCACACGTATAAAAATTGCGGTTTTTATCCAACACAATCATAGGTTTGAACGTTGTTTTCAATTTAGACTTGTTTATATATATATATATATATATAATATATAACCAATCAGTGGACATATGCATGGAAACAACTTTCAACAAACTCAAATTTAAACAAAAAATCTTGTTGACCTGTCACAATAAAAAAACTCCCCAAGTTTTAGCTTTATTTTTGGGGTTTTATTGTATAATTGTTGTTGAGTTGCTGTTTAATGCAGTAACAAATTATTTTTTTGTGCCTCATGCATTTAAACTTTTGATTCTGATTGGGGAAGGACAAACCATAAAAGCTTTTCCAGTGCTGAAAAATGAATGAGTCCTGAATGAGGATATGAAAATTGGATAAAGTATATTTTCTAAACTAGCTTTAAGTTCTAATGCTGAATGATTCTATCACTGTTGGTATTTTTATTCACTTAGTGATTTCACTAGCGCTCGTCATTTTAGCAATTTATGAAATGATTTTAAAAATGACGAAAGTATTTCTGATCGATTTTGTCACTTAAATTTGTAAAAGCAAACAATAATTTCTACAAAATATTAGCAGGCGACAAGTTTCGACCCTAATCAATGGTCACAACAGGTGACATAATTCCACTCATGCAAAAGTGACTAAAGCCCTTAAAATCCTAGCTTAAATCCTGATTCACTTGTCAATTATAATGCCATTAACATGATTAAAGCACATATTTTGCTTTATAAATTACAGGATATCATCATATCACACCTCAGCATGTAGTTCTAAACTCTGATCCACCAATGATTCTCCTAACATATTTTTTATCTCTGTTTGTTCATATGGACTGACATGTTGTTCCACTAAACTCCATAGGGAAAGTGGTGGTTCGTAAGCTTGAAGATCAAATGGATGCTCCTCCATTTTCTTCTCTCATTTAACCTGTTTAAACATTGTAGTAAAAAAATTAATTTATTAAATAATTTTGTAGTACATGTATAATATAGAACATGTTTTTGTTTTTGTTTTTTGATGTTTATAGTAGCGCAAATTAACTTGTTAAAAATTTATAGCCTGCTGGAGCTCATCACATAGCATGTGTCTTTTTTTTTTTTCATGTAATATCTTTATATTCTTTTATGAAGGCTTGTATGTTTATTTACAAAATAGATTCTCTAATTTAATAAAAATTTAAAATTTGTCACAGTTTAAATATGCTTCTTACTTGAACTTCTGATCTCCTTGTTGTGGTTAACAATGGTTCAATACTGAAGAATACATGCTGCTGTGCATGCATGATTGATATATAAATTTTATACAAATGAGAATTAAATAACAGAATAAGTTATATATACAGATTGGGATTAAAATAAAAACTTTTTGTACAATTTGGAACTGTGAGGTGATTTTCCTTTCCAATGATTAACCACTTCAATTGTATGACTATTAAAAGATTTATATTTCTTTTAAAAGTTATAAAAAAAACGTTTGAAAATAATGAGTTTTCGAAAAAAAAAAAAGGATTGAAGAAAAAATGTTGTCATAGTTGTTAAGACAACGAAGCAGACGATTTTTTTGCTCTTGTGTAAGAAATTAAGATAAAAGTACTGCCGATTATCAAATTAAATGTTCTGGATGTTGGAATTAGACTTACTAATTATATTAATTGATTGTAACATTATAAAAACCATCAAGATTTGATAATAACATATATTTGATTTCGCTACGATCGTTAACAAATCGTCGCCATCTTGGAATTTGGAATGCAAATTGTAAGTTAAAAACCGTTGTCGGATTATAATATCCGGAACTTTAAAATCTCTCTGTATCTTTCTCCTGCATTGAGGAGCACATAAACTTTTCTTAATTATCACCATAACATACGAGTGCAGGGAAAGATAACCCCACCAGAATTAATGCCTGTATGTGTTTTATATGTATGTAATGGTGGTCACTTTGTTTACTTGTTAATTATACTATTTATTTGGGGAAATTGGTTAAAGTTAGTATTATATATATAGTTCCGTAACTATTTCTCTCGAGACCGTCCATGTTAATATTTCTTGCACGTGCCTGACATCCCTGCCAGGCTCGTTGTCCCCAAGAACTATAAATATGACGTCACTCACTGGGTTCAGGGCAGTCTACAGCTTAGGATTTGAAATGAGCAGACACTCATACTTTGGCTTGCAGATATGGAATCTCTATTCATAGAACAAGTAGACTAGCCGCCACCGTATTTTATTACTTCTTGTATGTAAATTATATTCAACCATATATGTCTTTTGAATAAACCTTTAGTTTATATTTATGTAGTTACATAGTTATATATATAACATACTCCCGTTACATGTATACGTTACATGTGCTTTGTATTGATTAGATGTGCTGTATATCATATGTATCTGCTGTTATTCAATGATTGATCCTGTTATGTTATTATATTTCAGTCAGTTAAATAGCTCTAAAGAGCTCATGTTCTATGCAATAAACTGTTATCACAGAGATATGTCTCGCCTATTTGTTATTTTGATAATGCAAATGTTGAAATTAAAATAGCAATACTTTAACATGTAAGTTATACAAATATTCAAAGTCAATGATGACTGAAGGTACAGGGCTAAACAATCTCCATGGAAATGAGATGTACCAATGCTAATACAACTGCAAACCAAATACCATTGACTTTTCATCAGTCGTTCCCTTTAAACAAACCTAAACACAAACATTAACTTGTAAACTATGTAAAAGTTTCAAAATCAATGAACCATAATTAGGGGGTGGGGTTATATAATCTCCATGGAAATGAAACTTGCAAATGCCAATACATTTGCATACCGAATATCATTGACTTAACATTAGTCAGGTCCATCTTAAACTGACCTAATCACAAACTAGTACATGTAAACTAAGTAAAAGTTTCAAAGTCAATAGACCATGACTGAGGGGTAAGGACCAAATATTCTCCATGGAAATGAGATGTGCTAATGCTTATACAACTGCATACCAATTATCATTGACCTACCACTAACAGTTCCCTTTAAACTGACCTAATCACAAACTAATACATGAAAGCTAAGCAAAAGTTTCAAAGTCAATAGACCTTGACTGAGGGGGCTGGGCCAAATAATCTCCATGGTAATGCGATGTGCCAATGCTAATACAACTGCAGACCAAATATCACTGACCTACCACTAGTGGTTCACCATGAACTAGACCTAATCACAAACTAATACATTGTTGACGCCGCCGCCGCCGACTCCGGAAACAGCATACCTATGTCTCGCTTTTTGACTCCGTCTAGGCGAGACAAAAATAAGAAGATGTGGAATGATTGCCCAGGAGAAAACTTTCCACCGGAGACCCAAAAACGTAGAACCTAGCAACTATAAGTCACTGTATGGTTTTCAACAATGAGCAAAACCCTTACCGCATAAAATGTGGCAGGGTTAAACTTGTTAGCTGGCGCCTCCCCTAACACGGGAAAGTGGTGCAACATCACAACATAAGAACTATGCAAAAAAATAAACAAACAAAAAATAAATCTATGTTGATGTATATATGAAAACCAGACTTTAAATCAAGATTACTCAATTACTTAGAAATTAATGGAACATTGAGCAATAGATTAGACAAACTCAGGAGCCTGCTATTTAGTGGTTGCCATTGGTTGCTGGCTGCATTATTTATTTTTTCCTTTTTTGTTGTTGTTTTAAGCCATAATCAGGTTGTAGGTTATCTCTTTTGAATTGTTTCATATTTTTTTCATGACAGGACCTTTTATAGCTTACTATATTATGGATTTTATTCATCGTTGAAGGCTGTACATTGCCCTTAAGTTGTTAACATCTTTGTCCTTTGGTCTCTGGTGGATATCTAACTAATAATCATACCACATCTCCATATGTTTATATTTCATGATAAGTTGATTCACTTTGTCCCCAGTCAATTTCATCACTTAAAATTTCCTTATTGTAATCAAAATGTCTAATGATTCCCTACAACTTATAGTTAAAGTTTATAATCAGGAGTGAGGTGAAAGTGTTAAAAGCTCGTTAATGACACCCTAGTAAACCCTACTCATTGACGGACACAATTACCAGTAATTGAATTTTTATCTGCTGAGTAAAAGGTAACAGTATATAGGAGTCAATTTCACAAAAAATCTCACGACTGTATGTCTTACACAATTCAGTATACTTACCATCAACTTTAGTCATACGATTTTTTATGAAACTCATTCCAAGCATATATATTATCCTACATGGATATATTATTTTGGCATGAGTCTTGGGACATGTTCTTTCTCTAAATGCTACATACTTAATGGAAAAAACAGAAATATACCAATTTTTAAGTCTTCGATTTGACCTTACTTGTGGTCAAAAGGTCACAATAATTGAGGTAAGACACTAACATAACACCAGCAGGACAGTGACGTGGATTTGAATGACATTACTTATTCATATGCATTGGTCATTAGGAAAACTGCATTGTATAACCTCTACATATTTTCTATTTTCAGTCTAACAAACCATAATAATCAATATAACATACAACATATTTTACACTCCTGGTGCAGCTGCCCTTTGCAACCCTTTAGTAATCATTCATGAGATGGAAACCAAACAATATAAGTCAATCAAAAACAGACATCCAGACATGTCCATACAACTTTCAACAATTGTCAAGAACACAAACCATTTACTAAGCTTTTCAAGCACTGCATCTAGGCTAGTTGTGCATCAATAAATTGGACATTTATGTTCGCAAATATTGACTACGATTTCCAAAACAAACGATGTCTAAATTTTCATATACCAAATAATATCAGCTTGGTTCATAACTGTACTGTAAAGAATTTATTTTTATGAAATATTGTCTATATAAAGAGGAGACAAAATGGGCTATCATCATGAAAAATAATTATGTTCATCCTCTCATAGTGATTATATACACCAAGTTTGACGAAAATTGGCCATGTTTTCTTGCCTGTAGGAAGTGATTATTAATAAATTAATTTTTTTCCTGATTACTCAAAATTTAAATTAGTAAAAGCCTTACATTACCAATCTCTTGTTGAAAAAACTAAATGTTCTGCTGTAACTAATAGAAATAAGAAGATGTGGTATGAGTGCCAATGAGACAACTCTCCATCCAAGTCACAATGTGTAAAAAGTAAACAATTATAGGTCAAAGTATGGTTTGATAAAAACTTCTTAATTCCACCAAAGTCTGTTTTTCATACAATAGGGAAGCATGCTATAAAAAAACAACAATATGGTTCTTCTGTAGAATTTATTTCTATAATACATGTAACAACTAATTGGAATAATTCATATCCAATTAAAAATATATCTGACAAAATAAAACCTAAAACCACATAACATACAAGACTTCAGAAAGAAAAGGTTTACAAAATAATACAAAACATATTGGTACTTTACTGTGACTTTATGGAATGTACCAGGCTACATCAATAGATTTTGCAGAAATTTCTTTTGATGAAATTTGACCTTTGACATTAAAACTGACCTTTAAATTCTGTATTTTTTCTATTAGGAATTAAGTATCTATTACTGATATCATGTACTTACTTAAGAGTTAAATATTATATTATTGATCTAATATCTTATACCTTTAGAATTATAGTATTAAAAGTAATTTAATTTTGCTACCAGTCTTAATACTAAATTAGTATTGCTGTGGGAATATTTTGAAGATAAAATAAAAATTTAAATCAACAATTGTTTTTGTCTTTCCAAAATTCAAACAATTAAACATGTGGAAAAGTTCAACACAAATCCACACTGAATATTGTGTGATTCAGTAAAGACATAAAATTCATCAGTGGCGGATTCAGAAATTTTCATAAGAGGGGGCCCGCTCCAGTCATGCTTCAGTGATTTCCTATATAATTAACCAATTATTTCCCACAAAAGGGGGGGCGGGCCCCCTGGGCCACCCCCTAAATCCGCCTCTGTTCATTGTATGCATTTAAAATTATTCAAAAAGGTCGGATAAATTATAGCATTTCCAAAAAAATTAAAAACATTTTACAGAAAAAATTGACTCAAATATCTTAGCCTACATTAATAAACCAGTAAGCACCAATGTAACATTAATTTGAAATATTATAAAGTGACTTTAAACATGTTTGGAAATTTTAGATTTTGCCTGAAAGATATTCACTCCTTTTGTAAACAAAATATTTATCCAACATCTTCATGTCACGTACTTTGAAAATAAAAGTCAAGTGTAAACTATCAAAGATGTATTTCTATACAGTCTAATGGTCATTAAATGCAAAAAAAGTTTATGAAGATGAATTATTATGAATGATTGGTGAAGGAAATGATATTAGTCTCTGAATTGATTGGCCTATGGTTAATATTTATTACATGATGATTATCTTTTCCTATCAACAACATTTTTATCTAAATGAACTGTATCTTCATCTTTGATTGGAATTGGGTACCAGTATATACTTTATTATTGTAGAAGTTTATAAATACTTTCTAGATAGTATTTTTAAATACAGAATAGTCTTTCTTTGATATGAAAAATTCTCCTGTCCAAATTTTTCAGACATTTAAATCATCTGCTATTGAATCTCAATATACATTATAACACATGATAAAATATAGACTGACCTAAAACAAACCCTACAATAGCATGAAATAAAAAGATACATTATAACCATTTGCTGCTAACAATTTTTACTGAGGGTTATTTTAAGTGCTTTGATATCAATGACATTGATATGCAGTAGTCTTTGGACAGAGTACAATTAAATCACATAAATTCTTGGTAGATATATAGACAATAACTGCTTAGTGTCTTTAAATATCAGCTGTATTTGTATGAGGCTAAGAAACAGGTGTAATGCGAGCTTCAGCGAGCTATTACTCCTGTTTCGAGCCGAGTACAAATACAGCTGATATTTAAAGACACTAAACAGTTATTGTCTTTATCCTGCAATTAATTTTGTACATTTTTTTCCCATCCCAATCGTTGAATTTGTTTTTGAAAGAAATCGACATGACCTAAACGCGGACCGCAATGAGGACCCCAAATTGAACTGTGACGTAAACCGTAATTTGACATAACCGTTCCCTCGCAACAGAAGCAGGATACCAGGAGACTGTATACGTCTAGTATAAGTTTATCACTTCGTGTTATCTGTACACCTGTATTAGTATAGTAGAAAGGTCGATTGCAGGATAAATTAAAGTAAATAATCTTAGGTGGGAAACTTGACAGAGTTCAATTAAATCACATAAACTTTTGGTCAGATACATTAAAGTTAATAATCTTAGGTGGGTCAGTTGACAAGTACAATTCTTGGTCAGATACATTAAAGTTAATAATCTTAGGTGGGTCAGTTGACAAGTACAATTCTTGGTCAGATACATTAAAGTCAATCATCTTAGGTGGGTAAATTGACTGAGTACAATTAAATCACACAAATTCTTGGTCAGAAACATTACAGTAAATAACTTTATGTGGACAAGACATTATTTGGCGGGTAAATCATGAACCAAAACAAATGAAAGCATAAAACATGAAAGTACAACAGACGTGTATTAGTTTACAACATTAAAACTACAATACCAGTAATAACAGCAAAACATATATTATTTATTCTATTAATAAACTGTTTCTATTCAGATATGTCTACCAATTCGTAAGTACTAACTACATCATTTAACGGTTTGAAAAATTCAGAATTCATCAATCAAATATGTTTAAAGATTGTGCTAGACTGCAACGAAGCCAATAAAGAATTACATGTATAAAGATAGCTTACAATGAAACCAAAAACTATTATATGTATAAAGATAGCTACAATGAAACCAAAAACTATTACATGTATAAAGATAGCTTACAATGATACCAAAAACTATTACATGCATAAAAATTGCTTTCAATCAGGCCTCTAAACTGATACTTGTGCAAAGATTGCAAGCCATGGAGGTAATACACTTTTATTGCTTTTCATACAGCCAAAAACTATCAAAAATGATAAAGCTATGCTGTGGTTTATCATAACACATTCTACCATCAGTGATTAAACCTGAGAAATACTTATTTTGTAAAACTATCTGACTGCTGACTATTTATTACAATATACCCAAAGTTTGGGCATTCATAAGATGAAAGATGCTGTTGACCTAATAATGACTTTTACTGTGTCAAGTTTAAAAAATGTAAATAGAACGCAATATTAAAACAAAAGATTGACATACAATGATTAACTGCAAACTGATTTTAAGTGGCATAAATTATCAGTTTACTAAGGAAGACTTACAAATTATTTCATAGACTTAAAATTATTCATAAAAAATTATTTACATTGTGCAACTTATCTTATATTATCAATTCTTTTAAAACGATTGATTGTTATTGCCCTAATTAATGATTTGAGCCATTTTTAAAGTCTATGATTTTTTTTTAAATTATCAAAATTATGTTCTTAAAATTAAAAGTCCCTCTCATTATCAACCTCCCAACCCTTTTTGGAGGAACAAAGTACATACAAAAGAACATGCCAACTTTTAAAGATGACATATATGTCTTATTTTATTGCAGTCTTCTGATAGTTTGACATGTAAAAGGGAATGTGGGAAATTATTGATTAAGATTTCCTCCTTGATTGATTGATTGTTGGTTGCTTAACATCCAGTGGGAAATATTTCATGCATGTTCAGGATGTGTCACATTGAAATGATTTCAACTCTTAAACTTCTGGGAATGTTTCAAAGGCACTCAAATTTGATTTTCAGACACACTAATAAATACGTCACTTTAACTTGAATACAACATCCAGGGGCTTCTATCAGGGTAAGCATGATAAGATGTTATATGATTGGAGACAGATCGTTGATATATATCATACTTCAAATAGTTTTCACATGAACAATGTTTTCATGGAAAACATCATATTATAAAATAACATAGAATAATGAATAAAAAAAAAATCTGAAGAAAACTTGGGTAATTCTTGCAAAACTCTTTCATATCTAAGCATATCCAAACTAGCACTTTAGTGAAATTAATAAACACGTAAATAGAAATGATAAAACAGATCTAAATACTCAATAGTGACAACAATTTTTTTAGAATGTACAGGAGAAGGGCATACACATTTTGGTGCAGAAATTTAAAGATTATAACCAGTAGAGTAAAATAATTAAACTTCAAATAAATATATAAGAAATAATTCAAAAATGATATTTGGTATAATAATGACCAAAATGGTGAAATTAAATTAAAGAGTATTGCCTTAAGTGCCTTATTTATGCTATTTGTATTCAGAAAACATCCCCAAATTAACAGATCACACAGTATTGTACAAAAAGATAAAAGCATCATCTCTTACTATTCTCTTATCAAATATATAGGACATCGGTCTGTTGGAACAAATACTCTTTACCCTTTATTCCATTTGGAACAAATACTGTTATATTTGTTCCAGTGAAAATAATATTCCAGAATATTTCTTCTATATGGAATTTATATTATAAAGGACATTCAATTTCATGACAGAAATATGTATACAAGAGCACTAACAGTAGGCATGGAAATTGAGCAAAAACTATTCTGGCATTTTTTTCAAAATATGTTGTATTGTTACTGTCATTACACTATTGTATTCAGTAACAGTGTTTCTCTACACACCAAATAAGTTACTATTTGTTTAAAAATATTCACAATTTAAAAAAACTTTTTTCACCAGTAATACCTCCCCTAATAAATACAAGGTAAAGTACCGGTATTAAAATACCAACTTCTAATCTAAAATCAAATAAAATAGGTGCACAATTGCATCAAGTAACTTAAATTAGTAGAGAATTTTCTGAAATTTCCATTGAAATTTATTAATTATTTAGCTGTGCTGGATATTGTAGAAGGGAAGACTCTAGGGTGTGATGGCTATCCATACTACAAGTATGATATTAAGATGAAATCAGGTCATGTATGGGAATTCCCCAAAATAGGGATGTAGTGGAATTTTAGATTCATTTCTGGAAACTGATAGCCAACATGTAGCCCTTATCATTTTCTATCATACCATCACAATTTATTGTGTAAAAACATGCAGAAGGAAGTTGTTCCCTTTAAAGAAAATAATAACAAACATGTAAAAATTATGATTATATCAAAACTAGTATCTAAACAGACTACAAATCTAAGTATCAATTAAAGATTTGGTGGGCAGAGTTTTTATACAATAAAGCTTAACTATATACAAAGATTTTGGCATTGAGAATTGATTATATGACTAGATAAGATACAGTGAAACCTGCTTTAAAAAAATGCCAATGTTGAACTAAACAGCCATCAGCATCATAAAATATTTACTACTAGATTGTACAATAAAATCCCGGTTCAAATAATTTGCTAACTTGTAAAATTTCAATTTCATTTAACTACTTTAACAACTTGAAAATTGTTCATTAATTTTTATATGAAGTCAGAATATCAAAGTAAAAAATATTTGTAAAGTCTGAATGATTAGGTATTATATCCATGTTGATTATGACTAAAAGTTTTAAAGAAAGATAACCTTCCTCAGTCTCCAAGGGATTTTCTATTGACAGGTTCCACTGTACAAAATGACCTTGTAATGATTACAATGTTGATTTATATCTCATTCATATTTTATTATGCATCATTAAATACTGTACAGTGAGTAAAAAAATCGCTTTCTTGATAAAATAAATAATTTACAAATTGTAGTAAAATATATTATCTTATATATAAAAATATGATTTGGAATAGAAAAATTCACAACCATTTCTTGAAACAATTAGGCTTCTTGATTCAATTTAATTGATATAAAAATATTTATGATCTGTCTTCTTCAAATGATGGCATTAATTCTTAATATGAACAAATTTTTCAATCCCTGAATTAACCATTTAATTGCTGATGCAATACTCTTAATTCAATAACAATATGTTGTGAAGTAGGAACTGCTGACAAAGACAATCTCTTTATTCTGTACAAACATGTTACTCTTGATTTTATTCAGCTCTCAGTTTTCAATTCCTCTACCAATTAATTTTCCATTCAACCATTTTATGCCTAACATCGAGTGAGAGTTATGAGCGATATGTTACAGATGTCTTGGCTATATATTTTATCACCAAAATATATCAGTACTATGATATTAGTATACATACTATTCAAGTTTTAAATTACCTCTTGGGGGAAAAAATATTCAGCACCTTTCCCCAAAAAATTGTCTTTTTCCAGTCATCTTAGCTACATTTAAAACAACCCATTGAGGTTACTTTTGATTTTGCAAATTTGTGCTTTCAACATAAGAAAAAGATCATCTCATTCAATAAATCTAATATTTCATTTATCTTATTGGTTTATAATTAGTAAATACAGGATGCAGCAGAAGATCTTTTGCAGATGGTCTATCCTTTTTATCCGTTTCAAGACATCTTAAAGCCAGATCTTTGATTGGTGGAGACAGATTTTCTGGTATTGGAGGTGGAGTCATTGATGTGGCAATCTAAAATATCAAATAAAATCTGTTATCATATGAAAATAACACCTTATGATTTTGTTGGTCTGAAGCACTTTTCTGTATTTACATTCATCAGGAATTCTCATGCCAAATCTGTATTTACATTCATCAGGAATTCTCATGCCAAATCTGTATTTACATTCATCAGGAATTCTCATGCCAAAATTTTGAAAGCAAATGATGTATATGGTTTATGATAAAGAAAAACTTACTTGAATTTTTGCAATTAGCCTATTTCACTTTTCTCAAGCAGCTAAACAAAACCTTAGGTCAAAATGGTACTTCTAAAACCTTTCTATGGTACCTTCATAAAAGTCTTACGATCTTTTTAAAATAAAGAGTCTATACTTTATTTCGACCAATTTCAGTCTGTTTTTTAACCACTTCTTGAACACTTCATATTAATATGTAACAATATATAGAATATTTTTTCTTAGAATAGGTATGAATACTGTTTTTTTTCAAATTTATATAAAAATCAAAGCAATAGCTCTGGAGGTGTTACACCAAGTGAAAAAAGCCATGACCAAAAAGATTGATGTTGACCAAGAACAGAAACAATGATCTTGTAACAAAAATAATTTCACTGGATTGAAATCACTCATTATAAAGTACTGACAAATCTCAGAAAAATTTATCAGGTGATGTTTATCATACATTGCATCTTTATATTTGACAGGTGATGTTTATCATATATTGTATTGTATCTTTATATTTGACAGGTGATGTTTATCATATATTGTATCTTTATATTTGACAGGTGATGTTTGTCATATATTGTATCTTTATATTTGACAGGTGATGTTTGTCATATATTGTATCTTTATATTTGACTGGTGATGTTTATCATAGATTGTATCTTTATATTTGACTGGTGATGTTTATCATAGATTGTATCTTTATATTTGACAGGTGATGTTTGTCATATATTGTATCTTTATATTTGAACAGGTTATGTTTATCATATATTGTATCTCTATGTTTGTCTACTGTGATTCATTTATTTTCGTGGGTTCAAATGGTCTTAGAATGAGAAAAACTTGCACTTTCGTGGATATTAGATTTTCGTGGTTTTGCCAAAGTCTGCATATATTGCTATAGAAAATTTGCTATTCCTTAAACAATATAATTTGTGTTTCCTCTGTACCCACGAAATCCACGAAAATTGGTAACCAACGAATAATAATGGATCCACAGTGTTTGAATATTTTACCATATCTTTTTATCCAATAAACTACAGCAATAACTACATATCAAATATAATATTTCACTTACTTTAAAAATAAGAGCGAGGTGATTAGAAACTGCCTTTGCATCCCATGGTGGGTTCATGCTTGTCATCTCAATTATGACACAACCAGTGCTCCATATATCACATGCTCTGCCATACTCCTCACCTCGTAAAACTTCTGGGGCCATAAAAGCTATTGTACCCAATAATTGTCCCTGAAATTCTCCAGCACCTGTTGTTTGAGAGGCCAACCTAGCGGCTGCACCAAAATCTCCTATTCTTAACCTTTGACCAGTGCTGTCTACCAGCAAGTTAGCACCTGTAATACAATAAGTCTTCCTACAACTTTTCATTATGCTTTTCAAATATCTGAGATTGCGCAAACAAATTCTTAATATCACTATTTCTGAATACTAGTCATAACATTTCGTCATGTCAGGGTATTTTATAGCTTACTATATAGTATGGGTTTTGCGTACAGTTGAAAGCCTATAGTTGCTTGGACTCTGTTAAAGAGTTTTTCATCGACAATAATACAACATCTCCTTATTTTTATATCAAATAACTTTAAGATAATTTTTATTTGTTTTTTTTTGTGATGGTGGCTTTCAGGAATAAACTGTTATCACAGAGATATGTCTCGCTTTTTGGTTATTCCAATAATGCAAATGTTGAAATTAAAATAGCAACATTTTTACATGTAAGTTTTGCAAATATTCAAAGTCAATGAATCATGACTGAAGGTACATGGCCAAACAAAATCCATGGAAATGAGATGTGCCAATGCTAATACAACTGCATACCAAATACCATTGACTTATCATAAGTAGTTCCCTTTAAACAAACCTAAACACAAACTAATACATGTAAACTAAGCAAAATTTCAAATTCAATAAACCATAACTGAGGGGGCGGGGTCAAATAATCTCCATTGTAATGAGATGTACCAATGCTAAAACAACTGCAAACCAAATATCATTGACCTACCACTAGTGGTTCCCCATAAACCGACCTAATCACAAACTAATACATGAAAACTAAGCAAAAGTTTCAAAGTCAATAGACCATGACTGAGGGGGCGGGGCCAAATAATCGCCATGGAAATGAGATAAGCCAATGCTTATACAACTGCATAACAATTATAATTAACTAACCACTAGTGGTTCCCCATAAACTGACCTAATCACAAACTAATACATGAAAACTAAGCAAAAATTTCAAAGTCAATAGACCATGACTGAGGGGGCAGGGCCAAATAATCTCCATGGAAATGAGATATGCCAATGCTTATACAACTGCATTCAATTATCATTAACTTACCACTAGTGGTTCCCCATTAACTGACCAAATCACAAACTAATACATGAAAACTAAGCAAAAATTTCAAAGTCAATAGACCATAACTGAGGGGGCGGGGCCAAATAATCTCCATGGTAATGAGATGTGCCAATACTAAAACAACTGCATACCAAATATCTTTAACTTACCACTAGTGGTTCACCAAGCTAATACATTGTTGACGCCGCCGACGTCTGAAACAGCATACCTATGACTGGCTTTTTGAATCCGTCAAGCGAGACAATAAATATTAAAATCTGATTATTCAAAAACTTATACAAATATGCAGAGAAAAGAGTTTTGCAAGTCAACTACTTGAAATTTTGGTAAATGCAACAATTTTCTATTCAAATAAATATAATTCTATAACTGTTACCTTTCAGATCTCTATGAAGTATATGGTTGTCATGGAGATATGCCAGTCCTCTCAGTGTTTGAAATATATAACTGATCATAACATCTTCAGAGAAAATACCATACTGACTCAGTAAATAGGAAATGGACCCTCCTGGAATAAATAACATATCAAATATACCATACTGACTCAGTAAATAGGAAATGGACCCTCCGGAAATAAATAGCATATTAAATATACCATACTGACTCAGTAAATAGGAAATGGACCCTCCTGGAATAAATAACATATTAAATATACCATACTGACTCAGTAAATAGGAAATGGACCCTCCGGAAATAAATAGCATATTAAATATACCATACTGACTCAGTAAATAGGAAATGGACCCTCCTGAAATAAATAACATATTAAATATACCATACTGACTCAGTAAATAGGAAATGGACCCTCTTGAAATAAACCACATGTAAAATTGTGTACTTTATATGCCTGTTATCAGCATTAAAAAGCATTGGTGAATCATTAATTTTCTGAAATTTTATTTTCTATGGTAATATTTTTTATTCTATGAGGTGACAGTTTTACATGACAGCTAAGAACTTCTGTTGAGTTTATTGTGCTTGTTTATGCTGATATGTACTGGTAAACAAGAGAACGATTTGGTAACTATACACTAGCCACTTCTATTGATATTTCAAAGGCAGACCTCTCAGGTCTGGTGTTTTTAAGAGCAATTGCTTATTAGAATTCTGTAAAATGTCACTAAGACCAGAGTTTTTTAATTTGTTGATTTACGGATCTGCTGACCCTATTTTTCTGATTTTTACAAAAAAATAAGTAAATTGATATTTAAACGATTTCATTCTTGCCGACCCTCACAAATACATTATCCCTTAAATATAAATTAAAACATCTGCTTAACAGCATTTTCGTGAAATTAAATGCATTATTTTGGCATTTTAAACATTGACAGAAATAATTACACATTGTGTTCTAAAAATAATCTGTGGTTTGTGTTTCTAAAAATAGACAATCATAAATGTCCTTAAAATGTTTTTTGCGCAAATAATTTTGCGGAATGAAACCTATGTTTAAAACCCATTTCAATCAGTTTGTTTTCCTTTTTTGTAATGATTCTGTAAGATTTTTCATCTCATGGATGAAATGGACCCATCCAAACGTGAAAGACGTCAAGTTAAAAGTAAGAGATATCCACAAACAATTTGGAATTTTCTTGTTTCATAGATTGAAAAAAATGTTTGTCTATCTGGATATCAAAAATGGGATTGCCTGACAAAGGATGAAACCAATATCCTAGTCTTTCTGGTGGGCGAGTCTGTTTATTTTTGACACGGATGGTAAAGTGTAATTTTCGTGCGACATGTTTGAAATTTTTATTTCACTTGTTTTTGTGTTTGAAGCTCATTATTCACCATGTTTCCTGAAAGTTGATAAAAAGCAACATGTAGCTTTTTTCTCGTTCATGAAATGACCATTTATTTTCCTGTTTGTCCATGGACATAACATTACCCACCTTTTTACAAAATTAAATGACAATGCATTGTATATTTGAAACAGCTGAGCAATAAAATTTGGAACTAAAATTTAAGAAATTATGACAAAATAGCATACCAAAATTATTGTTAGTAAGCTGATATATACATTTATTTAATACATATTTTTTGTCTTGTAAGATAATTTTTCTCTTTTTTTTTCAGACCCACCAACCCGAATTATTCTATTTAAAAAATCTGTAAACCAACGAATTAAAAAACCCTAGCCTAAGTGGCTATGGAAAAGTAAAATAACAAAAATACCAAACTATAAGGGAAATTCAAAACGTAAAGTCCTTTATAAAATGGCAAAATCAAAAGCTCAAACACATCAAAGGAATGGAAAACAACTGTCATATTCCTGATTTGGTACAGGCATTTCCTTATGTAGAAAATGGTGGATTAAACCTGATTTTATAGCTAGCTAAACCTTTCACTTGGAAAACCACAGAAAAATAATCAAATTTATAATTGTTTGAATTATTTCTAAAAGCTCCTTTAAAAAAAATGTTGTATGAATCTAAACAAATTTTGGTTTAATATTGTAGTTAAAAGATGCATTTTATGAGATTATTTTTATACTGGTTTGATTAAAAATTGATAATCAGTACATTTGTGTACAATAATAAGAATAATGTTGTGTTAAGCATTGACTATGCATAATGAAATGACTAAAGACATAATGAACTCCCAAATGGGTGTGCACCATATCCTCGCACTTGTCTACTACTTTCTCACAGACAATGACAAACACAAAATTATTCTACAACACAATTGGAGTTACAACACTTGCTATTAAAGATTCTCATTTTTGTAAAGCAGTTTAAGAGATTTAAGGGAGATAAGACACAAATACCCTTTTCCCTCACCCCAAAAAGAAAATTCCAAAATCAATGATATCAGCATATATATTGAACTGTTATGTTAAATTTTGTTTGGTTTATGTTGAGTGGTTTCAGAGGAGTTGCAGATAACAGTATTATGATTACACTTTCAACAAAGACACAAGTTAGAAGATATTAATTCCTATGTGTCAGCTCTGCTATATTTAAGGACTACCTGGCATCCATTCTAAGAACATATTGAAGTGACATCCTTGTTTAGTGGCCCCTAGTATTCTGACAACATTAGGATGATTGAGTTTCGCCATCATCTGTATTTCTTCTGATATAGTCTCTACAACCTTCTCTTGTTCAGAGGAACTATTTCTACAGAATGATATCTGAAAATACAAACATAAAAATGTTCAGAGGAACTATTTCTACAGAATGATATCTGAAAATACAAACATAAAAATGTTCAGAGGCATCATTTCTACAGAATGATATCTGAAAACACAATCATAAATATGTGCATTCTTACATGGACATATACATCTTATCAAACACAAATCAATTTGAATATACCAAACCTACGTCTTTTTTTACCGGTAATTATTATTATATTTATCAGCATATTCGCATATTGGCAAGGATCTTTTGGAAAACCATATTTTGTTATATTTACCTGTTTAACAGCCATAATGACCCCAGTTTTAACATCTCTGGATTGGTAACAGGTGCTGTATGCTCCAGTGCCCAGTAATGGTCCTTTCTTCCAGTGGACATCTTCATAGTAAAACTTTGGTGCATTATCATTATCATTGTTATTGTCTCTGCTTTTGTAATCCTAAAATATATGTACTATGATTTATTGTATACTCAATGTTCTATTTTGAAGTAAATAAAAAGAAATCATGTATTTCCATGACATTTTATTCATAAAAGTTTTTAACAAACAGGAAGTAAAACAAATATATGGTGTAACAATAAGCTCTACTATAAAGAAGATGTCATTTGAATTCTTGAATATCCAACAAATAATATTTATGACAATAAATAAAGTGCCACCTTCCTACCATTTTGTCATATTCTACAGCAATTTGAAGCATACAAGAAATATGTAATAAAGGTATGTTCCCTTTTTGAATTTGTATAGAAACATTTTATATTGGTAGAGCTCATATGAAGTCATGTTGTTTCAAGTCATCAAGAACTTTTTAAATCATATGATTTTGATCCCAAACAAAATCAATAAGAATGGGATAACTGTATTATATATTTAAAATCTCAAATGTAAATCATGCTTTTGTAGTTGCAAATATAGTTGTTCTTTAGACATGTTAGATAACATGTTTTCCCATTGCTTTCTTTTTGTCCGATTCTATATATAAAACCTTGGCTTGTGCTGACAACTCTTAAGTATTATAAAACTTACATCAGGTTGTATTCTAATGGTTATAACTTCCTCCCTCTCTGTTGGAGTTAGTCCGGGTATTTTAGGTGTAGGTGGATCCTTACCAGATACTTCTAAAGCTTTAGCTAAGGCTATGGCCTCTTCTTTCTCTATCTCCTCCTTACACAGACAAGATTCTCCATTTTTGTCATTATCTGATCAAATAAATAAATATGTTTCAATTTGTCTTCAGGTTTTTTTATTTTCACAGTTGCAAAAATACATGTAACTGTAAATTCGTTTTCATGGGTACAAATTTTGGTGGAGTGAGAAAAAAATGAATTTCGTGGATATTTGATTTTGTGGTTTTGCCAAAGTCTGCAATCAAGCCTATAGCTAATTTGTGGTTCATGTTTACCCACCAAATTAACGAACATTAGTATCCCATGAATAATAATGAAACCACAGCAGATAGTTATATGATAATTAGGCAAACTTTTCTGGTGTTTAATTTTTCTAAATAGATGTTATAAATGTAACTATATATATACATGTATATTCAGTATTGTTGAACAAACCTTAAACTTTTATACAGAAGAGAGTATTTAAAAAAAAAATATTTTCAACATATTTTCTAGTTTAATAAGTCTAAACTTCCACATTATTTCAAAGTATCTAAAATTAGTGTAAATACAAATTAAATAAAGAAATGAGATCATACCATTATGGACAGCATTGTCAGGGAAATGTTTTGGTGATGGACAAGATGTAACTTCAGATTTAAACGACACTTTCCTATCGTCTCTATTAGGTGTGCCTTTACTACTCGGTGAATCAAAGTTCAGTAACTCATCACTTGATAATCCACAGTCTGAAGATGCCAAGCGAGATCTACGTCGCTTTCGTCTGTCAAGTGAATCATCAGACGACAACAGTTTTTCATCCGATGACATAGAATACTGAAATTCTGTTGTTCCTGCATAATCTAATCCAGTAAGATCTTGACCTACAATAGAATCTAAAGGAACACAATTGGTAGAACTAGTGGCACTCTCCGTAATATTGTCAGTTTCAATTTTAAAACTTTTGGAATGTTCCTCTATGCTGCCTTGTAGAGAGATATCATCTATTTTAGATGAAGTTCTTACTTTGTATATGTCACCAGATAAGTCTAAATCATTGTTTGTAGAGTTGAGCTCAGATGGTGGGTTTACAAATGTAGAATCTTCTGGATTAGGTGCCTCAAAAACATCATCGCTTGTGTTCAGTGGCAAAAACAACTTTTTCTTATGTGATGAATCCCTTTTTTCAGTTGTTTCTGGAGTTTTATTTGAAGCATCTTCTGTAATCTCCTCTGGAGTAGCAGGGAAGTCAGTTTCCAACAATCCTGGTGATATGTTATTATTCTGAACGTCTGTTGAACTGATACGTGATATTGGTGGAGGTGGTGTCAAGATAGGTCCTGTTTCTAAAATTTCATAACTACCACGTCTGCTTGATGGCCTCGGTGGAATAGGTGGAGGATTTTTATCTGGTGATTGAGCAGACAGGTTGACAGTACCAATAATTTCATTGTTCAGCACTTCACTTAATTTATTTGATACTCCATCTATGGTTTCTTTCCCTTCTTCTTCTACTTTTATGCTTGGCGTCCTTTTAGATTTTTGTTTTCTTCTTGAATGAATAGGTGTGTTAGGTGGAGCTGTTGGTAATGGTCGAGTAATACTGGCCTCACTATCTAAATGTGTTACGGGAGAGTTACATCGTGGAGTTGACACAGGTGTAACAGTGGGTGAATCATCAGAATGTTGACTATTTCTAATACCATGATGTAATTCTTGAACAATTTTTTCGGACAATTGAAAATCATTAACTATTCTCCACAAACGCTTTTTCATATTAGCACCTACATTTGTGTCAATAGCAGTGAGCATTTCTTCTAAATCATCTATCATACTTTCAATATGAGCAGAAAATCTACAAACAAGTAGAAACACACGTCTTGACATTCGACTTATTCTCATGTGAGAATTTGAAACGCATTTAATGGCAAATTTAGCAATGGCTAACAGTCTATCCTGTACAGAAGGTTTATGATAAACATCTCTTGACTTTGAGGATGGAGATGGACCTTCTTCATCTGCAGATCTGCCATCTGGTGGATTCCTAGGCAGCAATTCATTGTGAAATTCTTCAAACAACCTCTCCAGTACATATAATCTTCCAAGTAACCACTGCCAGGCGACTGATTCACCGTCGTAATCTTCAGTCATACACTTTATAATATAATCTAGTCCATGTAATCCATGGCCACCTGTAAACAGAATAAATATTTATCTTCGTTTAATGTCATCATACACAGTTAAATGTCTCTCTTTACAGAACTGCATACACAGTTAAATGTCTATCTCTTAACAGAACTTCATACACAGTTAAATGTCTATCTCTTTTACAGAACTTCATACACACTTAAATGTCTATCTCTTTTACAGAACTTCATACACACTTAAATGTCTATCTCTTTACAGAACTTCATACACAGTTAAATGTCTATCTCTTTACAGAACTAAATACACAGTTAAATGTCTATCTCTTTACAGAACTGCATACACAGTTAAATGTCTATCTCTTTACAGAACTAAATACACAGTTAAATGTCTATCTCTTTACAGAACTTCATACACAGTTAAATGTCTATCTCTTTACAGAACTTCATACACAGTTAAATGTCTATTTCTTTTACAGAACTTCATACACAGTTAAATGTCTATCTCTTAACAGAACTTCATACACACTTAAATGTCTATCTCTTTACAGAACTTTATACACAGTTAAATGTCTATCTTAATGTGAATGTCTGAAAATTTAATAATTTTTTTTAAACAACTGTTTAATTAAACATTGATTTTCCTCAGGAAATGCTTAAGTTTTGGAGGAATTACTCAATCACTGTATAAAATCATTTGAAGGACATTAACTGTTTTTTTTTATCAATCTGATCTTTTACAGATAGGTCATGACATTTTATCTATCTGACTTCTATTCTTATACATAAGGCATCTGGAAGTTTTCTTAAGGCTTTGAAAAAAAAGTATTGCTCTGATATAAAATAAAGCAATAAATTTTAATGTACCAGAATTATGTATTTCTTTTCCCACAGCCAATTCTCCATCTTGCCCCTTTCCAATTTCTACTATTGTTGATAAAGATAACTGACTGGTACGCCTGCAAATTTAATCAGAAATGTGAACACAATCAAAACAATAAGAATACCTCAAGTTTTTTACATACAAAATTAAAACAAATCATTCACAGCAACTGTTATTCAAAAACAATTTTTAATCACCTTGTTAAAATAATTCATTTGTATTTCTGAACTTTCATATTTCCAAGGTTGACAATGTTTTTTCGAAGGGTAACAATCTGCTCTATCACCCTCTCATACTGAATGTTCAGTTATTATTGTCTTTACAATTTGAATTAAAAGCAATAAACTACGACATCTTGAATATAACAAACATTAAACAATTTAACAAAGCGCACAACTGATCAAGCATCTCCATAAATGGTAATTTTGATAGAGTAAATTATCACTCTCCTATTAACCAATCATATTCTGGCATTATGACATGAAGTATAATAATATTGATTAATATACATCTTTGATTTGAGACAAAAATTAGAACGTGTTAACCTGAAATTATTGGACTACTAGAATTTGAGTACAATACAAAGTCATCTTTAAACAACAATATAATAACTAACTAATAAATCTTAGATAACTGAAACAAACCTGTTTCCATCTGTACATTTGATAGCAACAGCATCAACTATAGACTTCAATAATCTTTCTAGTCTTAATTTCTGGTGATGCTCTCTACAGGGTGTGTATGACAATATTGTTCTTAAAGTTCTCTGAAATAAGAAAATTCATATACAAAGAATGTATCCTGTTTAAATTTAGTTTTTTTCCTTCTATCCTTTGATATTTATAAACAAATAACTGACATTTAACCTGGTTTATAGTGATTTCTAAATATTGTACTGCAGTGACAGAGGACACCAGTTTTTGAACTGTTGGACAGACAGTGACTATTAACTACCTGCATTGTATTTGATAAGCAATTGACATCAGTGTAGTTATAGTATCACATAGTAATTTACTTAGTTTGAATATATTTTCATTGATATGTAAGAAAAGAGATAATTTGTGGTTTCTATATTAACATGGGAGATAACTCTATTGTATCACATATTATATAAGTTCTTCTGCAGTTGTTCAGAGTAAGTTTGTTATGTTCACGCTGTAATTGATGATAGTCCATTGTTTGGTTTTTATTTTAATAAAACTACTTACTTAATAAACCTATTCCTTCATGGACAATTTATTTATGTATGCTTATTTCGCATATGATATTTCAATAGAGTGTTGAAAATAAGCTTACTTTAACTAAATTAAAATTTTTTTTTTTAAATGATGACAGTGATTTAAAACAAAAATTATCACAATGAAAAAGAAAAAGCATAGGACAAAAATTAATTAAGGAATTTTAAAAAAGGAAATTCATGTCAGATATTCCCAAGTTTATACTTTTTATATTGAATACAAATTTGGTGGTCTAATAGAGGTTTTTGGAAGGAATAGTTTACTTTATACATGTGTAAGTCATTTCTACAATATGAAGTTAGAAATCAAGTGCAGTAAAGTTCTCTTAATATAAACTTTTAAGCATTTTGTGATTCAACCAATCTTGATTGAACCACTGCTTAATAAAAAAAAAAATTCTTAAAAAGTCATCACTGGATCAAAGCAAATACTACTTTTTCAGTGAAAGAATGGTTGTCAATTTTTTTATTCTAAACATTTACATTTCAATTGTGAGGGAAAAAAAAAATTGTAATGATGAGACATGTGACAGCTAGACCATGATTAATAGATACATACCAATGAAGCAACATAAACTCTGTAAACAGGATCATTGCTCATAAAGGCCAGTATCTGACAGCAACATTCTAAAGTTGTGTGGGTTGCTGTCTGTCGTTCTGGAGATACTAGTACACCTGATCTACCTTCCCCCATTCCTCTCATTAAAACTGCCTGTACCTCTTTACTTAAATGATTTAAAGCTGATTCTCTAATTGACCAATTCTTTGTGAAAAAACAAGACACCAAATCCTCTCCAAACACCTGCGAAAAAAATCAAGGTTATGCACAATTATCTGAGAATATTGACAAGAGAAGGTTATAAGAAGTATAGATTTAACATACCCGTTATTTATTGTGACAGGGGATTGCAATATTTTTTGTAAAAGAAGAGACTGCATAATCGTTATTTCAAAGCCTGTGATCTAAAGGGCTACCGAAATGAACATTCATACTTTTTATTAAGAAAGCTCAATTCATAAATTCCATAGCTTGAAAGGAAAAAAATCCTTAAAAAAAGTCTATGATTTGCAGTTCTACCCCAGCATGTGATTCTTGTTTTATAAATATGTCTATTTACATACAATAAATTGTAAAAGAAGCTAAGTATCAATACACTTATGAAGCACATCAACAAACGACAACCACTGAACAACAGGTTCCTGACTTAGGACAAGTGCAAACAAATACAACGTTTTAACAGGCGCCAACCTTCACCCTAACCTGAAACAGTAGTGTAGACTGTTAATCTTTCTTTTTCATTAGTTCAAAAATCTGGTTATTACAATGCCTTCAACATAGAATCTGTTCCTATTCAAAGGACATTGTTGTTTATTTTTCTTTGGAGTTATTCTAATCTATGGTGACAAATTAAGAATGCTAAATGTCATTACACCCTTAACAATTCTTATTGCACTATAAAATAATGGTGTTTACTAAAATTTAAATATCAATCCCTGTATATGTATGTCATTGAATATAATCAATGCAGTAAGTTGTTCTCATATTATTCCTGGAAACAAACCTCTATCCATGGTGAGGCCATTTCTTTGAATTCTGAAGGCACTGGATCAGCATATGGAAGACGGGTCTCTGCTGCAGATGCCTGTGGCTGGGGTGACGGAGCTCTAGTATTTGGAGGGGCTCCTGGTGGCTCTCTTGATACAGGTTCTTCATGACTGTGATAGAATTTTTACATTTAAATACATAAAACATGTAAATTTCATATGGGAAAAATGACAATTTCAATAAGAAGGTATAAAAAGGACATCAACTTATACATATAAGGGGAGATAACTTAGATAGTTAAATTTTATAAAGGAAAGTACAGTAAATATACCTATTGTTTAGTAGCATTCAAATAATTCAGGTGATCCCAATTTTAATTTTAATTTTTTTATTGACTATTATAAGAGCTATCTTCTTATTTTTTAATTTTAAAATTCTATCTTTTAGTTTTCTTTCTATTCACACAAAATTATTTTTCCAAAGTATAATTTACAAAATCTTTGTTTTAAAAATACTCTGTGACCTACACTTTTCATCAATTTTTTGAAAATAGCCTGATATAAAATACATTTTGACAAAGTATAAACATTTCTATAGTGTTTATTTAGCCCCCCTCTCAATCTACCCCTTTTCTTTGTTGTCTTAAGATTTTCAAGTCAGTATTTGCTAACATGATGATTCATTTCAAACAGGTATATCTTCATGGTTGAAAAGATTAATTTAAACAATCATTATACAATAGAATCAATATACAAAAGTTCCAAGAAATAAACATATCATATAGGCTGTAACTTTCACTCTTTTCTATTTTTATCATTCAAAAGTCAAATAGAATAGAACAAGTAGTAATCTGAAATGTCTTATAATAAAGTCAATCAACTGGATAAATAATTACTTCATTGTTTCTTTTTTACTATCGCACCATATGAATCAAAACTATACAACTGGCCATTACCTTTTTACTTCAAATGTGTTTGTTTTCCACTTTGCTCTGCACAATGGACAAATTAATGGGTCATTTTGTCTTCGACACAGCTCAAACCCTACAAAATATTCAAATTGTTAAAGTAAACAATTTCATAAATGATCACAAGTTCTTTCACCCTTTATATTTTTATATAAACTGTTAATTTGGAAGTCAAGATTTTCTGCACAAAAAAATATCCAACCAAAAGGTCTGTTAAGAAATATTGCATACAAAGTGACTAGAAATCAGTAGTTCAAAAGAAATTGTTCATTGGATTTGTCTTTTGGTGTATGTATGTACTGTAAATTCTGACTTTTTTTAAAATGTGCTAGAATAAGATTCACATTTTAATGAATTATTGATACAGAGATATGTCTGGCATGTTTGTAATTTGATAGTAAAATGCAAATGTTGCAATTAACATGATAATACTTTTAACAGGCAAACTATGCAAAACATTGAAAGTCAATGAAATAATCGCCACGGAAATGAGATGTGTAAATGCTAATACAACTGCATACTAAATATCATTGAATTAATATTAGTGGAACTCCTTTGACTGACAATATCTCAAACTTTCTAAAAGAATAGCTTTCTTAACAAAGAAATACTGATCTGTTCTCTGCCATTTCTGTAGTCTTCTACAGCATGCAAAGACATCATCCAAAGCTCAAAGGGAGAGAACCAATAGCAACTGCCTTAAAACAGCTGACTAGTGATAAGTTTAGTAAGAGAATGGTACTTAAACACAGGTATACAATGATGATGAAGTCTATTCTGACAGCCATTCTCACACTTCAGTAGACTAGTGATAAGTTTAGTAAGAGAATGGTACTTACACACAGCTATACAATGATGATGAAGTCTATTCTGACAGCCATTCTCACACTTCAGAAGACTTTCTCCCTCTAACATCTCCAAGAGACATATCGGACATGTATCTTCTTCTTCCTTCACACTTCTGTAACAACAAATTCATCTCATATAAACAAGTGTTTTCACTTATAAATTATCTATTTTATTCTTTTTTTCTTCAGCCAGTGATATTTAAAAAGGCTGACTACATCATTTGACCTGCGTTGAAAAGAAATCGAACTTATCAAATGAATATCATTACATCTGTTAACCCTTTCGGGTTGAAAAATCTCTATGCAAAGTCTGCAATTGTTTAAAAATTGAATTGTTATAAGATCCCTACAAAACAGACCAAAATTTATCTTTTATTTTGTATTTGAATGTTCCAAAATCAATCAGTCTTATACATGTACATATTTATGTGCACTTGCATAAGGTCAATTTCTATCCGACACAGCTAATATGTAACAGATTTAAAACTTTTTTGTGTCTTTGAAATTGTTATAAAAATCTAACTGTGAAAGAGGGGGATTTTCTGCACACTTCTGAATTTGAATGAAATGATCCCAAGTAATACTTGTTCAAATAAACTTAAATAATCTTTAATACCATTTTAGTTTTTGGGCTCTTGAACCATATTGATGTATCTGACTGTGCTGGTGTGACTTACCCGATCTCTGACTGTGTTGGTGTGACCTCAGGTGATATAGACTCTGAAGAAGATCCCTTCTTATTTTCTTTCTCCTTTCTCTTCTTAGAAATTCTAAGTGATACTTTATTTTGATAAATTCTGAACAAATTTTCCACCTAGAAGAAACAATAATATTGGAATTTGGATTCATTGGGGTGAAAGCTTGTTTACTATTCTTATATTTTAAAAATTTTGCTCTAGATACTGTCTTTTAATCATGAAGAAGCTTCAGTCCCAGTTTTATAAATTTAAACAAAGGTCAGCCAAAGGAATTAATGGATAAAAAAAAGATTTCAGTACACAGAGCTTAAATGTTAATGACACAAATGACGACAAGAAGTAGGATCTCAATGTCTGGTTTCCACAACTTTTGTTGCAGGCTTGAAAATAATATGTCAACCATGTTATCCCATAAGGAGAACACTGAATTACCATGCCATGAAGTAATTCTGCATTGTTAGAGGTTGACAACTATAAGTATAATATATAAGTTGTCCTTGGATTACTGTCTCACTGATGTATACCAAACTATTCCTTTATTCAGAGGTCTTACTTTCTATGTTAATATAAATATGCAGCTATTTTACAAGTACAATAATACCTCATAATTTTTCAGTGTTCTGCTCCATAAGCAAGGGTCACCTTCTTGTACTTTGAATACTCTCAACATGACAAACAAAACATGAACACAATGTGGGCCTTTTCCACAGCTACAGGTCTGAAAACATAATACATCAACAACATTAGATGTTTTATTAATGTGACTATAAATACTTCTAAATATATCATTTTACACCTAGTTTTTACTTGATTTACGATGAATCTTTAGAAAAACAGACACATTATATTTCGTGGGTTAAGTTAATCAAAGGATGGTGAACATAATATTCTCAGAAAGAATGTTAAGAAACTCTGGCAAATTTAAAAATGCAACTTTGGTTAAAATGAAAGCACGCTTTGTCTAACATTTTTTAGCCAATGAAAATTACACTTGCAACCTATTTCATATTTGAAATTTACCTTTATACTAACTACTAAATTGCATCTCCCAAATTTAAATAAAATAATAATATAATGAAAGTTATATTGGTATGATTTTTCATTTAAGAGAATATATTCTGAATTTGTAATTTGTAATTGCAGCTTTAAATTTCTGTCAGGATATGAAAGAATTAGCACATGAATGAATTCACTGTACTTTCAAACAAAGTAACTACCTGTGGACCAATGATAACCCTGAATTTATGGTCAGGTGAATCTCCACCAATGAGAAATGAGTTTGGTCCATTCTGCTGAAGTAAATATAACCTAGCTCTCTGTACTTTCTCTATCCTATTTTTGGTTAACAAACTTGAACCTTGGCTTTGTTTATTAAACTGAAAAAAAAGAAAAATTAAATAAAAGGTTTATTGCGGTTGAGCTTTCCACCTAGATATTGTTTTCATATATGAAGTTAACAATGATAAATAAATGTCAGAAATCATCGGAAAAAAAATCTGCACATAGAATTATAAATTAATATTAAAGTATATATTCTACTCACAACTTTTAGCATTGATGACTGTTTTTTTGTTTTTGTCTGATGAACTTCAATGATTGAGGATTGTACAATCCAATTAAATAAACCTGTGTTATCATCAGACATGCAACAATATGTTCATTCTTTTTTTTTCAATTTCAACTCTTTTAATTATGGAACAACTACCCTGGAACTTGTTAAGATTTCAAAATGATTCAATACAATACTTGGGTATTATCATGCGACACACTCCAATTTGTAAAATTTTCAGGATGAAAGGCACCTATGGCCTTTTTGTAGCAGATTATATGATACGAGTTTTGCTTATTGTTGAAGGCTGAACTGTGACTTATAGTTGCTTAAATCAATGTCATTGGGAATCTAATGGATAGTTTTCTCATTGGCATTCATACTACATCTCCTTATTTTATATCATTTAGTCTGTATAATACAGAGTTAAATACAACTTACTGAATTTGAAGGAGAAATACGTCTCCTGAAAGAGTTACTCTGTGATAGATTATTACTATTAACAACTTGTTGTTTAAATGTAGAATCCACATTTCTGTTGAATGACTTCTTTCTCATTACTCCACCACCATCCTATAAAAAAACACAAGATCAGATTCAAACTTCTTACTGAAACAGCTTTATGCACATACTTATGTGCAACACCAAAAAGGAAGCTGTCTGACATTTCTATAATATATCAGTGACATTTATACAAACAACCTTTTTAATTGTTTCACATCTTATTATGTAAACGTATAGGCTTTTATAACTTACTATACTGAATTGGTTTGCTCATTGTGGAAGGCTATATTGTGTACACTGACCTGTAGTTGTTTACATCCATCGGTCAGTTTTAACTTGGTATTCATATCTCATCTTTTTTTTTATATAATATAGTGAAAAAGACAGAAAGGAATACTTATATCAAAGTGCAAAATAACATAGTCCGCTGAAAGTAAGAATTCATTTTCTGGAATAATTGAAGCGAGTGGAACATTTTTAACCATAATTACATTCTTTCCTCATGCGTTACTTTAAAAAAAAAACCAAGAATGTGTCCATAGTACACATAGTACATGCCCCACTCGCACTATCATTTTCTATGTTCAGTGGACCGTGAAATTGGGGTCAAAACTCTAATTTGACATTAAAAGATCATATCATTGGGAACATGTGTAATAAGTTTCAAGTTGATTGGACTTCAACTTCATCAAAAACTACCTTGACTAAAAACTATTAACCAAAAACTTTAACCTGAAGCTGAACAGACGGACAGATGAACGAACGGACAGACGAACGGACGCACAGACCGAAAAACATAATGCCCCTAGCTAGGTGGGGATTAAAAAGGACAAGTCTTTTAACTTATTAAAAATTATAATATAATCTGTTTAAGACCCAGGAAACTAATTAGTTTTCAATTGTAGAAATTATTTTACAGCTAATAACATAAGGCTGCAACTTACAACCAAATAAATATGGGGTCCATGCAACTAAATTTAAAATTATTAATAACATGTACCTGAGAGCCTGCTCCACTTCCATTTCTGACAAGCTGTAAAATAAGAGGAAAATCTAGTATACACAAGAATAATCAGTAGTTTATAAAACAAGGAATATATGTAACAACTACTTATACATGTTATATGTTAACAGCATTCAAGTATCTGAAGAAGGAGACTCCAATTATGTCAAAGGCTTGACATGACAGTTCTGATGAAAATATCTGTAATCAAGACCCATCCTGTATGGTCTAGAGATGACCAACTTTAATGCCAAAATGATATTTATCCAACTTTCTGGCCTTTCAACCAGTTTTTTTTACAATGACTGATTTTAAATTCACATTTGTTTTAAGATTAAGACTTTATTCAGTTTTTCAGGACAATACATCAAATCTAAGGTTTGAAACAAAAAGACCATAACAATTCAAATGTATAATAAATATTAGATATGTTTGACAGCTCAAAATACTTTCCAAGCTCTAATATAATCTGTATCATTTACTGTTAAATATGTATGTTAAGCATGTTTAGAGTTATAAAATAGTTTCTATGAAATCTGTTGTAATAAAAAATAACAAACATTTACATGACATTATAAGGTCATAAACATATCTAATTAGGACATGGACATGGAAAAACTTAATAGATTCTTAGATATAGTTGCTTAATTCCCATCAATTCAAATTCCTGATCAATAATGATAATTAGTCCAAACTTGGACCCATATTCCTGATCAAAATTATTGTTAATTCTAATACCACTACAACAGGGGTGAAATCCTTGACCCCACGAAATAAGTCTCGCATGGATGGCTAGGGATCTTCAAAGTATGAAGTGAGTAATACAAATATTTTGTCCCTGTAGGTAAATTTGGTCAGACAGGACGACCATTTTGCTATTTTTGTTGATTTTTGGTTTAATCATAGCTCCATCTCAGGAATTGTGTTATCAAAAGTGATGATTTAAAAAAAAAAAAATGTATTATGTTTAAAATAAAATGACCAGTTGCAGAAAAAAGAAATAGTTTACATAAATAAATAAATAAAATGTAATTGTATAACAGTACCATTTTATGATTTCAGCATCTTGTTTCCTCTACAGAACTGTTGTTCACACATAATTATTAATGACACTTACCGTAATAAGGTTCTAATTTTTTTCTATAAATTAAAATGGCAGATTAACAACACATGGCTTTGAATGTGTGGGAAGCAACACTGTACTTAAATGTCAACAACCAACAGTCACATTTCATGTTTATCATATTTTAATAATATATTGAAAACATACTTGTGTGCAGTTGTCTCATTAGCAACTAATCACGTTTTCTTGTTTTTATATCTATATCTTTGAATGTGCTAAATAGTAAACATTAACTGATTTCATTTCTTAATCAAATATTCTTCCTTGCTAAAGTTGGTGCTACAATTGGTGGCAGCGGTGGGACCTAGCATAGATAAAAAAATATTGCAGCAATATTATGTCCAGTTTAAAACATACATCTAGATAATAAAAATGTATCGTGATTTGTAGGAATCTACCGCTTACTTCAGGACCTATTTTTCTGTGATTGATTGATTATGAGGATGGGAATTTATATGAATATCAATGGTAATTTTTTGGTTAAAATAATGTTAATAATAAACATTTTACCCAGACTAACACTAACAGTAGTTTATATGGTAATATGATGAGAATAAACTGCTTCGCTGAGCGCAGCTGGATACGCCCACAGAGGTCCAACCCTGAACAGTTGGGGCAAAAAAGGACACAATATTCAAGCTTGATACAGGTCTGAATTTGGATTGTAATTAAATATTTGACATATTATAGGTTTCTGAATAAATGTAGTCAAAGAACTTGAAATTGGTTATATGAATTGAATTTATATTCAATTAAAGATTTCTTGCTGTTGTGCAATACTTAGTAAATCTGTTGTCAGACTATAAACAAATAAAGTTCAATTTCTTCTCAATGTCATATTTGAAATTTATATGAAAATCAATAGGGAGATTACATCAATAGCTATAAATAATTCACCAAAGTTTCATGAGAATTGCTGAAAGCATTTTTGAGTTATTGTCCAAAAACTGGAAAATCCCCCATTTTTTAATGAATAAAACCCCATAACTCATAAATGTAAAATCTAAAATTGATAAAATTCTAAAGGTAACTTACATCAACAGATATAAACAATTCACCAAAGTTTCATGAGAACTGCTGAAAGCATTTTTTAGTTATTGTCCAAAAACTGGAAAATCCCCCCTTTTTTATGAATAAAACCTTGCAACTCTGAAACGTAAAATCTAAAATTTATAAAAATGGAAAGGGAGCTCATGTCAATAGAAATAAACAATTAACCAAAAGTCCTTGCAAGTTAGTGAAAGCATTCTTGAGTTATTGTCGGAAAACTGGAAAATCCCCCCTTTTTTAATGAATAAAACCCCAAAACTCAGAAACAGTAAATCTGAAATTTATAAAAAAAACAAAAGGGAGCTCACGTAAATAGATATAAACAATTCACCAAAGTTTCATGCATATTGGTTTAAGCTTTTTTGAGTTAATGTCCCGGACGGACAGACGGACGGACAGACGGTCAACAGTATACCATAATACGTCCCGTAAACGGGCGTATAAAAATGGCTCATTTAATGCTAACTATAGCAAAAAAGGTGTGTTTGACACCTAAGGATAAAAGCAATTCCTACCCAAAAACTTATATGTATTACAATGGCCATTGTGATTACAGAAACAGAACTTCTGAGTAAAACTTATTCAAGGGGATGAGGGTACATTAAACTGGCTGCATGCAAGCTTGATACCCACAAAAACTCCTGAGATATGACCAAAAACCATAAACACAGGATTTTATATAATGATGGAATGGAACCATAGTAGCACTATCCCATTCGACATTATTTAGAAATAAAATTAGTAAATTGTAAGTTTATGATAATTCACTGTGAATGAGTCTGGAATGAAGCACAGAAACAAAATATATATACCCTTCCACTTTTGTTTTTTTTCTTTTCTATCAAATGTCTTTTCCATGATGGAACTCGTTTTGGTTTTTCATTTAGTTTAGAATCTTCATTGTGGATCTTCCGACTATCCTTAATAGCTCTGAAAAAAATATGATTATGAGATTTTTAAAAATTTTCATTGTCTGATATTTAAATATTACTACCAACAATAAATGATCTTCATGAAGGCAAGTATATTATAATAATCAAATCAATGCTCATAATGAAAATTAAACCAAATAACACAATTTATTAAATATATATAAAAAGAAAATAATTTAAATGATAAAGTTTTTAACATGCATATAAATAATGAATAATGAATGAATGATTTATTGTTCAACTGAACTACAACATGCACCAATTAAAATTAATTATGGAAATAAAACATGCATATATATGAAATATATTGTTTCATTCATTTTTGGTTTACTTGTACCAGAATTTGGAGCCACATGCATAAAAGTTTTCTCCCCAAAAGATCAAAGATTATAGAAAATTTCTATATTTTGAGAAGAAAAATTAGAAAGAAATAATTCTTAAAAATTGTGACAGTAACTCGTTCCTTTGTTCCATTCAAACAGCACTGAATGTGTGATGAGAATAATTAAGGCTTTGGGGGAGAAAACTGAATTACATAGTAAGATAAGCTTTTACAGTAGATGATTGAACTATGCACATTACAACAGTTTTTTATTTGGGTTATTCATATAGGCAACTAGCTAGAATAATTTACTAAATAACATTTTCAAGCATGATGAACTCTTTCTTAGGAGTGAATATTTTGACACTTCTCTTAATAAGTCTTTGCAAAGTGCTGATTATAATATTGTGTTCCATACATGTACAATACCTGTAAAATACAGTAAAGGAGGTCAAATCCCTGGTTAACAATGCTTAAAACAATTCCAATTTGTTGGATTATTTCACTTTTTCCTGTTTTTTTTTTGCTATATGGGAACACCACTTATACAATGTATGTCTACATGTATTTTACATGTATGCTGTTAGTATTCATGTGGATTATAAGTAAAACTGCTAAAGCATTGTAAATTTAATCATCTGGTTCTCAAAAATATGACTTAACAATATATGGAACCAAAGGTGGATATCTATTTAATTAATGACCATTTTCAATTGGTGACTTATCACTGACAGAGGAGTCAATTCCTGTATTTCAAATTAAAGGGGCACATCACCCAAATATCCTTTAAAATAGAAAGTTTAGCAATTTATTCTTTCACTTTTTTGTAACAAAATTTACATGTATTTATTAATGTATGTTAAGCTTTGGGTATGGGTGACTCCCTTAAATCTGTCTCTGACTGAGGGGGTGACTCCCATAAATCTGTCTCAGACTGAGTGGGTGACTCCCTTAAATCTCTGACTGAGTGGGTGACTCCCTTAAATCTGTCTCTGACTGAGTGGGTGACTCCCTTAAATCTGTCTCTGACTGAGTGGGTGCCTCACTTAAATCTCTGACTGAGTGGGTGACTCCCTTAAATCTGTCTCTGACTGAGTTGGGGACTCCCTTAAATTTGTCTCTGACTGAGTGGGTGACTCCCTTAAATCTGTCTCTGACTGAGGGGGTGGCTCCCTTAAATCTGTCTCTGACTGAGTGGGTGACTCCCTTAAATCTGTCTCTGACTGAGTGGGTGACTCCCTTAAATCTGTCTCTGACTGAGTGGGTGACTCCCTTAAATCTGTCTCTGACTTAGTGGGTGACTCCCTTAAATCTGTCTCTGACTGAGGGGGTGACTCCCTTTATCTGTCTCTGACTGAGTGGGTGGCTCCCTTAAATCTGTCTCTGACTGAGTGGGTGACTCTCCTTAAATCTGTCTCTGACTGAGTGGGTGACTCACTTAAATCTCTGACTGAGTGGGTGACTCCCTTAAATCTGTCTCTGACTGAGTGGGTGACTCCCTTAAATCTGTCTCTGACTGAGGGGGTGACTCCCTTAAATCTGTCCCTGACTGAGTGGGTGACTCCCTTAAATCTGTCTCTTGCTGAGTGGGTGACTCCCTTAAATCTGTCTCTGACTGAGTTGGGGACTCCCTTAAATTTGTCTCTGACTGAGTGGGTGACTCCCTTAAATCTGTCTCTGACTGAGGGGGTGGCTCCCTTAAATCTGTCTCTGACTGAGTGGGTGACTCCCTTAAATCTGTCTCTGACTGAGTGGGTGACTCCCTTAAATCTGTCTCTGACTGAGTGGGTGACTCCCTTAAATCTGTCTCTGACTTAGTGGGTGACTCCCTTAAATCTGTCTCTGACTGAGGGGGTGACTCCCTTAAATCTGTCTCTGACTGAGTGGGTGGCTCCCTTAAATCTGTCTCTGACTGAGTGGGTGACTCTCCTTAAATCTGTCTCTGACTGAGTGGGTGACTCACTTAAATCTCTGACTGAGTGGGTGACTCCCTTAAATCTGTCTCTGACTGAGTGGGTGACTCCCTTAAATCTGTCTCTGACTGAGGGGGTGACTCCCTTAAATCTGTCCCTGACTGAGTGGGTGACTCCCTTAAATCTGTCTCTTGCTGAGTGGGTGACTCCCATAAATCTGTCTCTGACTGAGTGGGTGACTCCCATAAATCTGTCTCTGACGGAGTGGGTGACTCCCTTAAATCTGTCTCTGACTAATAAGTGGGCAACTCCCTTAAATCCGTCCCTCACTGGTTGGGTGACTCCCTTTACCCATTTCTAACTGAGGTTAATTTTCCTTTTTTGATGCCACATGTTTACAAGACCTTCTCATTTGTTCATAACTATTTTACAGTGATAACTTTTCATAATTAAAAATTTTCAACAAGTTTATCACTTAAAATTTCATATTGCAAACATTAATCCAAAAATAAATCTTTAAAATATTCTGCTGCTTTTATATTTCACAAAAGTTTCTCCTTCAAATAAGGTATATTAGTTTTATAACAAGTGAAGTGATCACACTTATCTCCCCTCTTTAATTTGTAAGGTACCCAATCATTCAAACAAGAGGGCCTGTACAAAATTGACTTTTTAATCAGCTAATAAATATGAACCAAATTATGACTGAATTTTCAGCGACATGAATCTGGAAACCAAAAATTTGAAGATGTAATATATTTTATTGACTGAGTTTCTTTTACATACAAGAAGGTGTCAACTTTTTAAACCTCCAGAACTACTCTAATGGAAAATTTATCATAGATTAGAATTATTTCTCTTTTTTTCAGAAAAATCAAAAATATTAAAAAAATTTACGATCATTATCCAAATAATGCTAATCAATAATGGAATAGGTGGATACATCATACAAGATGTCAAGTTGCTTCAGCATACTATATAATATAAAACATACCATGTTCTGACAATTATTGGGAAATTTGATCTCCAAAATTGGACATTTGTTTTCTCTGTGTTAGGAGACTGGAGGGAATTTTTAACTTGAAAAAAAAAAATATTTGGGGTTCACTTATACAGTATCTAGATAGTTGACACTTACTTACATTTATGCTTTTACAAGAAAATCAAAGTCGTGAATGTTATAAGTACATTTTGTGAACATGCAAGGATGCAATACAAATAAATGACATGTGCAAAAATGTGATGGCCATTTACCAACTATATTTTCAATTCATTGCATTATAAATGTGATTCAAAAATCAATTCCATATCTATATATGTACTGTATGTAATTCTACAACTCAAAAGAACATTCATGTCTCTATAAAATCATGTGTTAAGTAGTGAAGTAATTATATGATGGCTGAAGGAGTATTGGGGTGCTACAACATAAACACTCAAAGCTATACTTGTTTTCTGACTCTGTCACACTTAAGTTTGTAGCTATCCTCTGGTCTTCATTGCTTTCACATCTAGACATAACAAATAAAATGGTCAGTAAAAATCGCAGATACTAAGACGGCCAAGAGGATCCATTCCAAAGTTTGGATATAAAATGTTTTGGGAAAATGATGTAAATTCTGTAATTGAGTGAGGCTGTGGATGACATTTTCTATAACAATACATGTACAATATTGTCCAACTCAAAAGTCATGAATACTAGTACTGTAACAATGTTTATTAGAACAAAATAATATACTTTATACATGTATAAGTCTTCTGGGCTCTCAAGGTTATTTTTTCTCAACATTGTTAAATGAAAATAGAAAATTTATAAAATTTAAATTGATATTGTAAAAGCAAATCTTCATCACACAAATCTCATTATTATTATCACTATATACATGTACATGCTTTCTGTCTTTGAAATAATAAGACAACATCTGATTATTTTGATCTCTTTTTCATTTGAAGAAATTTTTAAAGGTTAACCCTATTTTCCTCAACTTCAGAATGTGGGTAAAAGTCATTCCTTTCAGTTTCAGCTGAGTTTCTTATAATCTACAATTCTCCATATACATGATACATGCATATGCATTATGTATCTTATTTTAATTGTATACAAAAGTATAATATTGATTGATTTAAAAAAAATATATCAATTAATTTCTTTTTTTATTTTCATGAAATTTAACTCAGGTGGTAAATATATTCAGAACAACTAAAAGAATGTAGAATGACTCCTGTCAACAAACTTGAGGCTTAACCATTTTTGTAAACTGAATCTGCATCTTCCATTTTGCAGACATGTCTTACCTTCAACTTAGGGGAAGAAAACAGAACTAGCCACATCCAAATAAAAACCAATTAGATGAGCTAGCGTATTCATGTACAGATCTTTATTCATCAGGATTTTACTATTTTTCATAAGTAGGGCGAGTTGGCAGGAGTAAATTCAATGGGATTTTATCCTTTTTCATACATGTAAGTGGGGCAAGTTGGTAAACCAGAGTGGGGCGAATAGGTAGAAAGTGGGGTGAGTTGGTGAAAAAGTGGGCTGATTTGGTTAGGGGCAATGTGTCTAGTTGTCATGGATTCATATTGCCGTTAATTGAAATATATATATATATGTCTAGATAAAAATAGAAAGGTGTGCATGTTATATAAAAATTAATTATGTTGAAAAATAGCAGTTTTCTGTTGATCTAAAATGTACATGCATGACATGTTTGATTATAACCAATAAGATATGCTTGATTTCCTAATTTACACTGAAATTGGTTGGTATATTTTTAAAAGAAATCAACTCTCTTCTTTCCCATGTGTTCCTCAATTCATATGGGATAGACAAAATTCAGGGTCTTTTCCAGAAGAATGTAACAAAGCTACACCTTTAGCGCTATAAAACCAGGTTCAATCCACCATTTTCTACATTTGAAAAGGCATGTACCAAGTCAGGAATATGACAGTTGTTGTCCATTCGTTTGATGTGTTTTATCATTTGATTTTGCCATTTGATAAGGGACTTTCCTTTTTGAATTTTTCTCGGAGTTCAGTATTTTTGTGATTTTACTTTTAACTTCATGTTCGCTATATAGATATCTTTCAACTAATGAAGATAAACAAAAGTCTGTAGATTATCTAACTGAACCTGGTATACAGGATACCTTAGATACACATGATGCAGCATACGGTCTGCTTCATACAAATGTATTTTGTCTTAAATCTAGAAATCATTGATTTTATTTGAGCTTTTTATCATTATTTTCTTAACAAAGGGTTCCTGCTTACAAGAAAACTATTAAAGTAAGGGTTTTCATTGGTAAACGTGAAGTCACCTCATCAAAGGTTTTACGTTATAACTTGGTTGACCGATAAAGAATAAATATTGTGTCTCTGATGACTACACATATTATCAATTTGTCAAACAATTGTAGTGCAATCCACTTGGATGCAATTTATCAAAGGAGCTTTACTTGTGCAGTAGTTTCAACATGGAGAAAATGCAACATATGACATCTGACTGATAGTTTGAAACATCCCATTGAAACATGAAAATGTCAATAACACTACATCTGTGCATTCATGGTATTACTTTTATAAAATACTACAATTATAACCTTGCTGATGGCGACTTTAAATTTCCATCTTCGATTGGTCTCAAAATCTTTCTCCAATCATGAGGTCCAAGATATTCCTCAGAATCTTTACACTTTGGTTTAAAATCTGTATCCTCGAAGAAAAATCCATTTGTCTGTGACTGCTTACTTGTTTCAGCGTCATCATTTGCTATTGTAGCTGATGCCATATTTCATGGAGTAACATGTCACAAAAAGCTCAAAGACTGCTTTCGTCATTCATTTCCTTGTAAATTTAACTAAATAATTGACGACATGCAGCCAATTATTATTATAAACAAGCGCCAAATACAACAAAAGGTGTATTTGCAAAAGTTTCTGTTGTTACATTTCGATGGCATTCAATTCAAAATGTTATCTTAACTTAGTATGCGGTTTGTTATTTATCTATCACAGCTATTTCCGGTAGGAATACCCTTGTTTTACCACCACATTTTGTTTACAAACCAGCTCTCTTAGTTCATTTCCAATTTTATTTACAATGGTGTCTCTTACAAGCTCAATACAGCAGGTGAATCATCGCGTATATAAAAACGTCTGCCTGATCGTTGTAGATTCTCGGAGTTTTCGGAAATTAGCAACCGATGAATACATGAGTCTAGAAATTCCGAAATGCTTGTCTAGTTATTTCCCTTTCCATACTACATAATTATTGATTATTAAAAGAAGAACACGATCAACTTGTTAGTTGTTGTTGACAACGTCAAGCACATTGTTAAATGGTAGGATAACATGAAATGTGAATGTGCATTACCTTTTAACACCCGAGGAAGATTTATCATCCTTTAAATATTTAATATATATCATATCACTGCAGACAAATAATTACAGTCATTTTTGCCTCTCAAAATCAATGACCCCTCCCCCTCAAAAAATAAAAAAAGATATTTTGCACTACAGTCTATTGGCTTAATTATGAGTGACTAGAGCATAGGTACTTGGGGACAGGACAATTTTTTAAGCCCTCCCCTTTTTTTCAAAAATCCATAATTTTTTGGTTTTCTGTTAAAATCAATTATTTTCACATTTTACTGTATTATACATGTATAAACAACTTATATTTGCTATTTACTATCAATTCCAAGTCTACTGTCCACAGTGGTCACTGATATATTATATAGAGAATATTATCACAGCAAGAATGCCTTTCCATTGCATTAAATAATTATTTAAAGGAAATAGTCATTCCTTATGTTGCTATCTAGAAAGGCATTGCATTTCTTTGTAAAAATGAGCAGTTTGCATGCATGATTTGATTTTTGTCAAGCCTGCGAAATTTATTTATCAAAATTGAGACATAGTGATCCTAGATTCCGTCGTCGGCTTCGACATTTAGGTTCAGTCTGTGGTTAAAGTTTTTTTAGACATCAATAACTTTGTCAAACCTACATAAAAAAATTTATGAAATTTGGACAGCAGCTTGTTTATGACCAAAATATAGTATCCAGAGCAAAATTTGAAAATATTTATTTTCAATTTTTGGTATTTTATTAATAAATGGAATCAGTTGTTTGACAGTTTACTTTCAACCCAGCAGGCACTCAACGTTGAAATGAGGTTGAAATGGTGATCAACGTTGAAACAACGTTACATTTTCAAAGTTGAGTAATTAACAAATATTCAACGTTGAATTAACGTTGATCATTTCAACGTTGAAATCGGAACATTGATTCAACATTGAATAAACGTTAACTTATTTACTCATGGTAGGCCTATATGAGGCCTATATAAAAAAAATCATAAACTGAAGGCAATACATGCATGAACGTAGCAGTATATATTTATAAAGAAAAGAATAAGATAGAGTTTCGGTTTTCACAAAAATATCATGATAAAATGAGATCTCAAATAAAAATTCTGTGTATGTGGGAGGAGGTAAATCGTTTGATACTGAATTTCTAGGTAAAAAGAAATAGAATGCATTAATTTCATTTCACATAATATGAATGAATATTTTGAACATGTTAAGGAATTTAAAATAGTTGATTATTAACAAAAATCGTAATTTTTTTTTATATTCATATTTTCGCGGGATTTGAACAGGAAGTTAGATTGCCCATGCGCAATATTTAAACCCGCATCTTTCCTGTTTTGAAAAAGATAGAATAACATAGAACGAAGTCGAGGAGAATCTTTCCGTTTATCAAGTATGGTAAGTAGATGTTTCTATGTGGTCATCACGGTTTTTGTCGAGCCTTCGACTTTTGTCGAAAAAGCGAGACATAGCGATCCTACATTCCGTCGGCGGCATCCACAAATATTCACTCTGTGGTTAAAGTTTTTGAAATTTTAATAACTTTCTTAAACTATCCTGGATTTCTACCAAACTTGGACAGAAGCTTGTTTATGATCATAAGATTATATTCAAAAGTAAATTTTGTAAAAAAAAAATCCTGTTTGTTCGTATTTTACTTATAAATGGACTTAGTTTTTCTGCCAGTTAACATTACATTCACTCTGTGGTTAAAGTTTTCAAAATTTTAATAACTTTCTTAAACTATCCTGGATTTGTACCAAACTTGGACAGAAGCTTGTTTATGATCAAAAGCTAGTATCTAGAAGGAAATTTTGTAAAATAAAAATTCCATATTTTCCGTATTTTACTTAGAAATGGACTTAGTTTTTCTGCCAGTTAACATTACATTCACTCTGTGGTTAAAGTTTTTGAAATTTTAATAACTTTCTTAAACTATCCTGGATTTCTACAAAACTTGGAAAGAAGCTTGTTTATGATCATAAGATAGTATCCAGAGTAAATTTTGTAAAAAAAAAATTCCATATTTTCCGTATTTTACTTAGAAATGGACTTAGTTTTTCTGCCAGTTAACATTACATTCACTCTGTGGTTAAAGTTTTTAAAATTTTAACAACTTTCTTAAACTATCCTGGATTTGTACCACACTTGGACAGAAGCTTATTTATGATCAAAAGCTAGTATCTAGAAGGAAATTTTGATAAAATTTTGTTCCATTTTTTCTGTATTTTACTTATAAATGGACTTAGTTTTTCTTCCAGTCAACATTACATACATTCTGCAGTTTAAGTTTTAAAACATTTATTAGATTCATAAATTATCCTGGATTTTTACCAAACTTGGACAGAAGCTACTTACAATCAAAAGATAGTATAGAGAGGAATATTTTTATTAATTTTTTTCCTCATTTTTGTTGAGCCTGCGATTAACACCAAAAGTAGGCGAGACACTGGGTTCCGCGGAACCCTTATGAATTTTTATATACATGTATGAATTGTATTTAGAAACTCTGAATTTGTATCAATATTGCACAATTAGAGAAAAATATAACGTCGACATTGTATCCCTGAGAACAGATCAGAACACATGGAAGGGCCATAGTGAATATATCATCTGACATATACAATTTTCTCCAGTTATACTATTTTTAAAAGCATTTAATGTGGAAAGCATTTTTATTTTCATTGAGACATTAATATGGTTAAAGATTTTAATTAAAAGGGGGGGGTATACGCAAGGGTTTACATAATTTACGGTGATCAGATAAATTTCCAAATATGTATACTATATATATATGTGTCTTTGTTTAGTTTAACTTTACGGCTTGGTAAACTACATACTTTTTGACGATTATAAACAATCAATTTCGACTGGACAACAAAGTATTGAACGATCATGTGATGGAAAAATCATACTATTTTTACTTGTACAATAACATTATATAATTCAACAAAATAGTATTATTTCACGCTATGAGAGGATAACTATAGAATTTTCATTGATAACTTTTGACCTAATTAACCTTTCTACAAAAGTATTGTATTTTTAAAACAAGTCAGTCTGACCCTTATCTGATCTTCAGGTGATCTCTGACTGTGTGTAATACGAGAAATGAGGTTAACATTCAATTTGCATCTCCATGTGCGCACTTTCAATTATGACTACTCTTAAATCAACATGACCATACATCAATACAAAAAGACAACACAACTTTAAAGAAAATAACAAGGAAAGGTCTTTTATTTTTCTTAGTTAACTAATTGCTAAAAGTTTCTAATGTATGTAATAATGACATTATTACATGCATTAGAAACTTTAAGCTATTAGTTAACTAAGAAAAATAATAGAATTATCACCTGCTAGCCAAACACAAATTCAACAATATATATTCGACAAAGACAATTATTTATGTGAAGAGTAGACTATAATATTACACATACATGTATAACACACTAAAAAGAATAAGTTGAATTTAGTATTAAGGACATGCGTTTAGCATGATTGAGAACATACATGTACAAAGTAAATACTATCATTTAAAATTCATTATATTTCCTTTTCATAAAACATTATCTTGTAATGTTTCTTACTGTATGTGTATTGAACCTTGCGCTGAATGTTAGCAGTCCATTATCGTAAACATGTATTATTTATTTTACAGAATCTTGTCAAACAAATCAATGGCTGAAATGCATCAAGTGGAGCAAAATCAAAATTCAGTTTTGGGAATTCCAGTCTATAAAATCATTGAAGGTAGGTTTTTTGTCTGTATATATCATTTGTGTTCAAAGTTTAATCTTGTTCATTCTATTTTTGTTAACCTTACAATCCATATTATGTTTCAGTGTTTGTCTTATATACAGTATTCTAGTAAAGCTCTTTATTTCATGTTAATAGACTTGTGCAGTCATCAATAAAAAAACGTCATGGGTAAAGTGTTTTCATGGTTATCAATTACATAGTCAAACCTGCAATCTTACAAATCCCGAGTAGATGCTTCTTCATTAACAAAAACTACTAATAGTAAACATTAATGCATATAATTTTTTTTGTATTAATGATTACCTTATTACAATATGTGTTTTGTTGTTATGGTTTTATTTTTCATTGCTTCTAGAAACAAATTGAAAGTGGCTCAAATTTAGAGTATCTTTTCAGGACATACAATTTATATTTATTATCATCTTATCTTTTCCAGAGGTTAAATATGCTGCAAAAGTATAAAGATGTCACTGAGAAACACATATCTGATAAAGATCCCTCCTGCTTGAACTTGAAGTCTGCCTCAGAAAGATCTCGAAGTGGTGGAAGAAAGTTGACATGCAAAAAGGACAAAAAGAGACAAAGATAGCAAATGAATTTATAAAATAAATCTTGTATCAAAAGAAATATCATTGTATTACTAAATTTGATATTGTTCCTCAGTAAATTTGTATTCATTTAATTGTTTATACCAATTATAGGTGTGAGGGTAATATATATAGATTCTACCACTGCATCGAGTGTGATACGATATTTATCCACTCGAGACAGTTAAATTTTCAAATTTAAAACGCGAGGCTCGCCGAGCGTTTTAAATATTTAAAATTTAACTGTCGAGAGTGGATAAATATCGTATTACACGAGATTTGGTGGTGGAATCTGTTTCTCTAATGATTTTCAAACAATTTACGCAGGCAAATGTATTCCTTCTTTTTGAATGATCTGCAAAAAGATGTGTTCTTTCTATGTGACGTCATCAGGCATGGTCGCCTTTTTTCATGCCGTCACAATAGGAAATTCAGAGGAAAGCAAGAAAATTCGACGTCATAATCGGATTTTAACCAATGAAGAACTGAGATCAAACAAACCACACGTTGATTAAATTTTTTTTATACAATGGGTGCAGAAAGGGATTAATTGACGAAGAATTAGAGAAATATATTTACACGTATATACAATCAAGGACAATTGGTGTTTTGTGGAGAG